CGCTGAAACTTCCTCCAGATTCCTCGACCTGATGGCCTCATCGCCTGATGCTTTCTTCGTACCGACGCTTGATATCGACCTTGCTTGGCACACACATCAGCTCTCTGCCTCGACATACAACGCGGACTGTCTGCGCTTGATCGGTCGGTACGTGGACCATGACGATAAAGTGGAGGAGATACATCTTGCAGATGCATTCGACGTGACCTGCCGTGCTTGGAACGTACGCTGTCTCGATTGTAGCCTGTGTTGCGCGCTCACGAACCAATCCCATAGGCGAAATTTGGACTCGAGTACATGTATTGCGGCTGCCCGTTACCCGGCGCGACCGTCGGTCAGCGGCTCTCTCGCCTCATCCATCATGCCACGCATGCACATTCAGGATCAGCCCTTCACTCGACTGTAGCCGTTGCGACTCATCCATCCGATCATAATGGCGGATATGTTCCGGGTACGACCACGGACTCGGCCCTTTCGGAGCATACCGCGAAGCTTGCAAAACGTCGTGAGCGCGATCTGAAGAAGGTTCAGAAGGGCAAGATGGACCGCGAGGCCTATGCTCGAGGTGATGCGCATGGAGTTGCGTTCTTGTACCCTGTACCTCTTTGGTACGGTACGGCTGGGTGTGCGGCTGGAGCCGGAATCATTGCAGACAGTGGACATTCCGGGTGCTCTGCAGTATGTACGCTGTTTGTGCAACTGGGTTCTAGGTTGTGCTAATGGGCCGTCGCAGGCGAGCGGGGCTGCTTGCACAGGTGGCGGTTTTTCATGTGGTGGAAGCGCCAGTGCCTGTGGTGGGGCCTCTGGCTTTACTGGGTGCGGTGGCGGAGGTAGCGTCGTTGGAGGAGGTGGGATTTTCGGTGGAGGCTCCGCATGTAGCGGTGGTGGAGGCTTTGGGGGTGGAGGATGCGGGGGTGGTGGAGGCGGAGGCTCCGGAGGGGGCGGAGGAGGATGCGGTGGGGGAGGATGTTAGTTGAATCCGCGGGAAACAACCTACTGTAGCCTACTGTACGACACGACACGACCTTGGATGGTCCTCTGATTCGTCGATACGCAGTATAGACATTCAATCAATATTTTATTTATCTTTTCTCATAAGCCCGACGACTTGACTGTAACTGAGTACATGCTCCTGAATCTGACCTCCTTATGCGACTGGTAGTATCTGGACTTTCACAGCATCGCCACTTATTAGTACTGCACCATGCAACCTGCTCAGTGTCTCGGGAGTCCGGCCCGAACTTTCTCGTGGCAAATATGATTCAGATGTCCGTGGACCGAGCGCAACGCGTGAAGCGGGTTCCCTACTTAGTCTCCCTCCACTGCGATGTCTGATTCTTACAAACCGTAAGGGTTGGAGCAAACTACTTCACGAGCGAATCAGCACTATTCGAATCTATGACAGACAATATTTCTTCCGATAGTCAGGCACCGAAGTGTACAAACGGAACCCAGCGTGCAGACTCTTGTACTCCGACTTGCTCTCTGAGCACCCCCACAGCTTCATGGAGAGCATATGCCGCCCCAGTTTCTCCCCTATCGACGTCCTTGGCGGCGCGGAGCGCGAGAAGCTCCCGGTAGTACGCTTCGACCACTATAGGAGCATCATCATCCACGATGGAGCACATTGTGGCGACGACCCCCTTGAACCCGGCTGCGAGCATGCCTGCTGCGAGATGCGCAGACTCTTCCGGTGCGCGGACATCGCCGACAGCAGTCTGGCACGCGGAGAGAAAGGCGATCTCGGCGTCGTCTGCTACGATGCCCATGAGCTTCGCGAGCGTCAGCGGGCCGTCATGTAGTGCGAACGCGCTTTGAGTGGCATCGTCCGTGTTCTGATTGCCGTGGCATGAGAGATGTACCCAGCTATATCTCCCTATGTGCCTCTCCACCGCATCCACAGTGGCCCGCTCACGATCAAGGACAGTGCTTGATATGTCCGAGTGGGAGAGCGCAGTGACGATACGAGATGCCTCGTCACCGGTCGCGGGAAGCGGAGACTGTCCGGGAGTCTCCGGTTGCGTCACTACGAGCATCTTGGGGGCCGAACGCAGTTCCCGGCTACCATCATAGCAGCGTGAGAGTGAAGCAAGGGATGGAATGTAGGATGACACGGCAAAGTCGAAGACACGTGGCCCGTAGGGTTCGTCGTAGATGCCCGCGGCATGGATGGGTAGACTTGCGAGGGGTCCCGTTGGACACCATGTTATGTGTGGTAGGGCATCATCTATCACCTTGTGTAGAGGGGAGCACATTTCCACATTCGGCATCAATAGACAGTGGACTTACGAAGCTGGCCAGGTCTAATGCATTCAAGATAGGGAAGACGATGCACGTCCATAAACGCCTCAACATCAGCGTAAAGGCGGACTTGTATCCCTCGTCTATCCTTGATTGGATCATCCCCCTACTGCGCCCGATGCATACAGATAGCCTGTTTCTCCACAACTCGAGGAGTGCGTCGGCTTCCTTCAGCGTAAGCTGCGGCAGGGGTACGAGCACAATCTCTCCTTGAGGCAAGATCACGAATGCGTCACATCGTGACACATCTACGTTGATCAGGATGACTGGCCCTTGAACGGCCTCCATCGTTGCGAGGAGCGCAGGGAGGCGCTTCGGGAGCTGAAAGTCAGCAAAGCCTGCATGACCCCGGATCTGCGTCAACAGTCGCTCATATTCGACGACAAGCTGGACGTGTCGATCGGCAGGCGCTTGGGTGACGAGGTCCAACATCCCTGCAGTTGTATCACTGTTCAGAGACGACGGGTCCTCGGGATCATATGCCGGTCGTTGGAGCTTCTGTTGAACATCCCGTAGCGACTGAGCCAGCCCCGGATGTTGTTCCTGGAGAACATCTATCGGCGTTCGTAGAGACAGCACTTGCGACCAAATGAGAGCTCTACCCGCTTCGAGCCACTCAACGGCCAAGAACTGCAGTCCAGAGCGTATGGCTGTGGACACGGCGTCCCCGACGAGCTTCCCTAGTTGTGAAGACTCCTGCAGGCGTCGACTGACGCTGTGACCAAGCCAGACGACCTCGGGGATGACAGCCATCATATGTGAATGGGCTGCGAGAACTGCTTCCTTCGAGCTGAACCTTGGACATACAGAGTGCATGTGGACGTAACGCTGGGCGGAGGTGAAGCGTACAGTAGTCGCGCCAACAACGGGATGCTGTATCACGGCCAAGAACGACTTCGTAGCAAGATCAAAGTCGCGTTGGGTTTGATGGCGCTGAAAGCGCTGCGTGTATGCGGCGCCGAGGTTATAGTACCTCTTCGGCTTGCTGGGATGACCATGGGGCGTCAATTCAATGGCTCGACAGAGCACTGATATGGACTCTTCGATATCAGTCTGGTCGCCCACGTGCTCGAAGCGATGGGTCAAAGCGTTTCCTAGGTTGCTCAAGAACGCGGCGTCCTCTGGAAAGCCCGGCGGCATCGTCATGATGGCTCTGCGATGTGCCCATATAGCATCGTCAATGTCACTTAGGGCGCCGGAGCACTCAGCGCGGCGACCCAAAGAATGGCCAAGGTTCGTATAACGTCCCGGCTTGGAGATATGGTTATCCGGCATGGCGTCAATCTCGCGGCGAAGCATCGCTACGGCCTCGTCAATGTCTTGAAAATTGCGTGTACGCTCGAAACGACGCATCAAGGCGTTGCCTAAGCTATTGAAAGGCGGTACCGAAGTTGTGGGATTATCGCTTGATGTGAACTCGAAACAACGACGGAGTAGTGCGATGGCACCGTCGATATCTCTCGGCTCCTTATTGCGCTCAAACCTGATTATGAGAGCCGCTGCAAGGCCCTCGAGGAACGTCCTTCTTTTGGGATGCTCGTCAGGCGTAAGATCCAGAGCACGACGGTGTGCAGAGATCGCGTCCTCGATGTCCATCAGCTCGCCCAAGCACTCGAAACGACGCATCAGAGAGTTCCCCAGAGAGTTCCACGAGACCGCAAGGTTAGGTCCCTCGCCACTCATGACTCTGATCATACGACGATGTGCAGCGATGGCATGCTCCAGGTCATCGAGATCCCGAAAGCGGTCATATCGACTTGTCAAAGAAGTGCCAAGGTTACCGAGAAAGTTCGGTAAGTCGTGATGCGTCTCGGGAAGAGACCCAACGGCGCGAGTGTGCGCGGCTATGGCGTTCGTAATGTCCTCCGACCTCCCGAACCGCTCAAAGCGGCGTAGCAGGGAGTTCCCCAGGTTGTTGATCCAGCTTGCTTTAAGGGGCTTGTCATCGGGAGTGATTTCCACTGCGCGACTTTGAGCGGCTATAGCTGCATCTATGCGCATAACGTCCTTTGTTCGCTCGAAGGAGATTCGAAGGGAGCTTCCGAGGCTACTGAGCCGGGATGCCTTATCAGGATGGTCATCGGGAGACAGCTCTATTGCAAGACGTCGTGATGTGATGGCCTCCTCGAGATCCTGCAGCTGACTGGTACAGTCATAGCGAGTCTGTAGGATAGTGGCGAGGCTGTTGTAATGATCTGGCTTCGTCTTGTCGTCGTCTGGTGTCAGTTGAGCCAGGCGTTTGCAGCTTTTGATGGCGCGGCTGAGATCGGCGACGTCCTTGAGACGTACATATCGGATTACGAAGAGTCCTTTCAAGTAGTGAAGGGTGGACGTATCGCCAGGGTTCTTCTTGATTGCCATACTGGCCGCACGAGACTGCGCGTGTATAGCTTCATTCAGGGTAGTAATGTCCTGATCACGACCGTATCGCGAGTGCAGATAACCTGCAAGGGAGACCAAGTACGAGGATTCGTCTGAGTGACCAGGGGGTAGAAGAGCTGCGCCCTGACGTTGGGCGGAGACAGCGTAGTCTAGATCGCCCAACTCGCTCCACGCCTTGTAGCGCAACCACGACTGTTCAGCTAGACGTTTGAACCGTGCAGGCTTCCGGGCATCGTCGGTAGGGGTAAGGTCGGCGATTAGGCGTAAGATCATGAAACGGCTCTCCAAGTCGCCGAGATTCCAAGAGGAAGTGTGCCATGCGAGTAGCACGTCGGCGTAGAGCTCCAGTTGGTTCATGAGGACCGCCAGCGGTAATCGCTTGTGGCCATTCAAGATTGCCAAAACTGAGCCGTCCAAGCGCGTGTATGTCGGCCCTACTGGCGTCGTCTGATCTTGAGCCTCTATCAGGTCGACGAGCTGTAGCCATGCAAAGGAATCCGATTCAGGATGAGGGAAGATTGTCTCCAGTTGGTCGTACGGTGCATCCGACATCTTTAAGATATGAGTCATTTATCACTGTACCGCGCGAGCAGCTCTGAGTCAAGTTCATAGGTAGATGTAAAGAATAGTGCTTACCGTATCGGCAATCGTGGGGCAAGTCGTAGGTTAGGACAGCAGAGCGGACAGCGGTCGTGTGCCATATATAGGAAGAATGAGTAGCGTTCAGGCATGGCGGTGTATGTACTGGATGATGGTCACTCGCAGTCTTCAGCTACATACAGTATATTGCTCCCGCGCCCGCGCAACACGCATGGTGGTCGTCAAGATCGAACGTGGAAACAACGTGCAAATCAGGAGGCGCGCGTATGACGCGTGTCAGGGGCACTCGCGCGTCTGTCTCAGTCGCGCAGCAACAGCCGCCGGCGCGTCACCGCAACGCGCGTTTTGCCTTTCCCCACCATCACTCTTCCCGTGCCTTGAGCTTCCTTCAACTCGTACATTCGCTTTCTCTGAATCTCTCTCTCTGGGTCATACAAACATTCAGCCGCGTCGGCGCCCGCCGACGCCCTCTCGCTCGCCGGCGAGTGCGACGAGGATGCCGCACGACAAGCACAAACATAGTTCGCGCCCGCACTCGCCTGCGCATGCGCCACTCCTAGGCTCGCCGAAGCCGTCATATGCGCACGGACCAGGCTATCAGGCTATCTCCAGCAACTCGAGCAATGGGCGTAGTAGCCCTGGACCGCATACACAGTATACGGCTGGCCCACAGACGCCGTACCACCATCCTCAGGCGTATTACCCGCAACAGCAGCAGCAGCATTTCGGCGCGTTGATGCCTGCTGGTGCGCACTCCAATGGAGAACACGAGCATGCGGCGCCGTCAGACGTTGCGTCAGTGTCTATAGCACCTTCCTTACGGGTACGCCGTACATCCTTTCATACCTGATCGCTCAGACGCTGATCTTTTCCATGTAGAGCCCGTCGCCAGATCGCGCGCTTGCGAGTGTACGCCGTGCTGGACTTCTCTGCTTTTGGACGAGTGCTATACTTGTGTGCCCATGCATCGCTGTGGCTGCCATCGTGCTTACCTGCCGACTCCTCGTCGAGACTGCCCTCTGGTTCCAAACAGCTCTGTAGCCTACTATTCAAACCTTCGCCATCCTACACTCTATACACCATACCATCACCCTATTCGCGGAATTTCGGACCCTTGCGCTGCGCGTTTGTGCTTATCTCTCCTATGCTTTCTTAGTACATACATATCTTCGTCGTATTTCGCGGACCTCGTTTCTCGTTTGTCGGTTCCTTTGGATTTTTCGTTGGCTTTCGTTCGTACTTTACATGTTTTGGGTTTCGTTGGACCGGTTTCGTTGCTTTGGACTCTTGCGCGTCTTGTTGTCGATGTACTCTTCTATGCCTGTTTGTGCCTTTACAAATCTACTTGAGCGTCTTCTCAGTACTTACCTCCCACCGTGATTTCCGCCCAATATATGCGGCCATCTAACCCTCGGTCAACGAACGCCTACGAGCGCCTGCGGCGGTAGTCGGCAACAGGACTTAAGTAAGCAAGATCAAAGCTCAATCAGATAATGATAGCGATAACGATAAGCCCTCGCCATTTTATCGTGGCGGGATCCGTGAGCGTCCGGAATATCGCCCCGGTCACCCCGAGTGGCACGGCGGCCGAATCCTCTGACACCCTGGCAGCACACCGCCGCAGTGGGCCCAAGCACGCAAGCTGTAAGGCGGCGGCCGCGGTGACCGGGTAAGAGCACGGCATGGCGGTACGGGACGGGGAAAACATATGGCACAATGCACGACCGGTACGGCTGCCGCAACTCCTTGACTTCCGACTCCCAACATCTCTATATCTCTAGACGCTATAGACGCTAGACGCCCAGCGACTCTCCTTCGCATACCCTAGATCTCTACATCTCACTCTATACTCGCATAGATCTTGACTTGGACTCGATTGGATACCATGTCGGTTTTATTGAGAACGTATAGGTAGGCCTGCTCACCGGGCTCGTTCATCCGATGCGCGCTCACGAGGGTTAGTGCAGCTCGTGGATGACACGGCATCCTGTCGCTGGTACCAGCACCGTCGCGACCACACTTTTCGTACTGGGCGATGTTGTGGCTCAGCAGATTGTAGAAGAGCGCGGGGCAAAGGGACATGACGTGCGTTCGCAAGTTTTCGCGGTCTTTAGATCTGCGGCGCTGACTTCTTACAATGACAGTACTGGCGCACTGGAAGATATGCGCTGTACGGATCGTGTATATGGGGTCCCCCGTGGGGCTTCTGGACAAGATTCCTGGGCAGCTTGCAGTTCCGCACAAGATGGCGGGCCGTTCTATCGCGGGTGCGCAAAGCCCGCTCGCCTTCGCGATTTATACCCAGCTAATTGCGCTTCACAGACTGTGCTGGACCAGTCATTCTTTGGCCCGTCATCTGTTGCGCTGTTCTTGTCTGCGCATGCGTTGATGGAGGGAAAGGGCGTGCAGGAGGCGAAGCAAAGAGTAGAAGAGGTACGCTAATTCGGTCTGATCTCGGCCGAAGACTCGGCTGACGGATGGTGGCAGAACTGGTTCAGCACAGTGAAGCGCGGCTGGTACGTCTGTACGCTACTCTTTCCCATCTCCGGCGCTCACAAGTCTTCGTAGGCTCGTCTTCGGTCCCGCTCAACTCGTCAACTTCGCCCTCGTCCCACCACACTTCCGCGCGCTCTTCATCGGCAGCGTCTCAGTCGGCTGGAGTGCGTTCCGTCATCCCTTCCTCCCATGTCATCCTCTGATATCGTAACGCGACAGATACGTACCTCTCTTCCGTGAACGCCGCGATAGGCGCGCATATACCGGCGCCATCAATGGCGGCCGTCGCCGATGCGAGTGTGCATCATCCACACGCTCATCCTGGACCCGTGGAGGTGTCTGCTTGAAGATATACCATCTAGAGTGTGCGTCCGCCTACCCTACTGAGCTTCTTCTGGACGCTGACAGACGTATATAGAGAAGATACCACGTAGACTTGTGATATCCCCTCATGATCGGATGTCTAGAGCACCATTCATTATACTATCTTATTTGAAACACGTTTTTGTAGCATTGGGACGCGCATACAATGTGACTCGGTCGCATAGTCTTCTCAACTAAAGCAGGTCGCTCTTATACGCCAAAGTGGACGAATGGAACCCATCGCATGAAGCTCTGCGCGCCCACCTTCTCCCGCAACACTCTCGTCGCCTCGTGGAGCGCGTACGCCGCACCAGTTCCCTTCGCCTGGTCATCATCGGCCATGCGCGCGGCGAGCAACTCATTGTAAAACGCCTCAACGACGACCGGCGCATCTGCGTCGTAGATCGACCACATCGTAGCGACGACCCCTTTGAACCCGACCGCCAACATACCCGCAGCAAGATGCGCAGACTCCTCCGGATTCGTCGCATCTCCCTTAGCCGTCTGGCAAGCTGACAGAAAGGCGAGCTCAGCGTTGTCTGATGCGGCGCCCATAAGGTCCGATAACGACAAGGAGCCGTCGTAGAGCGCGAATGCACTCCTTGCCGCGTCGCCCTGGTACTGCTGTCCGTGGCACGCCAGATGTACCCACGAGTGTTGATTCATGGCATCGCGAACGGCCGCCTTTGTCGCCCGGTCATGCTCGAGCAGCGTACTCGCAACATTCGCCTGGTTGAGTATCCTCCCGAGGCGACGACCTTCCTCCCTGGTAGCAGGGAGCGCCGACTGCCCAGGTGTGTTCGGCTGTGTTACCATGAGTACACTGGGCGGTGTGCGCTCTTTCTCGAGCCCCTCGCAGCAGCGAAGGAGAGCAGATAGAGAGGGCGTATACGACGATATGACAGTGTCGAACACCCGCGGACCACCGGATTCGTCGTATATGCCTGCAGCATGGAGCGGGAGCTGTGTTAATGGTCCTGTCGGGCACCAGATGATGTGCTGAAGCTCGTTCTGCTTTTCCTGTGGTTTGGCACCTCAGCTGAAGTCCAGACATGATATACTGAAAGCCACTTACAGATGGTGTCATGTGCGGGGCTTTCAAGACCGGTTCGACTATCCAGGACCATATGTTTGCTAGGACACGATGGCCGGAATCTTCGTCTTCAACGATGCGAGAGGTGTGCCTGTACTGAGCATTCTCAGGTGCTCCTTGCGGCGGGTCGACGCCAGACGTCGGTTGTAGCCCGCTCTGTTCACGAACACTGCTGAGCTCCTGTTTCCACAGCGACTGCAGCGTACGAGCGCGATCAAGGGTCAAGTCCGGCAGCGCTATGGACGCGATCGACGCATCCGGACGCAAGACCAGAGCATCGCAGCGGGATGCATGCACATTGAGGAACACAACGGGCCCTCGTTGAAGCACATTCGACGGAGAGACGAGCGTCGCAAACCGTCTGGGACGCAGATAATCCTCAAAGCCGTCACAAGCCCGGATCTTCTTCAAAAGATCGTCATATCTGATAACGAGTCGGCGGTGATGATCTGCCTGACTGTTCACGCTGACACCAACAACGCCGGCGAAGTTGACGATATCGGGTGCGTACGAAGTGTGCGCTGAGAGGCGGAGCTCTTGCTGGATGTCCTGCAAAGAGGCTGCGAGATCAGGATGGGACAGATGTAGCTCGTCGAGCGGGGTGCGCAGTGAGAGGACTTGAGACCAGATGAGTGCTCTGCCCGCTTCGAGCCACTCGACGGCTTGCTCTAGTGCGTTTGCACTGATGGCGGCGGCTACGGCTGCATTCACCAGGTCTCCCAGCTTTGCGGACTCGTCGAAACGTCGACGAACACCATGACCAAGCCATACGATCTCAGGAAGGACGGCGATGATCTGCGAATGCGCCGAAAGCAGTGATTCATCGGAGCTGAATGTGGGATGTGCGAAGAGTAGTGAGGCGCACTGTATCGCGGATTGCAACCGCACTGAGGGGTTGGAGAACTTTTGCATGGTTGAGGTCATGTAAGAGCGTACAGCGGCATCGAAGTCGTCTTGGGTCTTTGAATGTTCGAAGAGGGCTTGTTGGGCTATGCCAAGGTTCTTCAATGAAGACGAACGGAATGGGTCGCCCTCAGGAGCGAGCGTGAGCGCTTTCTCGAAGAGATCAATGATGTATGCGAGATTGGTGTGATCTCCGACGGCTTCTGCTCTGCGCAGAAGACCTGCAGCCAGGCTGTTGAGGCATTGAAACTGATTAGCATGACCTTCCGGTGTCAGCTCTACCGCGCGACGCCCCGCCGAAATGGCGCTCTCGATGTCGTCGAGGTCTTCAGTACGTTCAAAGCGTCTGCGATATGCGTTGCAGATATGGTTGTACCATGCCGGCTTGTCAGGATGTCCATCTGGCGTGATGTCCAATGCGTTTTGATGGGCGGCGATGCAAGCTTCGAGGTCTGCAAGTACACCTGTCATCTCGAAGAGTCTAATGGACGCGTTACCAAGATTCGTGAACAGCAAGGACCTCTCCGGGTAGTCCTCAGAGTTCAGCTCGATTGCGCGCTGGAACGCCGATATGGCGCTTTTGATGTCCTGTAGCTCTCCAGTACGCTCGAAGTAGCGGATGAGCAAACCCCCGAGGTTGTTCAACTGCCCCTGCATCCTAGGGCTGCCGGATAGAGTGAACTGGACGGCAGAGCGCTGCATCGAGATGGCCAGCTCAAGGTCCTGCAGATCGCCAGTCCTATGAAACCGGCTGGCCAACGAGGAGGCGTAGTTCGTGAGGAAGATCGGTTTCGAAGGATGGTCGTCCCGCGTGGATTCGACGTTCTGGCGATGTGCAGATATGGCCTGTTCAAGATCGTCCCATTCTCCACTTCGCTCATAGAGAGCAAGAAGTGAGCATCCAAAACTATTGACGAACGTCGCTTTCCCTCCACGGTCTGCTGAGGTAGGTTGTACAGCATAATAAGGATCCGGAAGCAGCGAGTCACCCAGACTCGGAACTTTGGTAGGTTCGTCCAATGTCTGATCATTTGACGATAGCTCTACGGAACGACGATGCGCCAAGATGGCTTGCTCTATGTCTTCCATCATGCCAGTATGTTGAAACCGAATCAGTAGCGCGTCACCAAGCGCGCATGTGCGAGAGGGCTCGAGTGTATGACCGTCGGGCGTGAGATCGACTGCGCGGCGCCACACAAGAACAGCACGATCAATAAGTTCAAGCTTTCCGGTCCGTCTGGCATACCAGACGAGAAGATCGCCGAGGGCAGCGAGCCGTAATGGCTTGTCTGGGTGGTTATCGGCAAAGAGATCAACGGCGCGATCTCGTGCTGAGATGGCTCTCTGAATACTGGGCAGCTCGCCGGTTCGATTGAAGTGTCGGACGAGTACATTCCCGAGGATATTGAGCTGCGACGGCTTCCTAGGGTGGTCGTCTGGGAGTAGTTCTACCGCATGTGAACAAGTCGAGACAGCCTGCTCGAGATCAGAGAGCTTGTCGGTGCTTTCAAGGAGCAGTAGAGCGGATCCAAGATCCGCTACGTATGAGGCATGGGATGCTCGTCCATCCTGCGATCTCTCCACCGCATTGCGATGAGCACGGATCGCGCGCTCAAGATCATGCAGCTCCCCGGTGCGTTTGAACTGCGCTACAAGAACGTTACCAAGGCCATGGTAATGGGATGCGATCAGTGCGTGACCGTCTGGCGCGAGCGCGATCGCCAGTTGGTGGACCTCCGCCGCCCGCTCAAGGCTGCCTAATTCTCCAGTCTTGTGGAAGAGCTAAAGTAGTGTATCGCCTAGTTTGCCGAGTTGCACCGGCTTCAGAGGATGGTCGTTCGGAGTGAGCACGGCAGCGCGGCTGTGTGCGGACGCTGCGCCTTCGAGATCCACAAGGTTACTATCAAGCTTGAAAGACAGAAGGTGTGCGTGACCGAGGTTGTTGTACGCTGATGGCGCTGCGGGGTTGTCATCAGACATAAGCTCGATGGCACCACGAAAGGCAGCGATGGCATCCTCGAGGTCCTCGCGCACTTTGTTCCTCTTGAACCGCTCGAAAAGGGCTGCACCCCATCCGCTCATGGTAACCGGTTTCTGAGAATGATCGAGAGGCAGGAGTTCATTTGCGCAACACAGAACCGTCGCGGCACCGTCGAGATCCTGTATAACGCCGAGTAGATCAAATCGAAGCAGGAAAGAGACACTCAGTTGATATAGCCGCGCGACCTGATTGGGATGGCCATCAGGTGTGAGACTCACGGCGGCCCTGAAGGCGGAAACGGCGCCATGAAGATCATCGAGGGAGCTGTTGACCTTGAAGCGAGCTTCAAGGCGCGTACCGAGGTCAGCCTGGATTACAGCCTGTTCTTCTAACTCTGAGTCGATCGCAGCCAAGACGGCTGCCTGTGTTGCCCGGATTGAACGATCTAGCCACGCTATGTCATCGGGGTGCCCTTCGTAGCACATCCACATCAGTGTTCCTAACGTTCGCGGGTCCCCAAAGCGGTCAGGATCGGTGTCGACAAGCTTTGCCAGTTGAATAGAGGGGTCGGTAGTCTCATCATCGGCGGGATCGTCTGGGTTTATTTCATGTATTTCGCCCTGCAGACCGTAAGCCAATTGCCAGTCCCTGTTTTGAACAAACACTTGCCATCAGTAGTACAGTTCGACTCGTACAATCGCCCGGCTCGAGGAAGACGGTAGTCGGGGGGTGTTGTGTTTGGGAAAGCCCTTATATACGCGCTGAAATGCGATGGTAATGACCCATCAGTCATTGCAAGGTTATCGATCATGGATAGTCGAGCGCCTAGGACACAGCCATTACAGCTGGATGAGGGCAGACAACGCGACACGTCTTGCGCTGCGCTAGTCGAGTGGAGATGCCTCGAAGGAGAAGAGCGAGTGGCTATTCCAGGTCTGGCGCCTACGACAAGTCAGTTGATACAACGCCGACGGGCCTGGGACCATGCAGCCACTCCGAGTTCTCATCGGTACCCCCCATCGCCGCCTGGACCCGCCTGTACTGTACAACAGCCCTGGCAGGTATTCACCCGAAGAGGATCGTTCTCACGTCGCGCGCACGGCACGTATAGCTCACTACTCCACGACCAGCCGCAGTCAGGATGAAATTTCGGCGACGCCATCACAGCGAGAGCAAGAGGCCTGATCGCGACGTCGAGCGATACGCCTACGCGGCGCATTCGGCAAACGCCGTAACATTCCACGTGGGGGGCCTGCGCCCAATCAACGTCCGTCGTCGCTTGGATCTGTTCCGTTCCACGACACATTCTTCATACGTGCTTGACAACATCGTGACACTACAATCAAAGAGGCGGCTTCCGGCCGTAGCTGAGCTGGACTGCGCTCTCTCATACGCCGAAATGAACGAACGGGACCCATCGCATGAAGTTCTGCTCGCCCACTGAATCCCTCAAGACTCTCGTCGCCTCATGCAACGCATAGGCCGCACCGGCACCCTTTCCCCCAGCTTCTTTAACCTGCCGCAGAGCGAGCAGCTCCCTGTAGAAGGCTTCGACGACTACGGGCGCGTCTGCGTCGTGGATCGACCACATCGTGGCTACCACGCCCTTGAATCCGACCGCCAACATGCCCGCCGCCAAGTGTGCAGATTCCTCTGGGACCTTCTCGTCGCCTACAGCTGTCTGGCATGCAGATAAGAACGCAAGTTTAGCGTTGTCCGCCGCTATTCCCATGAGGTCGGACAGAGTGAGGGGACCATCGTATAGGTGGAAGGCGCTTTGCGTGGCGTTCATCTGGTTCTGCGAGCCGTGGCACGCCAGGTGTACCCATTGATGTCGGTTCATAGCACTTTTTACGACCTCGATGGTGGCATCACCGTCGCTGATGATCGTATTCTGTATTCCGCCTCTGTCAAGCGTTGCTTTCAAGCGGTCTCTCTCCTCGACGGTACCCGGGAGAGGAGCGTGCCCAGGAGTCTCTGACTGAGTGACCACAAGCACTTCGGGCGCGGACATCGGCGGCATCGACTTGCGATGGCCTTGCTGGATCGCCGACATCGAAGGCGTATAGGAGGATACGACGAAATCGTATATGCGAGGTCCGGATGGGTCGTCGTAGATGCCTGCAGCGTGTAGAGGTAGCTGCGTCAGTGGTCCAGTAGGGCACCACGTTATGTGTGAAAGGCGATCATTCTGCGCCTTGTGGGCTTGGTGAGCACATGCACAACCAAGTGTGCAGGCGGAATTGCTCACCAAGTTTGCTAGATCGAGACTTTCCAGTACTGGTCGAACGATCCACGTCCACATGCGCTCGAGACAGACCATCAAGGGTTTCGATTTGGGTTCAAGTAAGCCAAGTTTGCCGGAAGCCCGTGTGCGAAGTCCATGCCCGGTGACACATTCCATCCATTGGCGACGCAGCTCGATCGCGCGTTCCGACGACAAGTCTGGAAGCGGAACCAACAAGATCGCTTTGCCGGGACATACGACGAGCGCGTCGCAGCGATCGGGGTGCACATTGATGATCACGATGGGTCCATCATCGTGGTGGTCGAGTGAAGAAAGGAGCGCCGCGTACTTCTTCGGGCGCAAGAAGTCCTGAAAGCCTGAACAAGCGCGGACGGCGGCTATCAGACGCTCATACTCAATGACGAGCTCGCGATGGTATGATCCAGGTGTATGCGTAATCACGACAGGGATGCCGCTCGCGTACTCTTCAGGACGGAAGTCTCGCGAGCGCCCTGCATTCCACGACTGCCGCAACTTCTCCTGCACGGCCTGCAAAGAGCGGGCAAGATCGGGGTGGGCTTGCGCCAGCTCGTCGACTGGTGTCCGCAGAGACACAATCTGTGACCAAACGAGCGACCTTCCGGCTTCCGCCCATTCCACCGCTTGTGGTAGGTCATTTGCATCAATGGCCGCAGCGACGGCGGCGTTGACAAGCTTGCCAAGGTTGGATAGTATCTCGTAGCGGCGATCAACGGAATAACCGAGCCAAACTACCTCCAGGAGTATGTCCATCACATGCGAGTACGCGCGCAAGATCGTTTGTTTGCCACGGAATTGCGACGTCAAGAGTGTATACCTGAGCGCCGCTTGCAGACGGACGCTGATGTGCCCTACTGGTTCAAGAATCGCCATGCGAAACGCTTCGATGGCTTCGTCAAGAGTAGTAGATGATCCTGTAAGCTCATGAAGCTGCTCGAGCGCAATACCCGTGTCTAACAAGAGGCCCGGCATATCAGGATGCGTTTGTGGCGTGAGCTTGATAGCCCTGCGATAGGTATCAATGGCAAGCTCAAGGTCCGCTTCCGCACCTGTGCGGTGGGAACGGGAGACGAGTGCGTCTGCGAGGTTGTTAAGGCGTAGAGGTTTGAAAGGATCATCGACCGGCGTAAGCTCGACGGCATTCTCGAGCACGGATATAGACTCTTCAATGTCTTTCTCGTCTCCTGTGCACAAGAAGCGCTGGCGCAGAGCGACGCCGAGATTTGATAGATGACCCGGGCTCTGTTGAGCATCGGGCGTCAACTCAACGACACGGCGATATGCAGTGATTGAGTCTTCGATATTTGCAAGCTGTTGTGTTCGCAGAAAGCGAGTGCCGAGGGCATGAGCCAGGCTAGACAGGAAGATCGCGCTTCCAACATGATCGCGCGGCATCAACGCCACCGCGCGCTGAAGAAGAAGCACGGACGTGTCAATGTCCTGCACTTCTCCAAGATGGTAGAAGCGCATCATAAGCGCGTTTCCCAGGCTGTGCAAGTACCTGGGTTTGCTCGAGCGGTCATCCGGCGTGATCTCGACGGCCTCAGAGTGTGCGGATACGGCGGCCTCGATGTCCTCGAGCTTGCCGAAGCGTCGGAAGCTCTCGCCGTACGCGATGCCCAGCAGCGATAGATAGTTCGCCCGGTTCGGATCGTTGACCGGCGTCAACTTGACCGCGCACTGATGGGCGCTGATGGAGGCTTCTATGTCTTCCTCCTTCCCTGAGCTTTGGAAGAGGTCGCAAAGGGCGACGGCCAGGTTGCTAAGATAGTGCGGCTTGTTGGGACTCTGTTCCGCCGTGTCATCGGCTGCCTGCCGTAGACTGTAGACAGATTCGCTCAAGACCTTCGCGTCACCCGTACGCTGAGCGCGTCTTCCGAGTGCGACCCCAAGTCCATGGAAGTACGATGGGTCCACACGAGCAGAGCTGGCCGATTCGAGCTGGATAGCCTGCCGGTGGGCACGAACAGAAGCTTCTATATCATCGAGATTCCCAGAGTGCTGGAACCGGATACTCAAAGACTCGCCGAGCGCTGAAAGCCACGCCGGTCTGCCCGGGTAATCGTCGGGAGTTAGATCGAGTAGCCGTTGGCCCGTCGAGACGACCGCGTCGATGTCGGCGAGGTCGTTATACTGCAGGTAGCGCGCACGCGACAGATCGCAGTATGAGGTCAATAGCATCATGAGATACATCTCATCATCGGCCTCTCCCAGTGAGTCCACTGTGCGGCGTAGATGCGCGATTGCGCTGTCAAGGTCCTCTCGTTTGCCCGCTGAGGCGAAGCGCATGTGTAGAGCGGACGCTAATTGATGGACTAGAACGGGATAGAAGGCGTAGTCCTTCCTGTACATATGGGTTGCATGCTGCATGACCGCTATCGCACCATCCAGGTAGGCGAGGTTCTGCGTGCGTTCATGATGTGAAAGTAAGAGATGTCCAAGGGCGTGAAGCTGTTCCAAATTTGGAGTGGAGTCAGCCGGTGAGTCCAAACGAGTTGATGGGGAAGAAGCCATGTAGCTCGTCTGACGGTCAATGTACAGAGCTCTGCTCTGATTCTTGACCGCTCGAGGACGGATATTGAGCGAGCTGAAGAGCTGGAGAAATGAACCGTTGCAGGTTCGGGAGAGATCCTGCTTTGATCGAGATGTTGAGAGGATCAGTAGAAACAAGTGCGCCGGCGCATGTTTATTATAACTTTGAAACGTGAAAGGGCGAAGGAAGAAGAGCTGCGAATATTTGGCGAACTTCGTCGTTATACGCTCGGGCATTGCCGACTTGCTCTCACGCCCAAGGCCAAGAGGGTTACCGCGACCTGGTTCCTTGCGCCCAATTGCGCCTCCAATACCGGCCCCTCGGTCAAAGGCATCTCCACAATTGCCTGACCCTCAACTACTACGGATGTCGACCTTGAGAGGTGTACTCTGCGAATGGCGCCCGGACTGAGCGTAGCCCATGGCGACGCTCTCAATAGGCATACACGTCCCCATTCTTCTTGAACCCCCATCTCAAACGCCGACTGTTCAATCACAACAGTGAGTGTGGAATCTGATACGTGCTCGTCAACGCGTAGCTTGACATTGTGATGCACGCTTTAGAGCACATGGAGTATGAAACTACCACGCCCCCCGCAGACGACCTGCGCGTACGACTTGCACTCATCCGAGCACGCATCGACAAAGACGATGATCCCGAAGGCCTCAACTCTGCCCTCCGCCGCATGAAAAGCAGCAAACCCCCTCGTCACCCAACACGTCTCGGCAAGCTCGGCCATGCTCTTCGAGCACGCTACAACCGCCTCGAGGACTCGCGCGATCTTGACGACTCTATTTGGGCGTACCGTCGCGCAGTTCAGCTCATGGAGCACGGCACAGAGCACGAGAGACTACCGGGGTGCCTTGACGCTCTTGGTCGAGTGCTCACACGGCGCTTCAACGTTGGATTTGACTGTGAAGATATCGACCAAGCCATCTCGGCACGACGTCGCGCGCTCGCTCTTCTACCCTCCGAACATCCACATAAGCCAGGATACGCACATAACCTTGGGCTCTCATTATCCGTTCGCTTCGAACACTTCGGAGAGATTCAAGATCTCGAGGACGCCGTCGCAGCACACCGTAGTGCCGTCGATTTAGATACTACATCGGACTCGGACCTCGCAAGCCCGCATAAGCGTACTCAGCTCAGTTGTCTGGCACAGGCCCTGCTCAGACGATTCACGCACCTGGGCAAACGTGAAGACCTCGACGATGCGCTTACGATGCATTATCGTGTGATCGATATTCTTCCGGAGGGGCATGTAGACGCTGCGACGCACTACTGCGATCTCGGCAACGCACTGAACATCTCATTCGACCATTTCGGAGATCCAGAAGACCTCGAGGGCGCCATTTCCGCACACCGTCTGGCGGTCAGCCTCGGCACCTCCCATGTTGATGGAGAGCGCTCAGAACGGACTGCTGATTTCTTGAACTTTTACGGCAACACTCTGGTCCGACGCTTCGACCGCTTCGGAGAGCTGCACGATATCGAGGAAGCCATTTCGACTCTCCGACGTGCAGTTGATGTTACAAAGGAAGGGCATAACTCACGAGCCGACTGTCTCAACGACCTCGGCTCTGCCCTACTGAGCCGCTTCCGCCGTTTCGGCTCGCAAGACGACATACACGAATCCATCTCCCTCCAACGCATCGCCCTCTCCCTCCGGCCCTCTCGCCATCCCGAGTCGGAGAACCCGCACATACTCAGCGCCCTCGGCTTCTCCCTCTACCACCGCTACGAGCAAATTGGCGATCTACAAGACATCGAGGACGCATTATCCGCCCAATACCGCGCCGTGGAACTCATGCCCGACGAACATATCAAGCTCGCTATGATGTTGACCGAGCTGGGCAACTCCCTCGCTATCCGATTCCGTCGGCTGGGCGAGCACAAAGATCTCAACGACGCGATATCACTTCAACGGCGCGCGGTCGACCTCATGCTTGACGAACATCCCGATAAACCGATGGCGCTGAATAACCTCGCCGGGTCGTTGTACTGCCGTTTCGAGTCTTTCGAAAAGAGGGAGGATATAGACGATGCAATCTCGACGCTCGAACGCGCGCTTGATCTAATCAAATACACCGATCGGCCAGAGGAACTGGACTTTGCTGATAATTTGGGATACATGCTGTGTCAGCGCTTCAATCTATACCACGAATCACACGACGTCGAGGCGTCTATTGCGCTGCAGCGTCGTATAGTCGACTCCACACCTGCCGGACACGCGGGCAAGCCTAATCGGCTGAGCGGGCTCGGACTCGCGCTGCAAGCTCGTTTTGCTGCATTTGGGGACGTGGACGATATCGACGACACTATCTCTGCGCATCGAGAGGCCGTCGATCTCACAGCTGGTGAAGACCAGAATAAGCCGACATGGCATACAAACCTCGGGATCGCTCTATCCGGACGCTTTGCTCTGCTTGGTCGCGTCGATGACTTCAACAGCGCCGTGACATCTTTTATGGCAGCGACAGATAGACCTCTGGGCGATCCTCGCATCCGATTGATAGCCGTACAAGAACTTGTCAAACTACACACAACCCACCCCACGACACGTCCTCCCTCGTCACTCCTAACAGCCCACTCGCGCGTCCTGGACGTCCTCCCCGAGATCGTCTGGATCGGATACGCCCTAGACCGGCGCTACCACGAATCCGCATTCCTCAACGGACTCGTGACGTCCGCCGTAGCTGCTGCCATCGACGCCTCTGCACTGCCCCAAGCGGTCGAATGGCTCGAAGAAGGCCGATCACTGATCTGGTCTCAAGTTCTATCTCTCCGTATGCCGCTGCATGAATCACTGAGAGAAGCACGGCCTGACCTCGCGGATCGTCTAGTGGATGTACAGAAGAAGTTACAGCTTTCTTCGTACGCGTATCCTCGAACTAGCTCGAACATCGACGACGGGAAGACGCTTCGCAAATTACGGTCGATAGAGCTGCGGATCGCCATCGGAGGCTTATTCTGGAGTACGAGCAGCTGGTCAAGGAGATCCGCGCGTGTGCCGGGTTCGAGGACTTTATGCGGTCGGGGATGAAGTCCGCAAACCTCGAAGACGGGCGTGACCCTGTCGTCTTTCTGAACGTTGCGCCGGCTCGTTGCGATGCTTTGATACTCGTTGGACGCGAGATAAGGCTGGTGGAACTCCCGGACCTCACGCAGACATGCGCGGAGAGCATGCGTGCGCTGTGGAATGCTCAACTTGCACAACACGGTGTGCGCCAGCGAGGGCACAGAGCTATGAGCTGGGCCCGCGGCGCAGACAACGAGAGGGCAAGCTCGATGAAGGGAGTACTAAGCTGGTTATGGACGTCAGTCGTACACCCCATCTTACAGTCGCTCGGTCTCGTACGCCCATCCGTCGACACCAGCTCCTTGCCGCACATCACGTGGTGTCCCACAGGCGCGCTCACCCAGCTCCCGCTCCATGCCGCTGGGATCTACGACGGACAGGGAGGCACTGGACCTCGGGCGTACGACTTTATCGTGTCGTCGTACACCCCGTCGTTATCTGCTCTCCAGCGCTGCCGCGCGGGCGCACGTTCTCGGTCGCGAGCCTCGGAGCCGAGCATACTGGTACTGGCACAGTCCCACACGCCCCGGCCGGGCCTCTCCCCGCTCGAAAACGTCGCCGCCGAGAGCGCGTGTATCCGCGCGTTGTTGCCGCCTGAGCACGGCCATACGTTCCTCGAAGACGAGCACGCAACCGTCGACGCGGTGCTATCCACCGTCAGCGAACACAGCTGGCTCCACCTCGCGTGCCACGGCTCGCAAAAACGCGGCGATCCATCGCAGAGCGCGTTCGAGCTGCACGACGGCCCACTGACGCTCTCCGCGCTCATGTCAACCACCTCCCAAAAGGCGGAGCTCGCGTTTCTCTCTGCGTGCCAGACTGCGACAGGCGACGAGGATAATCCCGAGGAGAGCGCGCATCTCGCGGCGGGGATGTTGGGCGTGGGGTTTAGGGGCGTTGTGGGAACTATGTGGTCGATTGGGGATGAGGATGCGGTTGTTGTTGTTGGGGCGTATTATAGGAGGCTGCTTGAGTTGCGCGGGGGTGGTGGGTTGAGGGGAGGGAAGACGGGGGCGGCATATGCGCTGCATGAGGCGGTTAGGGTGTTGAGAGAGAAGGTTGGGGAGGGGGATTTGTTGAGTTGGGTTCCGTATGTGCACTTTGGGGTGTAGTTTTTGTGTAGCGCGGCGTATTGCGTATTCACAACCAGTTGATATATTCCGAGTAACTATGTCAGAGTGTATTCAGACGAAATGTATACGGTATCATGGCGGTGGGAGAAGAAGCCGGGGGCCCGCGAGCCGCGCGCCACACGCGCGAACACGCAGACCGAGCCCCGTCGCAAGCTTTTCCTCAACAGCCGCGCATAAGCAGAGCTCCAAAGATCCATCCTGCCAGCGATGCCAGAGCTAACGGCCTCGCTGGAAGCGCGCACGACGGTCGTTGTGATATGAGATAGTCGGGAGCCGGATGCGGCGAGGCGGAGCGGCGTCCCGTCTCGATCGTCGCTCGCCCTCTTGTCCGCCCGACGCTCTCTCCCGTCCACCACCAGCCATGCCCATCCTACGCCCAAGACCAGTAACTCTTCTCCCCAGGACCGCGCGCGCTCTCCCAAAAGCCACACGGCGCGCCTACGCCAGCGCGCCCGCGTCCGCCGTACGCGCTCTCGTACCGCTGAATGCAAGGGTCTCAGTCTGACCATTGTTGTTGTTGTTTTGTAGGATAAGAAGACGGGGCTGTACGACTTTCATGTCCAGCATGGCGCAAAGATGGTGCCCTTTGGCGGATGGTCGATGCCGCTGTCCTACGCCGACGTAGGCCAGGTCGCGAGCCACAAGCATGTGCGGTCCGCCGCGGGTCTATTCGACGTCGGACATATGGTCCAGCACATGTACGTCGCCAATCTCATTCCAACACCCAGATACCACAGTTGCTTAAACGCTGTCTAGGTTCCGCGGCCCGCGCGCCGGCGCCTTCCTCTCGCACCTAACGCCCTCCTCGCTCTCCTCCCTCCCCGCATTCAGCAGCACCCTCTCCGTCCTCACCCTCCCCTCCGGCGGCATCCTCGACGACACCATCATCACAAAACACGCGGACGACGCGTGGTACGTCGTCACGAACGCCGCGCGCGCGAAGGAGGACTGCGCGTGGTTTGCTCAACAGCTTGAGGAGGGCGGGTGGGCGGATGGCGTAAAGTGGGAGGTGTTGGAGGGGCAGGGGCTTGTCGCGCTTCAGGGTGTGTCTGCCTCAGCCACTCGTTGTTCTGGGATCGACTGACGGTGTCGGTCACAGGCCCCGAAGCGGCGAACGTGCTCCAGAAGCACACATCCTTCGACCTCAAAACCCTCACATTCGGCCGCTCGGCCTACATCCCCGTCGACGGCGTAGAGGTACACGTCGCGCGCGGTGGTTACACCGGCGAAGACGGCTTCGAAGTGCGCTTTTCCTCCATTCCATCCTAACCTTAAGAGCCATTCATTGATTCGGTCGGGGTAGATCTCCATACCCGCGGAACACACCGTGAAGATCACGTCTGCGCTTCTCGAGGGCCCCGTTCAGCTCGCAGGCCTCGGCGCGCGCGACTCGCTGAGGATCGAGGCGGGGATGTGTCTGTACGGGTCGGACATCGACGAGACTACTACCCCGGTCGAAGGCGGATTATCATGGGTCATCGGTGCGTGCGCAGTATACTTGCTGGACAAGGTGCTGATATTGAGTGATGTGGTACAGGCAAAGACCGCCGCGCGGCGGGCGACTTCATTGGTGCGGAGCCCATCCTCAAACAGCTCAAAGACGGCCCGCCACGGAGGCGCGTAGGCTTCGTCGTCTCGGGCGCACCTGCACGCCGTACGTCCCTCCTCCCCTCCCCTCCCCTTCATCCCTAGTCCAACCCATACTCACGCCCACCCCACAGACGGCGCCAAAATCTTCAACGCCGAAGGCTCAGAAGAGATCGGCGTCGTAACGTCCGGCATCCCCTCGCCCACGCTCGGGCAGAACATCGCGATGGGGTATGTGAAGTCTGGACATCATAAGCGCGGCACGGCTGTCAAGGTCGACGTCCGCGGGAAGTTGAGGGAGGCGAGTGTGGCGAAGATGCCGTTTGTTGAGAGTCGGTATTGGAGGGGTTGATGGGTGTGCGTGAAGGAGTGAAGATGAAGATGAAGAGGGCGGCCTGCTTCAACATGCGGGATGTCTGGACTCCCGCTTCAACATGCGGCAGGACGGGACACAAGACGCAGGAGCGATGAAGAAACATCTACTGCAGTATGTTTGCGGAATGAATCTCATTGCTCCGCAATGTCACGTGTCGCTGCGTGTCCACGCCTTTCAATGTAACCGAGTACTGACGGTGAACAAGTCCAAGACAGACTACAACCTCATTCCTTGTATCAGTCCTCTCTGTTCAAGAATGATTCTCGATGCTATATACTGGACATCCCGTCTGACGTGCCAGTGTCGCTGCCACGCGGCATGGCGGCTCGGTGATCTCGCACAGAGCCCGTTGCTCTGCTGTGGTATGAGTAAACGGCTTGTTCAGAATGACGCTACTGATGTTACTCGGCGTAGCCTTGCAGCTGTTGCTATAAGCTTGGCGCAGACCCTGCCTCGGGCGTGTCGAAATCTCCATCTGGCGTTTACCCCGAGAGAGGATCTCGGCGACGCTCCGGTACGCATGCACAGGCTCTTCACTGACAAGTGGTTCACTCGCGCCCGTCCAGATGGGGCTGATGTTCGCACTTCAACAGTCAGAGTGCGCCGGAACAATAAGTATGCTGCTGTTCCGCGCTTCTCGCCGCGCTTCTCAGCCTCGTGGATCATCCGGATTGTGTTTTTATATGCGCGCTCTAACGGTTCTGCTAACGTTCCCCAAACTCTCACCCTCGCCCCATCTCCATTCAGCGTCAAGTGATCGTGTACCGGTCTCGACATGGTGAGTATCCTGTCATTCTTCGCGTGCAGAGGCATCAACTGCTCACATGTGCGCCATTAGGACAACAACTCACCAGCCTCCTCGATCTCCAGAGAGGCCGTCGCATTCCCTGATGCTCGAGCAACCTCTGTTCCTCCGCGACCCAGTGCAATTCAGCCTTTTCAGACCGAGTCCGCGCGAAACCCTAATCCGGGCCCGGATGGGAGCCTATTGATCTCGGACAGTCTTGATCAGTCTATCCAGACTGCTCGAACTGCAATCGGCAATGAACAAGATCCACGCAGGCGTGTACAGCTCTTATGCCAACTGGGCTCCCAGTTCGAAGCTCGGTTCCGCACCACAAACGCTTCGGAAGATCTCAACGGTGGAATCGCCGCATTCGAAGGCGCGCTCGAACTGATCATGATGGCCCACGCCGAACGCGTCCCACCAACAATCCAAGCGAACGCCTTCTGCTGCTGTGGTGCCCTCCTGCGAATGCGCTATCGAAGGACCGGGGATATCGCTGATATCGACCGGTCTGTCGAGATGCACGCTCGTGCTGTTGATCTCACGCCCGAGAGTCAAGATACCCTTCCTATATTCCTGAATGATCTTGCGAACTCGCTTCATTCACGGTATCGTCGTACCGGGAGAATCGGGGACCTTGAAAGGGCCATCTCGTTGCACCGCCGTGCTGCGACTCTTATCGACTCTGGTCAACCGGGCCACGCACTCTCGTTGCATAATACTGGTAATGTGTTGCTGAGCCTGTTCAGGCGTACGGGGGATACTAGACACCTGGACGAAGCCATTTCGGTACTACGACGTGCTGTCGAAAGCGTTCCGGATCCAGATGATCCTCCCACCATGGTCTCCATGCTTGCGGCCCTCGGCGAATCCCTGCGTTCGCGCTACGAACATACGCACGATCTCGAGTCACTCAAGCAATCCATCATTGCACTGCGTCGCGCCGTCAAGCTTGTCCCGGAAAGGCATCCCATGATGGCTAGCTGCCTCGATGAGCTGGGCGTCTCTCTCTGCGTTCATTACGAGCATACGGCCGAGCTCGACTATCTCGAGCAGTCCATCCTATATCATCGTCGTGCGGTCGATCTTACGCCAGATAGCAGTCCCAATAAATCGTGGACGCTCAACAACCTCGGCAACGCGCTGTATCTTCTTTCTCAACGCGACCCGGGATCGGTCGGACATATAGACCAAGCAATATCCGTGCAGTGTCGAGCGCTCGAGCTCGTCCCGGACAAACACGCCCATTTCGCAGTGATATCGAATAATCTTGGGAGATCGTACTCTGCGCGTTTTCAGCACACTGGTGCGGCCGAGGACATTGAACGTGCGATTGAACACTACCGCCGGGCGATTGAACACACGCGCGACGGTCATCCGTCGAAGGCGCTGCGGATCAATAACTACGGTACCGCGCTGCACATGCGCTATAAGCGCTCGGGGCGCTTGGAGGATCTGGAAGGAGCGATCCAAGCTTTTGAATATACCGTCGCGCTCACGCCTGCTGGGCATCCCGATATGCCTGGGTGTCTCGCCAATCTCAGTTCTTCGCTGGGTTCGCAGTATGATCGTACTGGGGCTGTTGAAAGCCTTCACAGAGCAGTCTTCGTCGTTCGGAAGGTGGTAGATGCCACACCTGATGATCACCCTATGAAGTCTACGCTATTGACCACGCTCGGCGTCTCGTTGACTCAACTCGGTAGCCGCACCGAAAGCCTCGCCAGCCTCGACGAGGCCGTCTCTATACTTCGAAGTGCAGCTGAGCTGGCCCCGACCGGCAGCTACGAGAAGTCCAAATGTCTCTCCACTCTAGGCACATCGCTCTTCGCCCGCTTCCGTCTCTCAGAAGATCTGAGAGACATCGACCAAACAATCGCAGCGAGCTGTACAGCTCTGGACCTCGTACCCTCCGACCATCCCGATAAACTCTCATGCTTGAGCAATGCCAGTAACGCGCTCATGGGCCGCTACCAGCTCACGGGCGATCTAGCGGACATCGATCTCGCCATCACGTTTGCGCGCCGTGGAATCGACATGATGCCTGCGAACCAGGCCGATACTGCTCGGTGGTTCATGAACCTCGGAAGCGCACTGCTGTTGCGCTTTCAGAGGACGAAAGAGCATGACGATATCGAGGGCTCTATATCCATTCTCCGTCAGGCGATTGATATGACGCCCGACGGGAACGAAGACAAGGCCGGTCGGTATGTCAATCTTGCTATCGCGCTCGCCGAGCGTTTTGGTTCGGGACATGATATGGAGGATATTCGAGCCGCTATAAGAGCTCAGACTCGTGCGCTTTCGTGCGTCTCTGACAAGCATCTGATCACACCGACTGTACTGCGAGGTCTCGGCGACCTTCATCGCGAGCGATTCCTGAGTACACAGGACATCAATGATATAGAGACTGCTATCTCCTACGGGCAGCGCGCCGTGGCGTGGTTCTCGGATGAGAGCAAAGTGCCTGCGATCTACTACGATAACCTCGGTGCTTCACTCTCGCTCCGATATCGGCACACAGAGCGATTGGAGGACCTCGAAGCCGCGATCGCGTTGTCGAGGAGAGCCATTGAGCTCACGGCGGACGGCGACGTGTCTTTAGCAGCCAAGCTCAGGAATAATGGCCTGGACCATCAGAAGTTGTTCGAACGTACTGGAGCTCAAGAGGCATTCGGAGCCGCGATACGGTCCTTTACACAATCGCTGATGCAGTTGTCTGGAGACCCCTTCGTCCGTCTTGACTCGGCCAAGCATTGTATCGTGCTGCTCGCTTTGCGACCAGAGGCGTATCCTCTTGACTCTCTTCTGAATGTACTCTCGCGGATGGTGGCGATCCTCCCCGAGATCGCTTGGCATGGATATGACGTCCATCGACGCCTCGATGAGTCTTCCCGCCTGGGCTCCCTTGTCACGATGGCTGTCTTCATAGCCGTTGCGAATCGAGCAAAGCTGCAGGCCGTCGAGTGGCTCGAAGCTGGGAGATCGCTGATATGGAAGCAGATCCTGTCGCTGCGTACTCCGCTTGGCGATCTACAACGGGCTCATCCGGATCTGGCGGAGTCTCTGCGGGGTATCCAAAGCAGACTATCGCTGTCGACTCATCGTAGCGTCTTTTCTCCCGAAGTTCATGCTTTTGGCGGTATTCCAGGCCTAACGGTGAACACTGCGGCGGATAGTCACCGTAGCCTCGCCGTTGAGTACGACAAAGTGCTGAAAGAGATCCGCGCGCTACCCGGGTTCAGCAACTTCTTGCTCCCGGAAAACATCCACACGCTTCTGCCAAAGCTTCACATGATGGATGGACCCGTCGTCTTCATCAACACGCATCCTGCTCGCTGTGATGCTATCACCGTCTGCCCCGATGGCACAGTGACGACGATTCCCTTGCCTGGGTTGACGAAGGCGCGTGTGGTGCAGATGCAAGCACTCCTGGGGACATGCCTTAGCGAGGGCAGGAATAGTATGCGCGGATTCCCGCTGCAGGACTCACTCAGTGGAGATAACACTGTATTGGAGATGCTGAACCATAGAGATGATGTTCGCGCATCTCAGCAGCACGGTGTCTGGGCTAATCGCGGCGAAGAGGACCTCGCTCGCGTCCTGGAGTACTTGTGGGTGTGGATCGTCGACCCTATTTTGCAAGCCCTTGACATCAAGATTCAGGTAAGCTACACCGTCACTTGACATTTGCTCGATCTGACGACACGTACGAGAAGGTACACGGCACTCATCTGCCACATATCAGCTGGTGCCCCACAGGGCCCTTAGCGCAGATGCCTCTTCATGCGGCAGGGGTATACAGCGATCCCTCCGGTCCGCGAGCATTCGACTACGTCGTGCCATCGTACACGACTTCCCTGTCCGCCACACTCCGCGGCTTTCAAGGCGTAGCCGAGGGACGTCCTGCACCGTCTGTCCTTGTGGTGACTCAACCGGCGACACCAGGATTGAGCAGACTGCCAGAAACACAGGCCGAGGCGCTCTGCATCCAAGGTATTCTGGAAGGTGTAGACATTCGACACGCGGAATACACGCATGACCAAGCCACTGTGCAAGCCGTCCGCGACGTGCTGAACCAACATCCATGGGTCCATCTCGCATGCCACGGATCGCAGAACGAAACCGACGCCACTCAAAGCGCCTTCGCTCTATACGACGGCCCATTGACGCTCTCGGATCTGATGGGCACCGTGGCCCAGAACGCTGAGCTTGCGTTCCTATCCGCATGCCAGACGGCTGTAGGCGACGAGAGGGTACCCGAGGAATCAGCGCATCTCGCGGCGGGCATGTTGGCGGTCGGGTACAAGGGCGTGGTGGCGACGATGTGGTCCATCCAAGACGCTGATGCGCCGGTCGTCGTCGAGGCGTTTTATAAGGAGTTGTTCGCCTTCCGCGCGGCAGGGGAGAATAGGGTGAAAGGCACTGGGGCGGCGTACGCTCTTCACGAGGCGACGAAGGTCCTGAGGGAGACGGTGGGCGAGCAGAGCTTCATGCGATGGGTCCCGTTCGTGCACTTCGGCGCGTAAGAGTGATCTGAATTCGGCTATCTAAGATGAATCATCACAGAGATCATATGTGCTCTAGTCGACTTCGGGCAACGAGTATACAGCAACGGATGGTATTGCTATGTAGCATGGAAGCGAGAGGCAAGATCTCAAGGCAAGAGGGCTGTTGGTGGAAAAGTCAAACGTTTCACGGGTGCGCGCATGCGCCCGGGCCGCGCCTGGTCTGCCGCGGCAGAACGCGGCTTGCGCTCTGACGACCACCATGTATCAATCATTTTTTGTCGATATTCCTACGTCGATGCCCAAATCACATATGTTTTAACTACCGATATGATTGGTTCTCTCAAGTCTCGACTCGGAGCTTGTGCACTGAGCATGACGTCTGACTGGCGCCGTTCGACTGCCAACACGAGGTCTACCTCATTGATGTGCATTCTGATTCATCCGTTACAGGCGATTTTTTGCTTCTGATGAAGCAAAGCCTACACGCTTAGCCTCCTGCGCTGTCCTGAATACTCTGGGGGGTGCGCACGAGGTTGTCTTCCGCCACCAGATATCCTACTAGAGGACACCCCTCCCCCAGTTATGGTACGTCTTCCGAGCACGCTCTGTCATACCGTGACTTACTATTTATTCTCTAGGTCAACGCCATTCCTGCTCCTACTACAGTGTCTCTGCGCGATGCGATGGCAGATCCAGCTTTTCGCGCTCGTGCGGCGCAGACTTTCGAGGAGGACCTTCCCCATCATCCCAGCAGACTCGGTGATTTGATGTGGGCCTGTTATCAAGCGTTTCCTCAGGAGGCGACATGGTTAGATCGGTCAATACTTGCTACAACGAATGCGAACACGGCAGAACGATTCGAAGACACGACCCAACGCGCAGCGCTCTACTTCAAGCTTGCTACTCGTTTGCGGACTCGCTTCGAATTACAAGATCGAGTGGGCGACTTGACCGACGCGGTCACATCCTACCGGCGCGCACTGGACTTGACGCCTGAAAGTCATCACGAACGGACGAGGCGGCTCAATGACTTAGGCACCTCATTGATGGAGCGATATCGCCGGATCGGCGAACTGTGCGACCTCGAGGAAGCCATCGTGGCGTATCAGCGACTGGCTGAAGCAGTACCCGACCGACACTTTCTGAAGCCATTGGCTCTCGGAAACTATGGCGCCGCCCTAAGGGATCGCTTTCTGCGTATACGCAGCCAAGCTGATTTGGACCTGGCGATCTCGGTTTACAGCCGCGCTGTCGAGATGAGCCCCGATGGACACCCCGAGAAGCCATCGCTGCTCTGCAGCCTGGGCAATTCGCTTCGAACGCGCTTCGAACAGAATGAAAAGGCCGATGTTGCTCTTCTCGAGCGGGCTTTGGCACTGCATCGCCATGCCACTGCACTCACGCGCCCGGACAACCCTGATCGATCGGAATGGCTCGATGGCTTGGGAGTAGCTCTTCTCACTCACTTCGAGCACACCGGACAGCTTGCAAGCCTCGAGGAAGCCATAGTGGCTCATCGTCAGGCCACGGAGTTGAGCCCGCCGGATAGTAACGCTCAGCGCAGAAGGTTGACACACCTTGGACTTTCGTTACTCAGGCACTTCGAGCGCACTGGAGAACTAGAAGACATTCAGCAGGCCATCTTGGTTCAACGTCGCGCAGTCGAGCTTACGCCTGACGACCATCCGGACAAAGCGTTATGCTTCAACAACCTCGGTATCTCGTTTCTGCGGCGTTTCGAACGCACGCTGGACGGAGAAGACATTGATAACGCTGTTGAAACCCTAAAGCGAGCGCTCGATGGTATACCGGACGGTCATCCCGAACAGCCGACGATGGATCTCAACCTCGGAAATGCGTTCCTATTGCGCTACGAAAGAACCGGCGTCGTCTCCGACCATGATCGATCCCTACCTGTATTGAAGCGCGCAGTCGAGCTTGCTCGCGAGGGACAGCCAAACCTTATCATGTTGTACAACAGCTTGGCCTGCTGTTTGGTACACCAATACCTGCGCACCAACGACACGGACCTTCTTTCAGATGCCATATCTATTTTCAGGAAGGGAGCCGAGTTCTCCACTCAGAGCGACCCTTTTCTGTCAGTGTCTTTGAAGAACCTCGCCAGCGCGCAAAGGTTGCTCTTTGAGTCCACGCACGACCAGGCGCACTTCGAGGCCGCTTATCAATCCTTCATGGCTTCGGCGTCCCTTTCATTTGGTCTTCCAACCGAGCATATGCAATCTGCGATGCGTTGCATATCCATGCTTACTGCATATCCCGAGTTCAGCTCAACGAAGCGCTTGCTCTCTGCGTACTCGCGCGTTGTCGGCATTCTTCCAGAGGTCGTGTGGCTTGGCCACGGTATCAATCGACGCTACGACGAGTCTGCAAAGTATGGAGAGATTGTGAGCGCTGCTGTCGCTGCTGCTATAAGCGCTGGAGCGATGGAACAAGCGGTGGAATGGCTTGAAGCGGGAAGATCTGTGATCTGGTCCCAACTGCTATCACTACGCACGCCACTCGACGAACTTCGTGACGCTCAGCCTGATCTTGCTGGCGCTCTTGAAACGACTCGCGCACATCTTCAGCAGTCCGTACACACAACACTTGCTCTGGACGCCGATGCCATTCCTTCCGCTGGAGGGGCGTCAGGCTTGACGGTGAACCCCACCGCCGATCGCCACCGTTCGTTGGTTGCGCAATACGAGAAACTCCTGGAGAAGATCCGAAGATGCACCGGCTTTGAGAACTTCCTACGTCCACAGAAGGTGTCATCCCTTATTCCAGCGCCTGCGCTCATGAGTGGGCCTGTTGTCTTTATCAACGTGCATCTAAGCCGTTGCGACGCTGTCGTCATCACATCGAGCGGACACATCAAGTTGGTGCCACTATCCGAACTCTCGTACATCCGTGCAAAGAAGCTATGTAAGCTGTGGGGTGAGCACGCACTGGGAGGCGGAGGGCACTCGCGCGCAATAATAAGATTGGGTGATCCGGAATGGGACAGGAACATGGTTAAGGTTTACTTGGGACATATGTGGTCGTGGATTGTAAAACCTATCCTCTCAGCCCTTGATCTCATAAGCTTGGTGAGTACGTCTGCTCAAGCATGATGCATGATGGCGTATCATCACTTACACGGTGATCCAAGTCACTTCAGGGTGAGAATGCACGCCTGCCGCATGTCACTTGGTGCCCCACAGGACCGCTCATGCAGCTGCCTCTGCATGCTGCGGGGCTCTATGGCGAGCCGAACAGACAACGCGTCTACGACTGCGTCGTATCGTCGTATACCCCTTCTCTGTCTGCTTTGAAGCGCAGTTATGACAGCCTGGACGTGACTGGCTCGCTCCGAGATGTGCTTATCGTCACACAACCCTCTGCTCCTGGTCAGACACCCATTCCCGCGGCGGCTCAGGAAGGCGCCCGTCTAGCGGACACACTAGACACTCTTGGTGCATCAAGTAAATGGATCAACGAGGAGTTCGCTACTGCTCGTCGTGTTCGCTCCGTGGTGGGCCGATATCCTTGGGTACATTTCGCGTGCCATGGTTCGCAAAACCAGGACAACCCCACGTCAAGCGCCTTCGAGCTCTATGATGGGCCACTTACGCTCTCGGATCTCATGAGCATGATGTCAAACGACGCGGAGCTCGCATTTCTGTCTGCGTGCCAGACTGCCGTTGGTGACGGGAAGGTCCCGGAAGAGTCCGCGCATCTTGCAGCCGGCATGCTTGCAGTCGGGTTCAAGGGCGTTGTAGCCACGATGTGGTCCATCCAGGACGACGACGCGCCTATCATCGTGGCGGCCTACTACAAAGAGTTAACAACGCTCCGCACGAAAGAGATGATCGAAATGAAGGGGACAGGTTCGGCCTACGCTCTTCATGAAGCGACGAGGGTCTTGAGGGAGGCTGTCGATGAAGGAAGTTTCATGCGGTGGATCCCGTTCGTACATTTCGGCGTGTGATGGGATTTAGTCCACAGCCAGGTAGTGATATGTGAGCATATCGACGAGTGCTCGCCAACCGGCCATGAGCGCGTGAGTCTAGTTTCAACTTCCCGAAAACATGGGCAACTCAGAATAAAAATATTGAATGTGATAATCAGCGCCGGGTGCAGACTCAAGGAGGCCAGCTTCAAGTCTTTCAGCTTGAGTCCCTGTATCGTGAGATGCATGGTATAATTCGATTGGGAACAATGCCTATGTGACGGTCTGGAAGCGAGCTACCATGATCATCGTGGCAAGCAAGTCGCTGAGGGTGAACGCGAGCGTGCGGATGCTCCGGGCCGGATTGATGTGCAATGCGACTTGACCGCAACCGCGATGTTTGCGGGAACGCTGCATACTGTTCAACCATCTGACGCTGCAAATTATTAGCTGCTATGCACCTATACTCAAGTGAGAAAATGCCGCTCGCGTATGACAGCGAACCGTCTACACCCAGCCGCACTCTGCTACAGATCTCGGGAGTTGAACCTCCTTCTGATGCGCTGATGGGCGCGTATGCACACGTCTACTTGCGCTTCAACAGGCTCTTCGCCAAGATCCATAGGATGACGATACGATGTTGAAAAACTTGCATGTACGGTACCTATGACTGATGGACATGCACAGAGACGAACTGCGTGCTGTCATAAGACACAGAAGTTGGCGGACATTGTCGAGTCCTACGCCATCAAATGATGCGGTACTTCCTCCGCCAATCGCGAGGCACGTTGCTGACCCGATGGATACAGGCCACTTGATCGATATATACACCAAGTCCAGAGCCTGGCGCATATGACGACCCAAGCTTTACGCTGGCTTTGCCTTGCTTCCACCCATCATCCCGCCGCCGAGCCCGGCCAGGATGGTCGTTCTCTCGTTCATCCTCACGTTCCTACTCGCCGCCCTTGCCCTCGCGCAGGATGACACCACACCTTCCGAATGGGTTCGCACATCTTTACACGCTTCTGTCTATCCGACCTGATGTAATTGCTGCATTCCTCCCCCAGAATACGACGACATATCTGACGCGACCAGAGCGCGAGTCGCTCGCAAGTGCCGCCGCGGCGCGGCTGGTTTCGAAGATTGATCCGACAACGGGCAGAATCAACAGTGCGTTTCATTCTTCTTGCCAATCCCTCGTTCACCAACTATGAGATGAATTAATCGTGCTGATGATTCTGTAGGTCTGGGATTTAGCTCTCAGGATGTAAACCTCGCGGCGGTGCTCGCGCTCCAGGATTATCACAGGGGAAGCAATACCTACCAGGAGGTGTTGTCGGACATGTTTTCTACGTACTATGCGGGACATAACAACTCGTTCTTTGCCGCCCTACCGTGCGTGATCATCATGTTTAAGAGATACCCGACCAGCTGACGAGTACACAGGGTGAGTAGAGTTGAGACATGCCGTGCGACATGTGATGGAGCGCTGATTTACTACGAGTAGCATGGAAATAATGAGGATATGTGCGTCTATCGCGGAATCCGTGCTGTCGGGCATCTCTGACGAGTACCAGACAATGGGGCCTCTCAGCATACTACGCCTTTCGAGCGTATGGGGACGAGACGTTCTATAACCTCGCGAAGGATTCATGGGAGCGCGTGTACTCATATATCGTCGACACGGGTGATGCGCAGAATGGAACACAGGCGACGAGGTCTGTGAGCTTCAAGACGGAGTGCCCCTCATGTGAGCTATCTCGTAGTGGAAATTGGCAGCAGCTGTTGATACGCGTGCAGCCAAGGCTATCGGAAATGACTCCAATATCGGCGCGGTATTCATGGTGAGTTGCGCCACGGATCTCTTCATCTTCAGAACCTCATGCGCGATGTTTTAGTATCCTGATACGAAGAACGATACTAGCGTCAACTCACAAACCATGGGGTAAGTCTGTGCATGCTCTGCGTATGGGCCCCAGCTAACATCTCCCCATAGCCCTTTCATGACGTACGTGAAGACTTGCAATGCCGCTCAATCTGACACTCACGTCACGTCAGCCTCGGCGCATATCTTTACGAGTCGAGCAACCGTACTTCTCAGTACCTCGCCTACGCAAATCTGACTGGGCAATATCTCAACTATCATCTGTACAATGGAACAATCATGCTCGACACTGCGAACGTCGCTACGTGCGCTGTGGACACCGCTACCGCGTTCACGTATAACACGGGCTACGTGCTCGAGGGTATCGCTGTTCTGGCGAACCAAAGCCTCACAAGTCTTGCGGGCACTGATGACGGGTTGGAGATGTATCGGGACTGGTGAGGGCTATTGCTCATATCTCGACCGAGCACGTTCAAATGATGACTAGGTTAAACACTATGGTTCCAGAGGCTATCAAGTTCGTGGGCTGGACAGGAGATGATGGTGTCATATTTGAGGGTACGTCGCATCTGGGAGTCGTGGATGTGCGAAGTTAACGTAACGCAGAGAACGCCGATCCGGATAATTGGACGAGCGGCTTGAAAGGTAAAGTTATGACAGGCGTGTCAATACATACCAGATGCTGACGCTGCGATTCAGCTGTCCTCGTGAGAGGTCTCCTCGAAGCTCGCGCCCGTAATCCAGCGGCGGACTGGGCACCGCTCGTCGATAACTTCGTCACAGTCCAAGTACGTTCTCGCCTCTTATCGTGTTTTACTGTTCAATAACCAATCTTCTTGTAGTACAATGCCTTGCTGACTTCCAACGCCGCTGGGAGCAATGACACATACTCGACTGACTGGCGCACTGTATCAAACGGGACGATTGACTATCCAGGAAGCATCACGGCGTTGGATGTTCTGAACGCTGCAATCGTGACTCCGTGAGCACCCCTGATATCATGCCCCTGCTCTAACTCACTCATAACGCGCAGAACAAATGCGACTACTGAAGCCCCTTCGACGTCAAACAAGTCCGGCGGCACAAACGTCGGCGCGATTGTTGGCGGTGTGATTGGTGGCCTGGCCGCACTCGCCATCATCGGTTTCCTCTTGTTCCTCCTTCGCCGCCGTCATAACCGCCGTATACCGAGCTCGCGCGCCTTCCTTGACGATAACGGCCGCCCGCGTCAGTCAATGATCCAGCCCTTCGTCGCAACCCACGGGCCGGCGTTCGCCGGACCCACAGGAACATCCGAATCGTACCCATTCTATCCATCCTCCACCACCGAGCTTCATTCCAATGGCGTCCCAAACAGTATCGGCGCCGCGGCAATGCATCCAAAGTTGCAGCGAATGCAGCAGAGCTATACAGCTTCGGATACATCCGCACACCAAGCGCCGCCAAGTACCAACCCACCATCGTCGGCTGCGCCGACAAGCCCTACAAGCGACGAGCGCACACTTAGCCCGAGCGAGATCTCGTCGCTCTTGAGGCGGCTCAACGGCATCCTTGGCCGCAGCCCTGCCTCAGTGCTGCCGCCTGACGTGCATATGCTTGAGACGGATGCGTACGAGGGCGCGCCGCCGCCGGACTATCGTGACGCGGCTGGTCAGCGATAGCCAGAGTTAGCGTTGTACTATTTTTATTCAGCCTGGCCTTCTCAGTCTATTGAGTTCGATCTTGTCGTACATACTAGCTATCTCTGTCATACCACTCCTTTGTCTTCACGGATTCATGTATATCATCACCACTTTTGGGTATCAATCTCATTTCATGTGCATCAACCATTCGGTTCGCAGCTGTTGAGATATTAGTGCTGTAGAGTCAGGTGTCGGTGCACTTTACGAAGGTCAGAACGTCTACAGTGATTGCGTCCTGACCATTCAACGTATTATGGCAGCGAGACCGCACCGCCGAGCATAGCCGGGTCCGAACATGCTGCGAGATGGGTCCATGGCTGTCCGAGATTTACGTGGGAGACAATCAGGGTCGCCGACGCGCGAACCTGCGAGCACGTTGCGCTCACCCTCAGGTGTCCCCTTCTGCCATGACCTCTATTTTATGCATCTCTGACCTCTTAACAACATTCCATGGTGGTGTCTGGCCCTGTACATACGCAAAATCGGCGGGTTTGCGCGTCGATCATCACTCTCACTGCGGTGGGCGTACGTACTTGTCATCACCGAGCCTCAGCTCCTCAAAGGCTTGGGCGAGATATCAACACGTTCCTTGGCTCTTCAAGCTTCAAGTGCCAGCACAGAACCGACGAAGTCCCGGAGAGTGGCTATAAGCTATAGCGGCAGGACAATGTCCCCACCAAATGCAAGACCCACGGAGCACAAGCGCCAGTCTGCTACTACAGCTCAGACGCTGAATTGACGTTTGATGCTGCGCCGTACATCCTTCTCAGCGAAGCGACAGGTCCATTCATTGTCCTGAGTCGTAAGCGCGGGGTATGCGGTAAGCCCGTGTGCGCGAACATCGTCCCGAACCTCACTCTCGCTGCGCGGGACCAACCGAGACTGTTCGCGCCCGCGGGGCAGTTCTGCCGTTGGTGATGGTGTAGTAACGTTCGCGTTTACCCTACTCACGTATAAAGAGGCAGGGTCGGAAACCGTTGATCCTCACTCCCTCCGTCGTCCTCTTTCTTTCTTCTTCTGGGGCACGTCATTTATTGTTTAATTATGCGCGTTTCTGCTCTTCTTTCTCTGATTCCTTTCCTGGTTTCCGAGTCCCTCGCTGCCGTGGTGCAGAAGACACTCACACTCTCTAACGAATATCGTGCTCCTGATGGCTTCAACCGCTCGTTCGTCTCCCTCCATCGTATTCACAACTGCTTTACTGACGCTAATCGCAGCGTCACTCTTATTAACGGCCAAGAGATCGGCCCTGTCATTGTGGGCCAAGTGGTACGTGCGCACGCTTACAGTTTATACACCATCTCATGTTCTTTCAGGGCGACCGCTACGAGATCAACGTCGTGAACCAGCTCACGGATAAAAGCCTGGACTTGGGCACTACCATCGTGCGCACGTCGTTCGCGTGCGACTAACATTCTTACTGATGTATATCTTCAGCACTGGCACGGTATCTTCCAGGGTGGTAGCAACGAGTACGACGGCGTCGCGGATGTTACGCAGTGCCCTATTATTCCTGGCGAATGTACGTGGCCGTCCCTATGCGCTAGCATGTACACTGACACATTGATCCAGCTTTCCTTTACAACTTCACTGTTCCCGAGCAATACGGTAAGCCATCAGCGCGTCTTCTCACGAGACTTTCCTGACCATGGCTCGTAGGGACGTACTGGTACCACAGCCACTACAAGACCCAGGTACGTCATGTCAGAGTGCTCGGTGCAATCCCATCTGATTTAGCTATGAAGTACTGTGATGGCGTCCGCGGCGTCTTCGTTATTTACGGTACGTTTTCACACATCGCCGTCACCTTGAAGTCAGACTGATCGGGCTTCGCAGACCCTAATGACCCACACAAAGCTCTTTACGATGTCGACGATGAGACGACCATTCTCACGCTCTCCGACTGGTATCACTTCCCCGGCCCCCAGCACCCCGTGATTACCTTCTTCAACTCGACGCTCATCAATGGCCGCGGGCGCTACCAGGACGCCTTCGGCTCTGACCTGACCGTGCCCCTTTCTATCGTGTCCGTCGAGCAGGGTGTACGCTACCGCATGCGCATCGTTTCCCTCTCCTGGTGAGCGGATTTTCGGTCTCAGTGCTTCGGGCAAGGACTCATTGGCGTGTCTAGCGATCCCAACTTCACGTTCAGCATTGATGGCCACAACATGACGGTTATCGAGGTTGAGGGCGTTAACACCCAGCCTTTGGTAGTCGACCAGATGCAGCTCTTCACCGGCCAGCGCGTCTCAGTCGTACTCAACGCGGACCAGCCGGTGGACAACTACTGTGAGTAATGTGTCCTCAAGGACATACGAACTTCCGCTGAACCTTGCTTCCAATAGGGATCCGCTCGTTCCCCCAGAGTGCCTCTGCCAACGCCTTGGCGCAAACCTACGACAACGGTCTTAACCAGGCTATTCTCCGCTACAAGGGTGCACCAGAGGTCGACCCCACCACCACCGACGACAGTGGTCGTCTGCCGTTGATCGAGACCAACCTCCACCCGCTTGAGGCCATGCCCGTCCCCGGTACTCCCGCGCCCGGCGCCGCCGACATCAACATCCGTCTTGACCTGAAAGCTGTACGTCATGAGCCATCATCCAACCCAACATCCCTTTGAGCATCCGCACAGGTCCCTACCGGCTTCACCGTGAACGACGTCCAATTCGCCGCGCCGTCCGTCCCGATCCTGCTCCAGATCCTCAGCGGCGCGGCCGACGCGCGGAGCCTGCTCCCCGCCGGCGCGGTCTACGAGCTCGAGCGCAACAAGACGGTGGAGCTCGTCATCCCCTCTGGCTCGAACGGCGGCCCGCACCCCATGCATTTGCACGGGCAGAACTTCTGGGTCGTGCGCAGCGCGAGCAATTCGAGCTATAACTTTGTGGACCCGATTGTGCGGGATGTTGTGAGTATTGGGAACGCTACTGCGGAGCCTTACGATGAGGTTACTATTCGCTTGTGAGTGTCGTCCCCTTTTTTTTGGTCAGCGATTGGACTGAGCTCCGGTTGTAGCAACACTGACAACCCCGGCCCATGGATCTTCCATTGGTAAGCCTTGCGCTTTACTTTATTCATGCCCTCATACTCATGTCTTCTCTAGCCACATTGACTGGCATCTTGACAGTACGCTTTACAGTATGCGTTCATCTGATCCTTCGCTGACGCGTCTACAGCCGGTCTCGCTGTCGTCTTCACCACAGCTAAGGACGAGGTCCCCGAAGAAGAGCTCGACGGAGAGCCCGCCCGTGCGTCCATCCTTCCTCACTTTCCCTCTTCGCCCACAATGTCTGACATCACAACAGAGGCCTGGGAGAACCTATGCCCCGCCTACGACCACTACATGGAGCTCATGGCCACGACTCCGTAATCTTATTCGCTCCTTACACCCACCCTATCCACGTTCGCTTTTTGTACTACTGGTAGTGCTTGTACAGTTGTATCATCGCTTTGCTGGGCACAGATCTAATAATATGGCTTCTTTCTTTGGGTTTTATGCTTGTCCGTCTGATGTGGGAGAGGACTTGGAGGCGGGGAGTAGCTGTTGCTCGACCCGGGCCGGTATGCCAAATTCCAAGTGCGCTTCCAGTCGATGATCCGTCCTTCAGCAACATTGACTGGCATATCGACAGTACGCCTCAGAGCATTCACTCCTCCAACATTCTACCAATATGAGCTCAGCCAGTCTTGCCGTCGTCTCCACAGTACAGTGGCCAGCTAGTCCGAGGTCCAACGTCGCGTCGCGTCTCGCGCACGACGCGCGCCGCGGCAGCCATCGGCCCGAAGGGCTGACCGTACCCCCGCCCGTCGCTCCAGCAGCGTACACGACTGCCAGGTCACCCTCCGGGCATGGCCATAGACCTTCGACAGCCTCATCCGAGCGAAATGACACCCGGTAAAGTGGCAGAAAACATTTTCGCGATTTACCGAATCTTTCTCACGCCTCGGCCGCGAGGCGCGAGCTCTGGAGGACATGAAACGCTATGTACGCTACGGCGCTACGGACGCTCAATAGGACACAAACCATCGGCAGGAGTTTTGACTGCAATGCTATAGTCCTAGCGAATTCTTTGCCCGAGGATCCGGTTATACAGTACCATCGATAGACCGAGTACTAAATTCTTGGACCCTGTTCTTCAACATACATACTGCTCAGCCATTGAGGAGACATAATACACACACCCTATCCACATTCGAGTTCGCTCTTCTCGTACTACTGGTAGTGCTCGTACAGTTGTATTATTGCCTCAGAACTATGGCTAATGATGCATATTCTTTCTTTGGGTTTATACTTGTACATTTATTGTGGGAGAGGACTCGGAGGCGGGGAACAGCTGTTGCTCGACCCGGGCTAGTAGGCCTTCGAGGTGCGCTTCTAGTCGTGGGAGGTAAACTTCCCCTCGTGCAGCGGTGCCTGTTTCAGTCAACCAAGTGCGCATAGCGTCGTCCACAGGCTGCAATGTGCGATCTTGAGCGTTATCCGCGGTCTCAGACCCCAGTGGTGGTATACGGGCCGCCAGAGCCTCGAGGTGCGCCTCTAGAGCAACGATATGCGATAGCGCTGCATCATCAAGCTCCTTCCTAGATGCCGCCCCATCGCGCGAGCCTATTTTCGCAAGTCTTGCTGAGATCCGCGCGTCGAGTACAGGAGTGAGACCATATTCGCTATCCTGGTCGAAGTCGGACTCTGAACCCGAAGAAGCGCTCGAAGGTCGAGGAGGCGTGACGCCGAGCAGAGCTTCGAGCGCGGCGAGGTAGCTGTCTGCTGCGGCGAGATCTTCGACGTCACCGTGGAATGCGGGGAGGTCGGGACGTATGTGCGTGTGAGGTGAAGAGTTGGTGATGACTGAAAGGCCATGCTGGCTTAGCGCTTTGGAGAAGGCGTTCTGACGAATGGGACTCTGGCCGGCTGTTGCTCCGGTCGCGTCGCCAGCGCCGGTACTGAAGATGTCGTCGCAATCGTCTACCACAACCCCGACGACGATATCTGAAGAGCGCCGGTCCTTTGACAATGCCCGACCGCTCTGCGATGACGACGACGACGTATTCGTCGAGTCCCGCTGTAAACGAGGAATGCGGGACGGCGCGCGCGCAAAGCGCATAACGGATAGTGCAGATAGTGTGGCACCTTCAGTGCGCGAGCCGGTAGTCGACGAGCGTGAGATAATGCTTGTAGGGGCGAAAGATGCTGTTTCCGAGGGCGCGGATTCCAGCGATGCGACGCGGAGTAGAGCCCGGGCGTATCGTTCGTGCTCGGTCTTCAGGTCGCCGAACGTCTTGGCAGCCAAAGGGCGTTTGGTGGACTTGGGCGTATCCGTGCTCTCAGGTGCGTCTGAGCTGGACTCAAGGGAGTGGGCGACCACATCTTCAAGAGGGGGATCCGGGGTAATGCCTGGATCGGAAGCCCGAGGCGCGCCAGAGGTAGATTGCACGCTCATTGAGAGGACAGAGTCGATGCTCTTTAAGCTGTCCACGGAGTAAGGAGAGGGTAGAGGCTCCCCCGCAAACAGCAACTCGATTGGCGAAAAGGTGGGGGCGGGCGATTCCGGTCGTGGAGAGAACGGGCTGACGGTGTCTACAGGCCGTACGGCAGGGGCAGTGGCGGTCCGTCGTGCGCGTCCATGTCTACCACCAGGCTTTTGCTAGACAGTCGTCAGTTTGGGTGCGGTGCAGAGGTGTATAGGACGCACGCGTGTTGTCTGCGCCCGCGCCACTGCAGGTCGCGTCGTTGCCTCAACGAAGACCAGCGACGGCACTCGATCATGCGGGCCAGGCCGCAACGCCGACGGGATCCTTTCAACGCTGTAGCTCTCGGTGACGGCCATCGCGTCCGCTGGGGGTGAACGAGACCGGGAGGGGAGTGCCCATCGTACAAGAGTGTGGCGTCTTCATGTATGCGCGATCCAGGCCAGATCACTACAGTCCAGGATCGACTTGCGGACTGGGTGCGGCGTCGGGCTTCTACTGTAGTCGGTCACGCTCCTTAGACTGAATGCATGAAGTATGTGATAGAGGCGATGGCGCCGTGATATTGGTCCGCATATAGGTTGTGGACATGGTGGTATCAGCCAGACTCGCGCGTCGCACCGGGCTCCTGACCTTTGGCCGCGGGGATCATCACTCACACCGCTCCTCCCCGAGAGACGCCCGCTGTGCGCCGAGAGCAGTGCGTACGTCTCCAAAGCGCGCCCATGCCTTTCCCAGGAGACGCGCCGCGACGCGCGTTTTCTCTGCGCCCGCGCCGCGGACGTGGGACACGATTTCGGCGGGCTCGAGCTCTGCTTGGCACGCGAGGGCCCGGGCGGTGCGGGCGACGACGGCGGGGCCTGGTTCTGGGCCTCCTCGCGCATTGACGGCAGACTCTTCTCAACGGCTGGGGCTTTATTAGGGAATTGCGCTGCCGGCCTTTGCCTGGCGGGGGCGGGCGACGCGGCGCGCGTTCGCTCCGAGTCTTGCTTCGAGCACCCATATGTATATTAAGGTCTCCTGCTGTACGCTCTCTACTTATCACTCATCATCATTCTTTACATGCAATCCAGAATACGCGGACATAAGTCCCGCTGAATATGATATACATGATTAGTGCTATACGTGAAGAATTGCCGCTACGTTTGAGACGTCCTTGGCCGGCTCAAGGTGCCTTCCCGCCCGGCGCCTGGCTACTCGCCCCTGCCTTTGCAATCTTCTCCGCCTTAGCCTTCTCGTGGGCTACCACAGCAGGGTGCTGCAACATGCTCCAAGACAGCCGATCGTCTTCTTTCAGATACAACGCCCGCACATGCTCCCGGGCGTTCTTCAGCTTCTCAGCGAGAGCGCGCGCCACCTCCGTGTGCAAACGCACAAGGAAGGCCACGTACGCGAAGGCGCTTTCTTCCTGTTGAAGATCAAAGACGGTGGCACCGCGTTCGAATACATGCACGGCCTAAAGTCGAGAGTGTTAGCCCAGACGAAAGATATGCTCTATGTAAGACGAGCTCGGCCGTACCAATTCATCGGGCTCTTTCGTCAGACTGAAAGTCTCGTTCCCGGTCTGTGGCACGCCAACCGACATGTGAACGCTGCCGAGCGGACCCTCCGTGATTATCCCGTAGGTCGGCCCCTGCGAGACCCCCAGAACGCCGAGAAACTTCGTGCAGGCGGTGAGGCCCATGCGGGATTGATGAACGCCAGAGTCCTCGGGATGACAGAGTGGTCTCTTGGATTCGCGTACACAGAATGGCACCAGTAAGTTCGATGACTGAGGAGCGTTGGGAAGGTCTGCAGCCGATGTCGCCTGGTCGGTGCGTGCGCGTAAAGTATCGAGGCGTGCCTCACACCTGCTTTGCCGGCCCGACGACCCAGCGGCTACTGATGACCCTTCGTTCACGATACCAGCGGCCAGTGTATCGTCAAGAGAGTGAGGCTTATCAAGATCTGCGAGGGTCTTCGCATCCATCTGTCCTTCAGGACGGTATATGTCGGACCCGGTGGCGGGTTGCGCGGCGTGCGATAGAGGTTTGAAGGACTGGTGGGAGATCTCCAGAGGCAAGAACAATTCACTCTCAGGTCTGGCACGGTACGAGCGGAGATCAGCGTCGTCAAAGAAGTCGTTCAGAGCGAGAGCCAGAGGCCCGTCCGCCTTTGTGCGCAACGGAGCTTTCCTGTGGTCCAGTTTTGGCCTGTGCCACTCCGTGACCCAGCGGCCAGCGGCCTGCAAATGATAGAACGCCGCATACTCAGCCTGCTTCTGCAGCGTCGCGAGCCTCTGGGCAGCGATGTCGTCGCAAAAGTCCTGAGCGGCGGACGCAGCGTTCGCATCGTCGATGACCTCGCTTTCGCGGGCGAGCATGTTAGAGATGTTGTTAATGTACCTCAGCGTCTTGGCTCGCTTCTCGATATAACCGTCCGCGTGAGGGAGCCTCATCGTTTCCTCGAGTCTGATGGGCGCCACATAGTCAGCCATCGACCAGACTCCGGGTCAACAAAAAGAACATACATGTCCAGTACATCCACGACCGGATCGTCAGCGGCACGCAGAAGCTGCAGCTGAACAAGAACAGCCGCTGACAAGAAATCCCACAGGATCCGCCAGCTAGCTTCCGGCACGATGGAGTGTCCGAGCACAAGAGTCGTTGCATGGTACTCCTGGGCGAGCTCGACTACGAGGAAGATGGCCGGAATCAAAGCAAGCAAGCACTCCTCTAATTCATCGCTGCGCTCATCGGCTATTAGTCTTAGTTTAGCTAGAAGATATCGCAGATAGTGAATAGATATACGCACCTGCCTTGTCTTGGGCATGCTCGTTCTGTAGAAAGCCTCCCACGTAACCTTCGTCGCCCTGACCCCAGATCCTTCTGTACCGCTTTATACTCTATCGTTCTTGTGAGCACCCGCCATTCTCCATGAGGATCGCACAGGCATAAGAATGCTTACTTCAGACAGATTGTACTGCGGTTGCACCATATCCTGATACTCCACCAGAGCGTCATGCCACGGCGGCGTCACGGTCTCCGTCGCCACTTCGGTGTTGTATAGAGCACCATTGAAAGAGCGAACCAAGACTGTGCGCGACAAGCCCCAGAAGTATACGTTGTCGCATGGTACGTCAGGATGCCTGGCGGAGGGGGAAATCCTGCGTTTTCAGGGCTTAGAAGTTAGAACTCGGTGAGATTGCCACCGCCACGGATGCGATTGAGCTACTCACATGCTGCTACTGCTTTGAGCACTGGGTCTTGCGATATATCCTTTCTCATTGGATGCAGCTTTCCTACCAGTTCATCGCATCAGCAGATAAGAAGTGGAATAGCGGATCTGGGGAGCACCTTTCATCTTTACCGACCAACGGAGGGGCCGAGGAGGGCGGGGCCGATGGAAGACCAGATAAAACACTACCCGTGTCCATGTCCGGGGGTGGGAGCTTCTCCAACCAGGAGTTCACACGGTCATTGACGGAAGGCTCGTCCATTCGCGTCATCGGTGTATCGGAACGCCAGATAGGGACCTCTTCGTAGCCCGTCCCGGCACGGAACGCAGTCTTGCTCGCAGATGGTAGGTTCATAGAGTCAAGTACCACTGAGTGTAGAAGGTGGGTAAACGCAAGCGCTGAGGTGCGATCGGCCAGATCATATGTGCCGAATAAAGATGGAGTTTGTGTACTCATAGCGGGAGGCGTGGTACTGAATGTCACCCGGGGTAAAGGCTGAATGTCAATTCAGATGATCGCAATCAGCAACATGGAGACAGAACAGCATACCAAACAGCATTCCTCACTGGCATCATCTTCAAACCAGCCCCAGAGCGTTTGCACGCGGGTACAACGTGGATCAAAGGCCAGACCCAAAAGTGGCGTATTTGCGAGCCCCCATGCACGGCGTTGTTGCAAAGCACTAGCCATCACGTCCAGTACAGTTTCGTAGGGGGCCAAGCATGCCATTGGGATGCAGAAGGGGGTGGAGACGCTGGCGTGTGCGAACAGATGAAGCTGCAGAGGCCGAGTATCCAAGGCGGAGTGTTTGCCGCCCTCCGGGCACGTTTCAGACTCTGCTTCGAAGTCTTCCTCAACATCTACGTCGTCTGCGCATGTCCCTTTGGTAGTATTGCTATGTTCGCTTTCGGTGCACGGCGGACGTTCCGTCGTCAGAGAGGTCGACGTGGTAGCCGCAGCACGATTCGAGTGCTCTATGATCAGGTGTTAGTGATTTGCTCGAGATCCTCAAATAGCAGGTGAACCGACCCTCTTCGTAATCCAACACAATCATCGAGACTGCGGTCGCTCTGCAGGTCTTCGGCAGCCAGTCGGTGAGAGTTTCGAGATGGGCGCGAGGGTGTCTCGGCAAAGCGAGCTCGGCATCCCAACTGATAACGTGTCAAAACGACTCTACGTCGGACATAAGGTGTTGCGTATACCAAGTGATGATGCGTTCTCCATGGGCGCGCATAACCACAGTGAGCATGAGCGTCAGAAAATGCGTCTTCGAATTTGGAGTCGCCTCATTCGTGCATGATAGTCGAAGGCAGGTTGATAATATATCGACGTCTGCCTCTAAACGAGCGGGGAGTACCTTCAAACCGATGAGACAGATATGAGAGAGAGAGGAAAGAGCACCAGATGCGAAGTAATGTTGTACCTTTGGGCGCGTTATAGCCTTGTTCAAACTTGACAACACGCCTGGAACAGCATCAAGCTCCTCGATAGAGCGAAGGGGCATAACATAGGGAGACTCTAACGGCCTCATTATAGGGATGCGGAGTAGAGTATGTTTAACAAGCACTTGCAGGCATAGTATGTTAAGTGGCCATAGTGGTGGTTTGGGTCAAGTCTAGGCGCAGTTCCGGGTCGCTCGGCGCGGCATTTTGATGCCGACGGATGGCTCGGGGCCGGCCGGGTACAGCCGAATTTCAACCACGAGCTATATGCACGTCGTTGGTGCTGCGCGAGTCCCTTGCTAGGGTTGGACTTCCTTCCTTCGACAAGACGAGATGCATTTGATATTGAGACTGTACACCATAACAAACACCGAGTCATGTCAGGAGAATCCATAATCGCCAGGCAGTGTATCGTCTTCCAACCCCAACTCCTGCTTGGCTGGCTCCGACTCCCCTCTTTCCTTCCTCTCCCGCGCATGTTTCTCCTGGCGTTCCCTCTCGTACTCTATCACATCGGAGTTCTGCTCCATGCTCCAAGAGAGCCGCGGCTCTCGGCCCTCCTCGCGACTTCGCTGCAACTCCTGACGCATGTGGTTTTTGGCACTGCTAAGCTCCGAAGCAAGTTGTGGCGCGACCTTCGTGTAAAGATTCACGAGAAAGGCGACGTATGCAATGGCGCCTTGTTCGGTCTTCAAGTTAAACATGTTGCAGCCGCGTTCAAAGACGTGAACAGACTGTTCAGCACGACGTCAGTCGGAAGATCAAGAAACGAAGGAGCTCGAATCAACTCACGAGTTCCTCCTCGTTCTTATCGGCACCGTCGAGCCTGAGTTCCACATTTGTCAAGCTGTACTCGGCATCTCCACGAATCCCAACTGCCATATGAACACTTCCCACCGGGCCTTCGGTCACCAATCCATACACTGGGCGACGAGTCACTGACAGTGTCCCAAGGAACTTAGTGGCGGCGACGAGGGCCATACGACACTGAGTGACGCCAGAGTCCTTCGGGTGTTCAAGAAGTCGCTTATACTCACGTACAAAGAAGGGTAGAAGCAGAACAGATTGAAGAGGCACGCAAGGCAACTTCTTTGTGCTCTTGGCTTCGGCAACCAACATCCGATGGTAAGCGGCCTGGAGTTGCATATGACGCTCAGACGCGGGTAGTCCCGGTAGTTGTGTACCGAGAGTCCCACCAATCATGGTGTCCATGAAGTAATGGATGCGTGACATACTCTCTGTACCTTTCGAGCTGTTCATAAAGGCAGCTGAGCGGTGTATGGAAGACTTCACAGAGGAAGGTGCGGACGAGACCTGATATCTCGAAATACGTTCGGCGACGTCCAGCGGCAGGAAATGCGGGTTCTCTCGACGATACACAAGGGAGTCGTCGGCGAAGAAGTCGTCGAGAGAAAGAGCCCAGAGAGCGTCTATCTTCGACCGCAGAGGGGCTTCAGCGTGATCGGTCTTCTTGCGTGGTGTCCCCTCCCACGTCTGGAATGCCGTTTGATGATACTTAGCAGCCAATTGTGCTTGAAGGTAGACGATATGAAGTCTCTCTGCTTCGGGAGCAGAACGGTCCTGCTGCTTTTGCTTTTGCTTTTGAGAGTCCACTAGCGTAGTTTCCCGTGTAAGCTCTTGATAGGTATTGCCGCTGTAGCCTGATGGGTCGGAGAGTTTTTGAATAAGGCGATCGGCTTGTGGTAACCGCACAAACTGCTCGAGCCTAGATCACGTGTCAATCAGGCAAACATTATAGTCAGAGGTAATGCCCATACATGTCGACGACGACGGTATCATTTGCATCATCATCCAGGGAACTCAAGTAAAGGAGAACAACGGCAGTGAGAAAATCCCAGACGCTGCGCCAAGTTGCTTCCGGTATCGCAGAGTTGCCGATCCATTCTGCTGCCAAAGCCAGCCCCTTGGAAAGTTCCACAGCGAGGAGGATAGCAGGCGCGAGCCTAAGTATACACCGGTCAGTGATGCTCCCCTCCACTGAATGAACGAGCAGACATTAGTGGCGGACGATACGTCAAAGCTTATAGACGGACCATCACTTCCAATTGCATCCCTGAGTATTTCCACACGCTCCCCATCGCCGGCAGAACGGAACTTGAACCTTTCGCGATACTCGGCGAATTCCTTCCGGTATTGTAAGTATCGAACCGCATATTGAGAGCATGGCTGGCACAACTTTCTCGATGCCTGCGGACATCTGATGAACGGGTGACGAGATATCGTAGTAGCCTTTGACAGCGTCGGCCCAAGGTTTCGTCCTTCCAGGGGGAGGTTGAGCGCCCGTCAGAGTATGCGTGAGAACCGTGCGCGACAGCGACCAGTAGTGGACCTTATGGAAACTCTTCGCGGAAGCCGGATGAGAGAAGCTATAGCAGTAGTATTGAGATCGCGATTGTCGGAACTACGCGGCATGGTGCTTACGTTGAGGCTGAAACTCGAGTTCCCGCAACGGATCTGTAACAAGCTACTTAGCAGACCGTAACGGTTCCGATGGGAGTAGCGTACGGTGCGCCCACCCTGACAGAACATCAGTTATCAGCATTCGCGTGCAAGGGGAGGGAAACACAAACTCAAAATCGGGGACAGTCAGAAGAGCAGAAGAAACTTGCGATCCTGTTCTGAAAGGACTGTCAGTCACGCACATCAATGGTTTGTGTTGCATCAAAGATGGCGCACCCTTGGCTCAGGACCGTCCTACTAGCTTTCTTCCTGCACAGACAAAGATGTGAATTCGGCAGTACCGAGCATGGATGGGCGTTATACACACGAGTCAACCTTCTGACTAGACGAAGCTGCACTCGGCGCCTTCGGCCCTTTAGTCTTACTGTGGAGCAGTCAGTAGGGATATAAGGGCAGAGTGACTTTGTCAAATACCGTGTGCCCGTGGGATCACTCATGGATGAGCACGAAGAGTTGGACGGTGATGGGAAGGTCGAAAGAGAGGGCACAGCGTCACGTCCTTCCGGAGGTTCTGTCTTTTCAAGCCAGGATCTAATGCGATCAGAGAAGGTCCCCTCATCGATTTTGATCATCGGCACATCGGCGCGCCAGGTCGCTGGTTCACCGTGAGCTAGTCCGGCGTGCAATGCCTTGTTGCCCGCATCACGGAGAGCCTGGAAATGAGGCCGCAACGAGTGTAAGAAGTGTGCCAATCTCAGAGATGAAGCCCGCTCGGCCAGATCGAAACTTCCAAATAATTGCGTAGTCTGTGCACAGATGGATGTGGTCTGCACGATGCGTGAGGCGGTGCTACATGCTATACGAGGAACGGGCTGAGCTACATGTCAGATAATCACAATCATCGTAGAAGCCTTACACCATACCATGCATAGGCCTTCGTCCGTATCTTGATCCTCGAACCAACCCCAAAACGTTCCAAGGCGCGTTGAGAGCGGATGGAATGCGAAGCCGAGAACGGGCGTGTTCACGAGACCCCATGCACGGCGTTGTTGTAGCGCGCTCGCCATGACATCGAGAATGGTTTCGTAGGAGCTCAAGCACACTGCTGAGATATAGAAAGGCGTCGATGAGGAGGGACGGGCCAGTAGATGCAACTGCTGTAGGTGTGCATCCAAGCCCACGTCCTCCTCAGTTACATCAGACGTGGACGTGAAGTGCGGCTCTTCATCGATATCTGTCTCCACAGTGCTGCAACTAGGATCATGAGAAGTAGATTCCGGTGTCACTTCGGGAGGTAATACAGTCGATATCATCGGAGAATCATACATGGTTTGTTTGGGGCGAGCTACATCCGAAGAGAGATACGATTGAGCAATCGCTGATAATCGCATGTCTCACTCGAAAGTACTGACCTTCTGGAGCGTCCAATGCGATTAGTGAGATAGCTGCAGCCACGCAGAACTTCGGAAGCCAGTCGGCGAGAGTTTCGAGATGAGCACGAGGGTGCCTCGGTAAAGCGAGTTCCGCATTCCCACTAAGCAATGAATGTTAACGGAATGCTAAACCTCACGAGAAAGAGACTCAACAAGGTGAAAAAGCATTCCTCATCGTCGCGCATGACCACCATGAGCATCAGTATAAGAAAATGGGTCTTCGGGTTGAGGATGGCCTCTTGTTCGCAGGACAAACGCATTATGGATGATATTTGTTCAACATCAGCTTCCGTACGGCCCGGAAGCGCCTAAAAAGTCTGTATCAGTATTCAATCAGAGGAGTCTGTTATGAAAGAGAGTTGACCTTGTCATGAGAGATGTACTTGTCCAAGTCTGCGATGACGTCTGGGATGTACCCAAGTTCCTCGATCTCGACCAAAGATTGAACATAAGGAGAGTCCCGAGGCAGCATACAAGACACAGACACAGGGTATAGTATCAAAGGAAGAGGAAACCGAGAGGATTCAGCTAACTGCCCGTGGTGGCGATGGTGGTTGTTGAATTCGGGGTCAAGTTCGCCGGGTGTGGTATTTGATGCCTTGATGATTGGCTCGGCCCAAGCCGAGATCCTCTCACGGGCTCGTTGGGTGCGCCTTCAACTAGTAGACACCTTCTCCCAACCTTCTCCAGTACTTCTCTCTTACATCCGGTCTGAACGTAAGTCTACTAGCTAGTCTCAAGAGTGTTTACGACTTCAAAGCCGAACCCTCAGAGTTGATGTAGGGAGGACAGTCATACAAGTCGTGTTCATTGATTCCTCTGACGATCTCGACTTGAACTACACGCGCGCTAGGTATACCCGCCACTTTCACCTGGACCTCCTCCCTCAGCCGTGCATTCTCGTCAAGTCACAAAGCACCCTCGATGACTGGTGGTACCAGCCGCTTCTCTAAGAGGAGTAACAGTCTAATCCGAACCATTGAACCAATGAAAACTTCCTGCAATATATTCTCTAGGCTGAACACCTAGACCCAGCAAAATGAACTATAGTCCCAAATCCATCTAGCTGACGACAACAGGCCACCCAGAGCTGAAGTCGAGGTAGTTGATACCAAGATACGACGGCCCGCCAATCGCGCCATCGTAAAGCTCGTAGTGATAAACGATAACGTCCCGGTCGCTGATAGGATCGAGGAACACACTCTGACCTGCACATTCGTTCAGCACACCATACAACACAGTGCATGCGAGAGCAAACGTACCACCAGGAGCATACACATTATCGTGGCTGCCGAGCACAAGCGTACCAGCATTGTCCGCAGTAAGCTCGGCACCATTCGCATCATAATACGGGCCCATCCCGCCCGCCCCGCGCCCAACGAGCACCTTATACTCGTCGCCCGCCGCCGGGCGGCTCGACGAGCCAGAGAGCGGCGTGATGCCGGCGGAGAAGAAGAAGAAGTAGTAGTCGGACGCGGCGGACTTGTATGTGAAGCCACCCTCAGCCGCGCGGCCGTTGCCGCCGGCGAGATGCGTGCCGGGGAGCGCGGAGGCCTGGGTGGCGACGTCGGGCCAGAGCCCGATCTGGTACATGCCCTGCCAGTACGAGCCAAAGGAGAGCTTGAGGCCGTTCCAGTCGATCAAGTTAGGGTCGACTGCACAATGCCGGTCAGTACCTTCTGTGTGAACGACGGCTTACTGTAAGGTGAAGTACGTACTGGCGTTGTAGACGTCGCCCGCGGCAGAGCTGATGACCTCGCCGTGGTCGGTCCAGGTACCGGGGTCCATGGAGGACGAAGTGGCGACGCCGATGGCGGAGTTCTGCGAGCCGATGGTCGAGACGGAGTAGTACAGGACGTACTGGCCGTCGTAGTCTGCGCCGTGTCAGGAGTGATATGAGAGACGGCGGGTAACGCGCGTACAGTTGACATCGGGAGCCCAGAGATCGCAGTTGCCGCTCAAGTTGATGCTGGAGCAGTCGGGAAGAACAGCACCGACGTAGGTGTAGGGGCTATATACCTCGTGAGCTTCGTCGCGCGTAGATCCAGTCACGGGATACTCACCCAGCGAGCGAGGTGGAAGTCCAGGTTCCAATGTTACCGTCGGTGGCGAAGAGGTAGTATTTCTGATCCATATTCAGTTGCGCTCGGGGTGGTCAGTGCGTGCAAGGATGAGACCCACCCCGTTGTCCGAGTTGTGCCAAATAGCGGGATCACGAACGGCGATGTTAGCTGGCGAACGTTGAGCGAGTGTTCCGATGAGCAAACGCTACAGGGAGACACTCACAAGTACCAGCAATAGGGTTCGGCGTAGCGAGTGCAGCGAGCACGAAGAGCGACTGAGCGAGAGCCGCAAGCTTGACGGACAAAGACATCTTCATGATGAGCAGATACGGCTTTAGCAATGAACAGTAGAACTTCCGAGGGGAAAGACGCTACTCCCCTCCGATCACCATTCCCGTTTATATACAGCACCTCCCCGCCAGACTCCGCGTCATCGCTGCAGATCGGCCGCGGAGACGGCTCAGTGTAGCGCTCGGAAGCGCGAAGTCTGGTGCGCACGCGGTTCGGCGACCTGTCCATCACGGCGAGTCACGGCGTCGCGCGTGCCCAGGCATCATCTCGCGAGAGCGAGACGGGTTGCATATAGCACAGTTACCAAAGCGTACGCGTGTGCCATACGTTCGATTGAATTGGATGCTTGATTCTCGAGGCTGCGCGGTGCCATGTGAACATATCCGTGTGCGCATATGTGAGCTGGAAACGATGGCGCAATATACTGCGTTATATCCCGGGGATCTTCCGCATAGGATTGGAAGACAGGAATTCGTACTAGAGCATGCATGAGCCAAAGCTTAGTTGACATATAAGAAACGGCGAACCTACACATTGCGATAGATCTCGCGCGGCTATGGCCAGTGAGTAGAACCAATCGGCCCGCTGAAACGTTCGTTACTGCCTAATCGTCGACCTAATTGCCGAGGCAACCTGCACAGAAATAGAATCACCTGCGCATGCACATTCGAGTACAGGGCTGGTACAGGGGAGCATCGTGATCGACCACCGTGATGGCATGCATGATAGACCTGCAACGGCGGTAAACGAGTAGTCAAAGCCTGATCGAGAGCACTGCGCACCTGTACGAGCTCGCGTCCATGTTCGGTGATGTCCCGAGGATTGTGTCGGAGATAACAAATACCAGTCTGCTGTACGTTAGGTAGCTTGTGCAAACGTATGCTTGCCAGATGGTAGGAGCGACAGTCGGACGGTCGCGCCATAGCTATGCAAATGGTGTTCTCTTACTTCAAGTGAGAGGTCGAATGTATTATCACTGTGCGAGTGTATGGTAATGTAGCGAGTAGCTATGTCTGCGTACGAGGATGCTCCTGCGCCGAGTCGCGTTGCCTAATCTGGCCAGCCTCCATCTCCATCTCTCTCAACGCGACCTCGAACCACTGCGACGCGCCGCCCTCCTCATAAGCATCGGCTAACCGCTTCTTCGCGTCCGCCCACCGCCATGACCGCGCTTCGTCATCGGTCACTGGTGGAGGAGCATCATTGGCCAGGTCCTCGGCCTTTGGTGCGGGTAGTGAGATGGGCAGCGCGAACGGGGCTGTCAACGGTGTCGCGTCCAGTGTTCGGTTGATGCGCGCGGCGAGAGCAGGCAGTTTGTCTGCGAGAACAACGCGCATGCGCTTGGCGAAGTCTTGCGGCTACAATAAGCGTTAGCGGAATGTAGGATGTAGTACCAGTCCAAATGCTCACGTCTTCGACGCCCATATACGCCTTTACTCCCCACACGCCACTGGCAGCAGCAAGGAGCACAATCGCGGTTGCGCCACCAAATGCCTTGATGCCATAGAGGTGAACGTTGAAGCCGTCGTCCTGTGGCAGCGTCGAGCTCGAAGCAGCCGGCGCCGCGGCTAGTGATGGAGCAGGTGCATCAGAGGGTGCAGGCGTTGCAGCAATAGAGCCTGACAGGGCCGTCACCCTTCTTCTCGGAGGAGGCGCATTAGACGCTGGCCGGGCCGCCAACGCCGCTGACTGCTCAAGTGCGGCTTGGGCGGCAGGTATTCCTCGTCCAAGTCTGCGTGGCGGCGCTGTCGAAGCTGCAGACACGGCTGCAGAGGCGTCTTTCGCAAGTGCAGCAGCACGTTGCCGGCGTAAATATAACAATGGCACGGCGAGCGCTACGGAAGTCACTGCTAACTGGGTGTCGGCCTCTTCAGTCGCGCGCAGAGGTATTGGCTGGACGAGCGCACCAGAGTTACCGGTATCCACGGGGACAGCGGCTTCTTCTCATCTTCGAGTTCAAGCGCTCTCCTTTTTGACATCTTCGACTCAGAGCTGGCCCTCCTCAACAACCTGGCCAAGTGCGGACGAACGCGCGCGTCAAGCGGCGAAGTGACGAAGTCGCGCGGCTCGGCAAGTTCCGTGATGCGAAGAAACGCGGCGGCGCCACCCGCTCTTCTCGCTCAACCACAACCACAAAAAAGTTCGAAATTACCGCACATCCTTCTGCTAGAAGACCTCATACGCCTCTAGCGTGCTCTGCATGGAAGGAAATACCGCTGCGGGACAAGACGCGAGGCAGCGCGAGGCGCACAGCCCGCGCCCTAGTCCGCTATTGTCCATTTCCCCTTCCCTTTTGTTCCTCCATTTAGCACGGCGCTCGCGCCCGTGCAATTGTAAATTGGCCTTCTCGGCTATAAGAACGTGTCAGCCTCGTCATTGAAGCAATCGAGATACCTCTTCTCTTTTCCCTCGACTCATTTCGCGCGACGCCCCCTGTCCCTGTTCACTTTCTCTCTCCCGCGCCCAGTTCCCGGTGTTCCCTCACGCTCGCACAGACATGTCTTCCGACGGTACAACCTCTACAGTGCAGGAGCTGCGCAGCTTTGTCTCTTCTGTATCTAATCTGCGTGTGTTCCCTGTCATCCTCGCCACCGCGCTCTTCGCGCTCTTCACGGCCATCATGGCCATCGCGCTGAAACTCCAGCTGTGAGTCCGAATCTGATCATCTATAGCCTCTCTTCAACATATATCTGACTGGCAATACTTTAGGGGCCGTGGCTTTGGCGATGCGCGCGCCCGGCAGTTCCTGCTCACCGCGACGCTCACGATGTATCTCATGTCCGCCATTGTATGGTCGCTCGACCTGAGCCTGCTTTGGCGCGAGCTGTACCGGCTACTCCCCGGCGTTCTCCCCGACACCTCCTCACGCCCCATCCCCGCCGCCATCCAGACCTTCGACGCTGAACTGTTGGTGGCGCACACAGTCTGCACGTACATCAACGTACGTCCCGACGCGGACTTGCCTGCCTTTGTTCGCGCCACTGATGCGGATTTCTTGTTCTAGCTCTTGTTGTGCGACATCGTCATTCTCTGGCGCGCTTATGTGCTCTACGAACGCCCTCGCTGGCTTCTCCTGACGTCTTCGCTCTTTATGATCATCGCTTTTGGTGCGTAGGATCCTACACTATGCGGCCACACGCGTACTCACGACCAACTGCAGTCACGTATATTATCTGCGCCACCCTCGCCGCCCTGACCTACCTCCCCGACCCATCTCTATCAATCACGAGCTTCCTCACACGCACCATGCCCGGCAACTTCGAGCTCCAGGGCTTGCTGATCGCTAACTCGGTCAGCGTCGCTCTGACGCTCCTCGCCAACGTCTTCGCTCTCGGTCTAATCACACACAAGGTCATGTGCGTACCTTCTCCAACTGCCTTTGGGAGTACATTGGCTTACCTTGACTCGCAGGATACATCGCAGTGCGATCCAGAACCTGATCGTCAAACGCCCCCACACCCAAATCCAGACCCTCGACATCCTGACCATGATCGCCGAGTCCAACCTCGTTTACACCTGCTTCCTCGTACGTCCCCTCTCAACCCCTCATCTCTCCACCCAATCACTAACGATCACCCAGATCCTCTACATCGTCATGTACGCGGGTGCCTTCGGCCGCACCGCCTACAACTACGCGATCTTCCTCATCGCGCCCCTGTCGGGCATGTACCCCACGCTCGTCGTGCTCCTCGTCTCGTTGAAGAAGACCGTCCTCGAGCGCGGCTTCTCGCGCATGAGCATGTCGTCTTCCGCCGCGTCGACCGCGGTGCCGTCGCAGTACAGGCGCGTCGGAGGCGGCCTGGGGACATGGGATCATGAGCTCGGTACGAATCCCGGCTCGCCGAGGAGTCCGGAGAGCACGTATGCGGGCTCGTTGAGTGGGAGCACGGTGTTGGGTATGAGCCCGCCTGTCAAGCCTAACAGGATACTCTCGTTCCAGGATGTGGAAGAGAAATCTGTATTGTAGATCTATGGTTACGTTGACGCATGAACTCTTTTCACCGCTGTATTATAGTCATGATACTCATTCGTGTACACTGTATCATATTATGTAGCTCGTTGCTTGCCGCTATTGGCAGCTCATGTTCATTAGAAGTGTCCTGTGTGAGGCGGCGGCGATTGTCCGCGAGCGCTCTCAATTCCGAGGAGCGCCGTGGGAGGATTTCGGCCGAGCCCAGACCGTTCATCCAGAGCTGCGTTCGGACTTGACTCAAATTGGACTCAAACCACCACTATGGCTCCTTGACATACAATACCTACATGTTCTCGTTAGACCGGCTCTACTCTATATCTCCATAATGATGCCGTTGGAGTCTCCTTACGTTGGGCCTCTTCGCCCTAACGAGGATCTTGGTGCTATTCCAGGCATGCTATCAAGTTTGAACGAGGCTGTAACGCACCCAAAGGTAGCATTGCTTCGCATCTGGTGCTCTTTCCTCTCTCATATGTGTCTCATCGATCTGAAGGTACTCCCCGCTCGCTTAGAGGCAGACGTCGATATATTATCAACCTGCCTTCGACTATATTGCGCGAATGAGGCGACCCCATATCCAAAGACGCACTTTCTGACACTCATGCTCACTGCTGTAATGCGCGCTCATGAGAGACGCATCATCACTTGGTATACGTAATACCTTATGTCCGACGTGCAATCGTTTTGACGCGTTATCAGTTGGGATGCCGAGCTCGCTTTGCCGAGGCATCCTCGCGCTCATCTCGAAACTCTCACCGATTGGTTGCCGAAGACCTGCAGGGCGACCGCAGTCTCGATGATTGTGTTAGATTCCGAAGAAGGTCGGTTCACCTGCTATTTGAGGATCTCGAGCAAATCACTAACGCCTGATCATAGCGCACTCAAATCGTACTGCGCCTACCACGTCGACCTCTCTGACGACGGAACGTCCGCCGTGCACCGAAAGCAAACATAGCAATACTACCAAAGAGACATGCGCAGACGACGTAGATGTTGAGGAAGACTTTGAAGCAGAGTCTGAAACGTGCCCGGAGGGCGGCAAACACTCCGCCTTGGATACTCGGCCTCTGCAGCTTCATCTGTTCGCACACGCCAGCGTCTCCACCCCCTTCTGCATCCCAATGGCATGCTTGGCCCCCTACGAAACTGTACTAGACGTGATGGCTAGTGCTTTGCACCAACGCCGTGCATGGGGACTCGCAAATACGCCGCTTTTAGGTCTGGTCTTCGATCCACGTTGTACCCACGTCCAAACGCTCTGGGGCTGGTTTGAAGATGATGCTATCGAGGATTGCTGTATGGTATGCTGTGGTATATCCTTGTTGTTGATTGCGACCATCTGACTTGACATTCAGCCTTTACCCCGGGTGACGTTCAGTACCACGCCTCTCGTTATCGGTACACAAACTCCGTCTTTATTCGGCACATATGACTTGGCCGATCGGATATCAGCGCTAGCGTTTGCCAATTTCTTGTACTCGGTGACATCTCACTCTGTGGGCCTACGACCTGCGTGCAAGACCGCGTTTCGTGCCGGGACGGGCTACGAAGAAGTCCCTATCTGGCGTTCCGATGCGCCGATGACACGACTGGACGAGCCTTCCGCCAACGACCGTGTGAACTCCTGGTTCGAGAAGCTCCCACCCCCGGACATGGACATGGGTAGTGATTTGTCTGGTCTTCCATCGGCCCCGTCTTCCTCGTCCTCTCTGATGGACGGCAGAGATGAAGGGTGCTCTCCAAATCCGCTATTACACTTCTTGACTGCTGATGTGGGGGACTAGTAGTAAAGTTGAATCCAACGGCAAAGGATCTATCACAGGACACAGTGCTCAGAGTAGTAGCAGTATGTGAGTGGCTCGTGAAGGTGGCGGTCTCGGCGAGTTCTAACTTCCAAGCCATGAAAACGCAGGATTTTCCCCTCCTCCAGGCATCCTGACGTACCATGCGACAACGTATACTTCTGGGGCTTGTTGCGCACAGTGGTGGTTCGCTCTTTCAATGGTGCTCTATACAACACCGAAGTGGCGACTCAGACCATGACGGCGCCATGGCATGATGCTTTGGTGGAGTATCGGGATATTGTGCAACCGCAGTACAGTCTGTCCGATGTAAGCATTCTTCATGCATGTGCGATCGTCATGGAGAATGGCGGGTACTCACAAGAAACATAGAGTATGAAGCAGTATGGGAGGATGTTCTCAGGCTGGGTTCAAGATGATGAAGGTGATGTGAAAGGCTGTCTTCGGAACGAACCTGTCAAGGACAAAGCAGGTACGTGATATATCTATTCGCTATCTGCGATACCTTCCGGCTCAACTAAGTTCAGTAACTAATGAGCAAGGCGATGAGTTGGAGAATTGCTTGCTCGCTTTGGCTCCTGCGATCTTCCTCGTAGTCGAGCTCGCTCAGGAGTACCATGCCACGACTCTTGAGCTCGGAGACTCCATCGTGTCGCAAGCTAGCTGGCGGATCCTGTGGGACTTCTTGTCGGTGGCGGTTCATGTTCAGCTACAGCTTCTGCGTGCTGCTGACGATACAGGCATGGATGTACTGGATCTGTATGTCTCTTTCTGTCGATTCGGAGTTTGGTCGATGGCTGATCATGAGACGCCCATTAGACTCGAGACGATCATGAGGCTTCCTCACGCTGATGAATACATCGAGAAGCTGGTCAGGGCGTGGGGATACGTTGCCAACATCACTAACATGCTCGCCCGCGAAAGCGATGCCATCATTGTTGATGCGAATGCTGATCCCAACGACGTCGCTGACCAGAGGCTCGCGACGCTGCAGAAACAGGCTGAGTATGCGGTAGACTATCATGGTCGAATCATGGGCACCTGGATCACGAATTGGCACAGGCCAAAACTGGACCACAGGAAAGCTCCATTGCGCACCAAGGCGGACGGGCTTCTGGCTCTCGCTCTGAACGACTTCTTTGACGACGCTGATCTTCGCTCGTACCGTGCTAGATCCGCAAGCGAATTGTTCATGCCATTGCAGAGCAGGCGCGAGACACGCCTTGATGCTCTACGCGCACACACTGCCGAGGCTGCATCAATTGCAGACCTTCCCAACGCTCCTCAGTCATCGAACTTACTGGTGCCATTCTGTGTACGCGAATCCAAGAGACCACCCGGTCATCCTGAGGACTCTGGCGTCCATCAATGTCGCATGGGCCTCACCGCCTGCACGAAGTTTCTAGGCGTTCTGGGGGTCTCAAAGGTGCCGACCTACGGGATCGTCACGGAGGGTCCGCTCGGCAGTGTTCATATGTCGGTTGGCGTGCCACAGACCGGGGACGAGACTTTCAGTCTGACGAAAGAGCCCGATGAACTGGTACGGCCGAGCTCGTCTTCGCGCATATCTTTCGTCCGGGCTGACACTCCCGACTTTAGGCCGTACACGTGTTCGAACGCGGCGCCACCGTCTTTGATCTTCAACAGGAAGAAAGCGCCTTCGCGTACGTGGCCTTCCTTGTGCGTCTACACACGAAGGTGGCGCCCGCTCTCGCCGAGAAGCTGAAGGACGCCCGGGAGCATGTGCGATCGTTGTATCTGAAAGACGACGTCCGTCTGTCTTGGAGCATGCTTCAGCACCCTGCTGTGGTAGCCCATGAGAAGGCTAAGGCGGAGAGAAATGCAAAGGCAGGGGCGGGTAGCCAGGCGCCGGGCGGCAAGGCACCTTGAGCCGGCCAAGGACGTCTCAAACGTATCGGCAATTGTTCACGTATAGCACTAATTATGCATATCATATTCAGCGGGCCGTATGTTCTCGTAGTCTGAATTGCATGTATGATCAGCATGATGATGAGTGACAAGTAGAGAGGGTACAGCAGGAGACCTCCGATCAGTCAGGCATTGCCAGTTGAACTCAGAGCTGGAGTGATAGTTCGCCCGGCGCTACTGCACAATGACCCGTTGGGATGAGACATCGACAACCATTATTGCAGCACTACGAGTATATACATAACTCGTGCGGTACTGGTGATTCCCATTCAAGCCAAACGGCAGCTGATGGGTGCTCGAAGCAAGAGCGAACGCGCGCCGCGTCGCGCCCAGCGTGGACCCACACGAGCCCACACGCGTCCGGCGCCGGGGCGGAATTTGCAATTGCTCCCGGAGCGCGCGCGCCAAAGTTGGCCTGCTCCTCCCCTTCCCGACGATTGAACGGCCACCCCTCCTCAAGAAACCATGAGCACCGTACGTACGCCGTCGTTATGGCCGAGATGCTGCTGCTAGACCGTCTGGAGGAGAAAATGGAGCGGAAGGAGTGGAGGAATGGGCTGGATTGGGTTGGATGGGCGCGGATGGACTGTCGATGGGGCGCGCGCGCAGTTGGGATCTTGGGACGGCGGCAGCAGCAGCTACGGCGATTGCTGGAAACTCGATACTGATCGTATTATTATGTAGGAATCCAACTTTACTCGCTTCGTTGAGGTCGGCCGCGGTGCGTAGTGCGCTTTGTGGGATGTGGCGCGAGGAATATTAATGGACAAATTGCAGTCGTCCTCCTCCAGTCCGGCCCCTCTGCTGGCAAGATTGCCGTCATTGCAGAGATCATTGACCACAACAGGGTGCGTACTGTACTTGAACGCCGTCAAACTCGTACTCAATATCTCTCAGGCGATCATCGACGGCCCGACGACCGGTGTCCCCCGCCAGGCGTTCCCCTACCGCCACCTGTCCCTCACGCCGCTGACCGTCAAGAAGCTGCCCCGGGCCGCACGCACCGGGATTGTGAAGAAGTACCTGGAGAAGCAGGAGATCACGAGCAAGTGGGAGGCCTCGAGCTGGAACAAGACGCGCGAGCAGGTCGCCGCACGGCGCTCGCTCTCCGACTTTGAGCGCTTCAGCGTCATGCTCCTCAAGAAGCAGCGCAGGGACCGCGTCCGCAAGTCGGTCAAGGCCGCCGGCAAGGCATGAGCGCCTTTTGAGGAGGAGTTGGAGCAAGGGGCCGTGCGGGCTCTCCCGTCGCGCTCCTTTTGCTGTCTGTCCGGCGCGCTCAAAAATCATTCGCACAGCGCCCGTCGTCGCTTTTCGGTGTATCACTACATTATGTCTCCCACCCATCCATCCATGCGCTGTATGACATGCACCGGCCACATGCACCGAACCATTTCTCCTTGCGTGCTTCTCGTTCTCAGACTGCAAGCTCGTCCAAGCCGATGACCGTGTCCTGCCAGGTCCTCATCCGACTAATCGATTGTGTTGGATCGAGCTGTTTGCGTGTTCGGATGTGTGTCAGAGGCGCTTCGAGAAGGTATAGAGTGAATGCTCCATCAGATCTTCTGAAGAGCTTTAGCCCCGAACGGACGACTCGTTCTCTCGTGCTGGACATGCCCTAGTGCGCCCATGCGCTAGCCGCATGCTGCGATCCGCCGCTGGCTGGTCATATAAGAGTACACCCTTCCGCCTGTCGTTTGACTGACTTCTTTCCCTTCGTCATGGTCGAGCTCTCCAGATTACCATCGGCGATCAAGAGCGATAAAGCGCCGAGCGCCGTCCATCGTCTGCCTATTGAGATCCTCGATGCAGTTGCGGCGCAGATCGACGACCGGCACGATATAATCTCCTTCGCGCTTGCGTGCAGGCTCTTCCGCGATGTCGTCGTTCCGCGGCACACCAAGCACCGCCTCGTCGCCTCTTCTTACTCCGACACGGCATACTGGACAACCATCCTCTCTCGCCCCGATCTATCGTCCGCCACGCGCGTAGCGCATGTCCGCGACGCCCCGCGCCGAGGGACATATCCGACCAAAGCGGTCGAGCTGCAACAGGTCGCGGCGGCCCTGAGGACGATGCCGAGATTGAAGGCGTTTGCGTGGACACCGCCGTTGTCGTTGAGAGGGGACGCCGAACGGCGGGCCGGGGCGGATGTCTGGAAGGCGGTTGTTGAGCGTGGAGAGGTCAGGCATTTGGCGGTCATTCAGCCGTTGAACCCGCCGGGCCAGTTCCCGGTTTATGTGGGAGCTATTGAGCGGTATCCGGTGCGTGTTTGTGTGTTGAAGAGAGAGTGAGCGAGGCTGATACGGTTGTAGCTGTGGAGCCTTGGAGGATTGACGAGTGTTTCGCTCGTCAACGTGAGCTTTTTGAGGCATCAGGAGAGCGTGGCGCAGTTTGCGCGCGTACTAGAGAACTCGCCCGGTCTCGAGGTTTGTCTGTCCTCATTCGTCTCATGTCCTTCGATTCTCAACGTATGGCTTGTTATAGCGTCTGCATGTTGTCCTGTATGACTGGAACTTCTCGCTCTCCACTATGCTCGGCAACGCGCGCTTCGATCACCTCAAAGCGCTCACGCTCGAGCTGTATGCCGAGCCGACGCGCAACTCGGAGGCTTTAGCCGCGCTCTTGGAACGGACGCCGAAGTTGGAAGCACTCGAGTGGGAGGTGCGTCGCATGACTATGTATACTGCGTGTGCAGACATGGCTGACGAGTTGTTGTAGCATATACCGCTGTCGAGGCCGTTGAAGGAGGGGTCGTTGCCGATGCTTCAAAGGCTCGCTGCAGCCGATGCGCCCGCGCTTCTCTCTCCTTTCACCACCACCACCAGCGCCTCTACACCATCAATCATCCCCGACACCGTTCCCGAACCTCGCGCTTTGACAGCTCTCGGCCGTGTCGAACTCCGCGCAGGTCTTCGAACGGGCCACTGGCTCCCTCCCCTGATCGACGGATCGGTGCTGCAGAGGCTCGAGCTGGGATGGTTCGACGGCGTCACCGTGCTCGCGGATGCGGTGCAGATGTTGCCGGGGTTGAAGTGGCTGAGGGTGCCGAGCGCGGATTATGTGTTCGAGTGGAGGGGCGTTACGCGTGAGGCGATCCATATGGGCGAGTGGTCGCATGTTCTGCAGCGCGCGCCTCAGCTTGTCGTGTTCCATGGCCCATGTCTGTTCCACGATCCGGAGCTACATACCTCTGGATACGAAGACGTTGAGGAACGCGCGAGGGAGATTGCGGAGGGTATGCCCAACCTGAGGAGGGTCGAACATTGGAGTTTGTTGCCGAATAGGGCCGTGCTTGTCGGAAAGGATGGTGGCTGGAGGGAGGTGGAGGTTGGGGAGAGAGAGGATTGGATCGCTGAGGAGGAGGACTGGTTGAGACTTGGAGAAGAGGGAGGAGCGGACGATGTTGATGCGTTATTTAGGTGGAGGACTGGATTGTAGTACTAGCGATACGATCGTCAATGTAGCCTGTATGAAACTCGAGAATAGCACCTCTTTCAGCGTATCTTGTAGATCCTCTCTGAGAAAGAATAAGAGTGGTCGAAGGGGTAAGTACAGTCGCACATCGAGACTTTCGAATACGTGATGCATTGAATGAGCTGTAGAGATGATCTTGAGATGGCCAACGGTGTTGTGAGACACACGCGCGCCGGGCCGCTCGCCCAAGAGCCCCTGACACGCGTCGTACACGCTCCCGATTTACGTTGCCTTCGCTTGCTCCCGACGGCCACCACGCGCATCTAATGAGCACTGTACTGTCCTGTCTCTACAGATCTCATGCATAGTGAACCCTCAGTATGTCTTCTCATACCATGCCTGAAGGGCTTCATGGCGATGAGGCATTGGCACCGCTGCTTGATCAAACGCCACCCGACGATCCGCGCGAGCTCGGGGACTACATGTGGGACATCTACGAACGCTCTGGAGACATGATGCACCTCGATGCATCCATAAAGGCAACACGGGGGGCTATCGCACTCAAGCCTAATCCTGTCGATGCCGGTCTTCTGTTCTCCCTTGGCGCGAGATCGAGCACGCGCTTTGACCTTACGAACAACCCAGACGATCTTGGGGAGGCAATCTCTGGGTTTCAGAGGGCTACTGAGCTCGCATCGGACACCGCGCCTGATACGCCAATGCTATACAATCTCCTCGGATACTATTTCATCACACGATACCGCCGTTTTAACGACTTGTCTGAGGCCACCAGGCGAGACGATCTCAATCGGGCCATAAACTCCTTCAAACGCGCGTCAGAGCTCAGTCCGGATTCAAGCCCTGCCGTGAAAGCAAGCCGACTTCAGAATCTCATCCTCGCATTGGTAGAGCGCTTCGAGATAGCAGGCGATGGCCAAGATAATGACTTGGCGATCGATGCGGCCTATCGAGCTGTTGAACTCCTGCCAAAGGGCAGCCTTGAGAAAGCGCAATGTCTCAACCTGCTCGGAAACTCGTTGTTCGCTCGGTTCCAACTCAGTGGTAGACTTCCTGACGTCGAAGCTTCGGTATCCTCCCATCTCCGTGCTCTTGTGCTCATTCCCGACGGGCATCGCGATAAGCCTATGATACTCCACAACGTCGGAAACTCCACACACATTCGCTTCGAACACATGGGTCGGCCAGAAGACCTGGAGACGAGTATCTCGATGCATCGTCTCGCTGTGGACCTCACTCCAAACGACGATAACCAGAACAAGTCCGATAGACTAAATAGTCTCAGTTGCTCTCTGCTCAGCCGGTACCAGATTAGCGGCTACCGAAGTGACATCGAGGAAGCTATCTCGACATGTCGTAGCGCAATCGAGTTGACCGCGCATGGCCATCGCCGCAAAGCCTCTCGGTATAACAACCTCGGGATCTCGCTCCTGACACAGTACCGGAGCAACGGAGAGCTGCACGTTCTCGAGGAGGCCATCTCAGCGCATCGCATCGCAGTCGACCTTACAGCTGAGGAGAGCGCCGACATGCCATCGCTGTTGAGCAATCTGGGCCTCTCATTGTCTGAACGCTTCACGCATTCTGGGGGTCTGGAAGATGCGGAGAACGCGATTGCTGCACATCTCCGAGCCATAGACCTCGTCCAAGATGGCAGTGCAGACAAAGCGTCGTGCTTCGCCAATCTTGCGGATGCATTCCGGGTCCGGTATGAGCGCCTGAGAGACGTCGAGGACATAGAGAACTCCATCTCAGCATGTCTTCGCGCCATAGAGCTCGCCCCGGAAGGCCACTTCTACTTGCCATCCTACCACAACAACCTCGCGAATGCATTACGCCTTCGATTCAAGCGCGTCGGCGATCTCGGCGATCTCGGCGATCTAGATAACGCTATCTCAGCGATTCGCCTTGCTATCGAAATGACACCCGGCGGACACCATGAACAGCCCTTGAGGCTCAGCAATCTCGGCGCGTCGCTCATGAGCCGCTACGAGCGTAACCTGGTTTCTGAGGATCTCGACGACGCCATCGCAGCATATCGAGAGGCGATCCAGGCCACTCCCGATGCTCATCCAAGCCGTTCAGGGATCCTGTTCAATCTCGCTCAATCCCTGTGCACCCGCTTTGAACACGATCAAAAGCAGGAAAGCGATCTAGACGAGTCCATCTCCGCTCTTCGCGATGGACTTGAGCTTCTACATGAGGATACTACAGATAGACCCTCACTCTTGAGAGCTCTGGGCACAGTACTCCATCACCAGTTCGATCGTCACAAATTCGAATCTACATTCGACGCTGCTGTGCGCTCGTTCGTGGGCGCGAGTCGGAGCGCGCTGGGATCGCCCTCCACCCGGCTACATTCCGCAGTTCTATGCGTGGCAATGCACACCGCTCACCCTGACTTTGGCTCTACTGATTCCCTCTTATCTGCCTATGAGTGCATTCTGGATGTTCTTCCTGAGATCGCCTGGCTTGGGTACGGCGTCAGTCGACGTTACGATGAAATCACCAAACTCGGCCAACATGTCAATGCCAATGCGGCAGTCTGTGCTGCGATCGGGGCGGGAGCACTGTCACGAGCCGTAGAGTGGCTTGAAGCAGGACGGTCACTCGTGTGGGCACAGGTGTTGTCATTGCGTACACCGCTCGACGCGCTCGAAGAACGCCATCCATTACTCGCCCGATCTATACGTGCCATCCAACCTCAACTCCAATCTTCCGGTCATTTCTCAGTAGTGCCCGAACCGTCGGGTGCGCATAGCGTTGAGAGTGGCTTTTCTGGAATCGTGCCGAATGCAGCGGTAGATCATCATCGACGACTGGCGATACAGTACCAACATATCCTGGCAAAGGTTCGAGGCTGCCCAGGTTTTGAGAACTTCTTACGGCCAAAGACGCTTTCCGACCTCGTCTCATCGCATAATCGTCTTGAAGATCATGTCGTTTTCGTCAACGTAGCTCCTGCGCGCTGCGATGCTCTAGTCTTAACCGGCGAAGGCGTCCCGCGACTCGTCGTGCTGTCTGAGCTCACATATGATATTGTGAAGACCATGAGCAGGCTATGGAAGGGTTGCCTCCGAAGAGGTGGAGTGCGTCTGCAGCGCGGTGACGATGATCGCGGGATGATAGAACACAACGGAGATGAGGAGCCTCGGGACTGGATGCGGGTACTTGGGACCCTCTGGAGATTCATCGTACGCCCTGTACTCTTGGAGCTCGATATGGTCAGCATTGCGATATGTTATTTACTGAGACATATACTGATAAGCATACTACAGCTGAAACCAGTGTCCGGTGATCAGATGCCGCACGTAACATGGTGTCCAACTGGTCCTCTCACGCAACTACCCCTCCACGCAGCCGGTCTCTACGGAGTACACGGCGGTCCTCGCGTATACGACTTTGTCATATCCTCATACACACCGTCTCTATCGGCACTTCAACGCTGTAGAAGCTCCGTCAATGATGTTACAACGGCGTCAAATGTACTCATCGTCGCACAACCGAAAACCCCGCGAGCAGGACTAGCCCCACTCCGGTTCGTGACGACCGAATGCAATCATATACGCGCGGTACTGCCTCCTGAGCTCCAGCACGTCTTTTTGGAGCACGACAAGGCAACCTTGGAGTCGACACTGAGAGTCATCGGTCGATGTCCGTGGGTACATTTCGCCTGCCACGGCTCTCAGAAGCTAGGCGAGCCAACAAAGAGCGCGTTCGAGCTCTACGACGGCCCGTTGACCTTAGCCACCCTGATGAGCACAGTATCAGACGACGCAGAGCTCGCATTTCTATCGGCGTGTCAGACGGCAAAAGGGGACGAGAGCATACCAGAGGAGTCTGCGCACCTCGCCGCGGGCATGCTTGCGGTGGGCTTCAAGGGCGTCGTCGCGACGATGTGGACCATCAGAGACAACGACGCGCCGGTTGTCGTCAAGGCATACTACGAGAAGCTGATAGATCTTCGTATGGCCGGGACCGTTAAGAAAGGTCGCACAGGAGCGGCGCGTGCACTCCACGAAGCAGTAGCGCACTTGAGGGAAGAGGTTGGGATCGATAAGTTCGAGAGATGGGTTCCGTTCGTGCATTTCGGTGTCTGATATCGGTCGATACGTCTTCTACGTGGTGTGTCTGTTGCTATAGAATAAGGATCTATGTGTCATCTCTGTCATCGAGAGGGGTAGCTGGGAGTAAAGCGCGTCGCGCGCCTGAGACAGACGCGTCGTCGAGCCCCTGACACGCGTCCTGGTTCCCCACGACCACGTTCGGGCCGAGCATACACCGGAGACAGTGCATTGTTCTTGCATGTCTTATTACGTTTGACAGCGCATGTTTCTGGGGTGCGTATCGGTTCACGTCTACGAGAGAAAGCTTCCCTTCGCGCGGTTCCGCGGCGAAGGCTGCTTGCGAAGCCCATGTGGTCCAGTACTACCATCGATACGCATCTCGCTTGACAGCGGCATACGTACGCGGATAGTTCTCTCACCAAACTCTGTCCCATGATTCTGTTCGTAGTAGTCGAGGGGAGCGGTCTGAACGACAGAACATCCTTGTTGTAGCTGAGTAGTACACCGTGCACCTAACATCGGCCGATACCACCCAGCGCGTCTCCAGATCCCAGTCCGCACTCCGAGCACATGATGGTCAACGCTACATGTATCGGCGCAAGGAACATTCAGACAGCATGCATATTGAGAAGTCCGACAAGATGCGAAGCAACTCGGTGCAGCAAGCAAGACTCGGAGGTGGGTAGGGGCGGTATCTCATGGGCGGGGTAAGTGTAGTCGTACGTACTAAATACATCAGCAGGGAAAACAGCAGATGGGCGCAGGTTCGAGTAAGTAATAGCAGATAGCAGAGGAAGAACAAGCAATGGCGCGCAGTGGCTGCGTAGGCGGGTGATGTGCGCGCCGCGCGAGGCAAATAAGAGGGGCGGACGCCGTCCGCAATAACGAATGTGAAGGACCGGCTAGCGGTAGTAAATATCGTCGTCCCAGGACTCTGTGGCGGGCGTCAGAACGGTACGAAAGAGCGGGTAACGGGGAACGGACCTTCTGTGATGCTCTTCCATGCGAGGTATAATACGAGTACGGCGGCTGTCTCGAGCAATGTTGCCACGAATGTGCCGTCAACTGCGGCGCTCGTGCCCTGTATTCGGATGATCGCATCAGTGACAGCTGTACGTCTGCGCGCCGGGCACACGTACGTTGCAGATGACACGGTTCAGCAGGAAGAAGTCCAGCTGGCTCAGTACGAAGAGCACCGCGGCGAGGAAGTAGAAGAGCATCGGCCTGTACTCCCGCAGCATCCCGACGACGACCCACATCATGAGGATGAAATAGAGCAGGGCTGCCGCGCCGGGCCATATGCTGGTGAGAATGAATACACCGATAGAGTGCAACGAGGCCGGCTCAGACGACGGCGCGAAGGTCTGTGTGAAAGTGAAGCCCGTGTCGAGGCAGATGTAGGTCGTGGCCACGAAAAAGGCGAGGGTGAAGAATGTGAAAGGCTGTGCGGGCGGTCAGACCTCGGGTTTGGCGGAGAGGTTGGGGGCCAAAACGACGACGTACGATCAGGGAGCTCAGGGTCCCATCCTCTACGACTTGTGTTGCCACGATTGCATTGCCGAGGAGTGTCCAGAAGAGGGCTGCCACGGTTCCGGCATGTACGGCAGTAATAGCCGTGAGAGCAGTCGATCCTTGTTCCAAGAAAGAGCCTGTGGAAAGGATCTGGAGGGGAAGGGTGATAAGGTAGGCGATGAGGAACGCCGTGAGCTCGACGCGACCTGTGCAGGGCAAAGCCGTAAGCGTCGTGCAAAGTCGAACATAGAACCGCGCGTCGGGGGCGTTATTGTCCTCCGCTTTCCCACATCCCCGACGCGCAGTGTAGGCAGAGAAATGACGCACCGACTGCAGCCTTTCTACGGTTTGTGAGGTAGACGAGTGCGAGGGTGAAGAAGAAGCTGAGGCCGCAGACGACGATGTTCGCGATGTTCCCCAGCGAGCCGTTCTGGCCCAGGCGCAGTGTCCCACACTCCGGGTTGATCCCTATCGGCGCAGAGACCTGGATAGCAGACGCGCCGTTGAGGACGTTCTGGTCATTGTTCTCGAGCAACTGTACAGATAAATGTCAACATTCTGTCACGGTTGAACATTTGAGACATGCGTGCCTGGCGGTAGAAGAGGTTGCAGAGGTAGTAGGACGGGACGTGCGAGCACAGCGGCTGAAGGTCGCCGAAGACCGTCATGGCCGAATATTATCGCTACAGGACGTGACGGAGGTCGTGCGCGCGACGGGCAAGCAGCGCGGGTGCGTCGTGATGGAGAGAGAAGGAGGAGAGGGAAAAGGAAATTCAGGACGACAGCTCGATCAGACGGACTTATGGCGTTTGCCCACGCACCCTCTCCTGGAGACTTGGGCCTGCTAGGGCTGTACTACAGTACGGAATGGCGCGGTCGAGCGAACGGAACCAGCCGCCTTTACGACGTGCGCAGGAAATAAGAGAGCGTGATGACCGTACGCAAAGACGCGCAGCTCGAGGACGCCGGTGGGGTCGTTGCCATCGCCCGCGCCCGGTCTGACGGCCTTCCCACAATCCCTTGTTCTCGACCTCCATCTTCTCCTTCCGCCCACGTCACTTTGTATTTCGCTCCATGTCCGTTACCTAGACACAAATGACAACAATCATACATCTATGGCGGATATTTCGCATTGCTGCGAGGCTTGGCTGCAAGTCGCGATGCGATCATCAAGTACACGAGGCCCTGCTTCTTACGCACATTTTTGATGGACGATCTGCCTCTCGTCCCTGCCTGGCCTCTGCATGTCGCACAGCCCACAACGTGTTGTTTTGGTTGCGGACTTGTCGGGTTTCTGCTACTGAATGGGCCAGAAGCGCCCGCTCCACTTCATGGTTGCCACTTCACCGACTGACTACCTCAGATGCTCGCCAAAAGTCCACTACCGAGCAGCGCTGAGGGTGCGTAGCCAGGAAAGAGACCTCGTTATGTCTCTTCACCGTTATCGCCTCATCGTGAGTCTACTACGGTCGCCCTCGCCAGTGCTGCCGGCACCCCCGCCACCACAACACCCGCCACCCGCGACGCGTCCTACACTCTCACCTCCGCGCACATCATCAGCACAGCGAGTACGTTCCCCCAATGCTACCTCAACCACGTCAATCATTGATTCACCCCTACCGCAGACTCGAACCTTTGTCTCGGCATCGAGTCTGTGACTGTGGGCGCAAGGCTCGTCGCGCAGCCCGGCGGCGACACATCCGCAGAGGATCTGACGGTCTTCGCCGTCGCGCCATGGTACGCGCGCAATTCGTCACGCTCAAAACCCTCGCGTGATCTACACCTTTGCGCATCACCGCGGTGTTCTCAGTTGGCGAGGTGGCGTCGGTATTGAAGAAGTGCGACAGGAAGTGCGATAGCACTACCTTGACGCAGATCGGGTACGCTCAGGCTGGCGTAGAAAACATTCAGACGGGCACCAAATCGGGCACGGAGGCGCGGATATTGTCGCAAACAAAGATGAGAGCTGTATCAAGCTTGCGAATGCGGCCCTCGGCGTTTCGGTGAGTGGCCCTGAAGCTGAGCTGAGGGCGATTGTGCTGATGAATTGTACAGGCGACGGCTTTCTCTTACAAGAACACGCCCTACTATATTCGAGGCTAGTCTACCTCCGCCACGTGGACATATTAGGTATTGAGCATTTTGCCTGGAGAGAAATCGTATGCATCGGACGGAGCGAGGCTTCGGACATGGCTCGGGCACATCCGTGTGTATTTCGCCACGCGTGTCAGGGGCGTACTGCGGCGCGTCTATCTTAGCCGCGCGAAGGGCTTCACTCTTCACCATCGTCTACTAGTTCGAACTCGATAGCTATCATTATACGCTGCAGGACATCGACATAATCATGTATGATATCTGGTCTTACACGCCGAAATGCACGAACGGGACCCATCGCTCGAATCTTCCCTCCCCGACCTTCTCCCTAAGACGCGCGACAGCCTCATGAAGGGCGTATGCGGCGCCGGTCTGCCCACGTCCGACCTCTCCATGACTACGAAGCTCGATCAGCCGCCTGTAGTATGCCTCGACGACGACAGGCGCGTCTGCGTCGTTGATAGACCACATCGTCGCAACGACGGCTTTGAACCCGAGCGTGAGCATCCCCGCCGCGAGATGCATGGACTCCTCCGCTATCGACTCGTCTCCCATCGCGGTTTGGCACGCGGATAGAAACGCCATCTCTGCGTTATCGGTGACGGCCGTCATCAATGCGGAGAGCGTCAGCGGTCCGTCGTGCAGCTCGAACGCGCTGCGGGAGGGATCGCGCTTGTTCTGGGACCCGTGGCATGCGAAGTGCACCCAGGTGTAGTTTCCTATGAGAGACAGCACACCCCTCTCGGTCGCCTGCTCTCTCTCCATGATGGCATGTTCTTCGCCGGAGGGCAGGTGTCTGCAGATAGCCGCTGTCTCATTCTTCACGCAGGGCAGCGGAGACAAGCCGGGCCGGGGAGTGTTCGCTTGCGTGACGAGTAGCACCTTTGGTACTTCGGAGGGCGCGCGCATCCCATCGCGACAGCGCTGAAGAGCGGAAAGCGAGGGGGTGTAGGATGATACGACGAAGTCGAACACGCGTGGGGCTCCCTTTGTGTAGATCCCGGCTGCGTGCAACGGTAGCTGCGTCAAGGGACCGGTCGGGCACCAAGTTATGTGTGGCAATGGTACGTTGATGTCGGTCTTCATCTGTGGCCGATGTTTAGTGCTGATACCATTCAAGAGGGTTCGAAGCGTACGAGATTGAGAGCTTGAAGAACAGGATGTACAACCCATAGCCACAAGTATCGCAGGACCCGTTCGGAATCATTCAGACCGTCGCCCTCATCTTGTACGTGCGCTGTCGCTCGATCACCGCGCTGTAGACGAACCCCACGTGCTCTCAGACTATCGACCCACATTCGTCGCAAAGACGTCGCGTATCGTAAAGTCAGGTCGGGTAGTTCCACCAGCCTGAGAGCACCATCAGGTGTGAGAGTGATGGCGTCGCATCGGGAAGCGTGAATGTTCAAGAAGACCACGGATCCCGTTGCTTGTGCGGAAAAGCGTGCAACAAGCTCTTTGGACGTCGAGGGGATCATGAAGTCCTTGAAGCCCGGTAGACTGCGGATCTCTTTCACTTTATCCTCGTATTCGACATACGTTGGCCTGATGTAATCAGAGTCAGACAGTCCAGGCTCGCGGCCTGTTCTTTCAGCTTTGCCTATCGGTATATTCGGGACGTTGTGTGAAAAGCCGAAGTATCGGAGGTCCCTCAGGATCAGCTTGAGGAAGTCGGCGTCGTCGGGATGCTGCATCGCGAGCTCGGTGAGAGGTCGTCGCCAAGACGCCGCTTCAGACCAGATGAGGGTTCGTCCACGTTCTAGCCATTCCAGTGCTTCCAAAAGGGCACCCGCGCTCAATGCAGTCGATACGGCTACACCAGTCAATGCGCCGAACTCGGCAGACTTCTCGAAGCGTCTCCGGATACCGTACCCTGGCCAGACGACCTCCCGCAAGGTGTTCATGATGCAGGCATGTGCCGTGAGTAAAGGCGCCTCGATCGGCAAGCTATTGCTCGAGTACTTCCTTGCCGTTTCAGCCCAATGAATTGCACTCCGAAGTCGCGACGACGGCGCGCCAAACGAATGAAGAGCTGAGGCCTTGTAGGCTGCTTCAGCCTCTGCGATGGTTGAAGGGTCGTGCGTGAGCTTGAAAAGCTGTTCCCGTGAAAGGCCGAGGTCAAAGAGGATAGCTGATCTGATGGGATGATTATCGGGAGCAAGAACAAGCGCACGGCGGTTAACTGATATGCTCTCCTGAAGATCACCAAAAGTATGCGAAAGCATGAAATGGCGTCCCAAAGACATCGCGAGGCTATTGAGCCGGATTGCCTTCTTGAAATGACCTTCAGGGGTAAGATCTACCGCACGACGTTTGAGATCGATGGCGCTCTTGAGGTCCTCAAGCTCTCCTAGATGAAGAAAGCGCTCATGTAGAGCAATCGCAAGGTTCTCCAGATGATCCGGTGTAAGTGGGTGATCTTGCGGCGTGCGCTGAACCGCTGTGCGGTGCAATGAGATCGCTCGCTCCAGATCGTCTATATCTTCTGAGCGACGGAAACGACTGGTCAATGAGATGCCGAGGCTGCTCGTCCAAGCTGATTTGTGGATGTGCCCGTCGGGAGTAAGCTCGACGGCGCGATTCTTCTTGAAAATAGCGTCCTGCAGGTCCTCGATCTCGCCGAGGTGCTCAAACCGAGCTTGCAGAGATATTCCAAGACTCATGAGACGCATTGGCTTGTCCGGATGACCCTCGCGGGTATAGCTGTTGGCCAGGTTCTTCGCGTCCATGGCAGCCTCAATGTCCCACAAGTTGCCAAAGCGAGCGTACCGGCTTTGTTTGAACAGCCCGTCGCTGTCGAGTCGGATCGGGCGCTCTGGGTGATCCGGGCTAGGAACCAGTTCGTTGGCGTCCTCGATGAACGAAATGGCATCTTCGATATCCTGAGGATCGTCCAGAGTCTGGAAGCGAGAATGCAACGAGATTGCGAGGCTTCCAAGGCGCGTAACCATATCAGTGTGGTACCTGGGGGTCATAATCATCGCACGTCGATGCAATGAGATGGAGCTTTCCAGATCCTCGAGCTTGCCCATGTGCATATATCGACAGTGCAGTAGCGTTCCAAGCGTTTCGAGTAGGTCTGGAACATCGGAGTGATGATTAAAACAGAGCTGAAGTGCTCGGCGCATCTCGAGTATAGCATCTTCGAGATCGGACACCACCCCCAGTCGTAGGAAGCGAGTGTGTAAAGCGATCGCGAAATTGCGTTGATGGCTTGATCTTTCCGGATGAGACTCGTGAGTGCGCTTGAGAGCCTGGCGCGTAGCGGAAATGCTATCCTCGACATCCTGTAACACTCCGAGCCGTTTGAAACGGATGTGCAAGGATGCCCCAAGCATTGCGAGGCGGGTTGCCATATCTGGTGCCCAATCAGGACTCAAGTCCAACGACCAGCGAGCTATCTGGACCACGTTCTCAATGTCCTGATGGCCTCTCAGATGGATAGAACGACTATAAAGAAACCTCCCAAGACTCCACATCCTGCTGAGCGTCGTAGGCCCACTGGGAGGTGTGAATGCAACAGCACGATGTTTCGCCTCCACGGCATCGTTGAGATCGTCTGTGGCAGCCCACGTATCATAGGCATCTCCGGGATCGCAGGCAGGCCTGTGGACAGCTTCAAAGCGATCATGCAAGTTCTGAGCCAGGTCATCGAGTAGCCTCGATGCTACTACATGATCATGGAAGCAAGACTTCAAGTCATGACAAGTCTGGAGTATGCGCTTCTCGAAGACACCGCCCTCGACAGTGTAGTTCTTAAAGCGCTTGCACAGAGAGATCTCCAGGGCGTCGATCCAGTGAGTCAGATCAGAGTGGTCGGTAGAAATAACTTCAAGAACTGGTGCATTTAGCTCGGCAACATCCCAGACGCTGTCAGATTCAAATGATGGTCGATGATCATCTGGCAGTGTTGCATTCGCCTGACCCATGTCAAAAGTACACAGTGGATGATTGACGCCTTGTGATGGCGGTCGAGAGCAAAGCAACAAACACCTCGAAGGCCAGACGCGCGCAATCACAACTTGCTCTTGACCGCGACCGCACCAAGATATTCTCACCCTTTGCTGTATACCCTTTATACCCTACTTGGATACGTAAACCGGAAGGATGGATGACGAAACGGCCGAAATTGAGCTCCTAGAGCAGAACCTGAATAAGACTCGGCAGATCACTCAACGGATGACTTGTGCGTTGCTGCCTCCGACTCGCTACGTCTGTCCGTTTACCGATCTTCAGCTATCTTATCTAGCTTCGATGGTCGGCTTGTGAAGGTTGACAATGCTATTCGACCACTGTATACCCAGTCTCAGGTCTTGACGAAGCGCTCAAACAGTACGTCCGTGGATACAACAGTGCGGCTAGTAACTAATCGTTGGGTTGTAGATATCGACAAGGCTCTCGAGAAGATCTACCAGCTCGCGAGCAGTCAGGAGGGCACAGCTGCAGAAGAAGCGCTGATTCTACGTGGGCCGTCTACGGAGTCGCTTACGCGGTATACGGACGCGCTTGAGCGGTTGAACGCCAGTATCGCGTTCGCGTCTTCGGACCGTGACCCCCGGGATACCGTATGTCTCTTATATTTCCCTTCAAGAATAAGAGACTGAAATATCGTGAACAGGCTCGGCTGATTGATACAGGTGTCAAGAAACTCGCGCAACTCTTCACTAAACTCGTCGCCGAGGGCTCATCCGGCGCACCTCCCGGAGGCTCCAACTTCGAACTCACGCCCTTCCCCCCAGACTTATACTCGACACTCGCACCTCTCGTCGCCTTTCTACGCGGGTTGCCACTGCCAGCCACTCATCCCAGTCACCCCGCGGCGAAAGCGATTGAAAGCGCGCTCCGAGAAGCCCAGCGTGGGTACGCCGACATGCGGGGTAACTGGGGAAGGAAATGTTTGGACGTGTACTCGCGGCGGGTTTTAGAGCGCGCGGAGACGATGGACGGTGTAAATGCGGGACGTGAAGTTGGAAAGTGGACGCAGAACTTGCTCGATGTTGCAGAGGTGACACTAGATTAAAACCTTTCATCGAATACAGACTAACGTTCACCTAGCAAGAGCACGCTCTACTTGCTCAGCTTGCGCCGCTACCGGAGTCGGGCCAACTAGCGCGGACGTACACCGCCCTGCTCACTCCCATGGTCTCCCTCTTCAGCTCGACCCTCAACTCTCTCACGACCCTCATCAAGCGCAGCCTACACAAGCACACCTTCCTCGCCCTCTCAGCCTACAGCGCCATCCACGTCCACCAATCGCGCTGGGACGTGCGCGTCGGGAGGTCGGACTCAACGTTGCGCGATGCGCTGAGCGCTATACGCGCGGTGTGTCTGCGCTCGTTCCCGGAGTTCTTGGCCGATATCAAGCTTGCGGCTGTTGGGAAGGGCCCACAAGGCGAGACGACCGCGCTTGCGGACTTTACGCTGAACGTACGTTACTTTGCACCATCTCAATTCGCACACCGCTCAAGCAGAAGTGTAGACCGTTGACTACATGAAGAACCTATTGGAGGTACGGGACGCAGTAGGCGACGCTCTCGCTTCACTCGGTGATGGTAACTGGAGGATGGGTGATGGCGTGCGTGTAGCGGGCGCTCAGAAGCTCGGCGTCGGCTCGGAGCAGATACTGCTCGAGCATTACATCTGTATGAGCATCCTTACCCTGTATCGTCGTTCCGCGCTGACCATTGCATCCAGACGACGTCATCAACACCGTTCTAACATCCCTTGCGGCGCTCTCCCGCGCCCAACCGCGTGCTTCTGTCGGCTCCGTCTTCCAACTAAACAACGTCGCCTACCTCAAATCGGCCCTCCTCACTACTTCCCACCCGGTATCAGGTCTCCTTTCACGCCCCACGCGCGATACCCTCGCCAGCGCCTTCCGCACCGCCAAGGCGGCGTACTTCGACGCATCACTGTCTCCGCTGGTTCAAGCGCTCGCGGATGACCCCGCGCGTAGCGGCAAGACGGCATACAAGGAGAAGTTCACGCGGTTCTACGATCTATTGGATGAGGCCAAGGAGAGGCATGCGCTCGTGAAAGTGCTGGATGAGGATGCCGAGGCGAGGAGGGAGTTGGCGGATGAAGTCGTGAGGCTAGTCGTACCGAGCCTGCAAAGGTTCATGCAGAGGACGAAGGAAAAGGAGTTCAGCAAAAGTACGTCGTGTTGCTCGTGGCGAGTGCAAACATGATACTGATGGTCGCGCTCCCCTCCCTCAGATCCATCGAAATGTGCGTATGATCTTATCGCGTTTCTGCCCCGTAAACGGGCCCTTCACTGACGTCACTCTACTCAGATATCAAGATGTCTCCCGAAGAGGTCGAGCAGACCATCCGCAGTTTCTATCGGTGATACAAGGTCAATATATGCCGATAGCACGCTTCACCGCCAATACGCAGGTCGGGCACGTCCGCGGCCGGTTGTACATCAGGCGACGAATGTCTCACGGGAGCGGCCCCGGGTCACGTCGCACTATAGCATCATTCTCGCCGCTATCACTTTCACATAGGTTAGATCTCTTGCATCCAAGTTCGCTTCTCACGCCTATGTCGTTGTGCTTCGTCACTTCCCGCATTGTGTGTCTTATCTACTGTTCACCTTCTGCCGAGACTCGGATCTGCTGCAAGAATGATACGGATTCTATGTCGCTGAGAATCTCAGTACCTCTTTTGTCATAGCCGAAGAACCATATACATACCGAGCACCATGATCATGATATGCTCACCAAGAGGGCGTAGTATCCAGTCAGGTGCCTTCTCTGTGCATACCCATGGACCTGCTTCTTTCATATCATGAGGTTCTTGATCCTCGCTTCTCGCTTAACTGACAGGGTGTACGCCTCGCCTGCATGCTTGTGAGATCTTTCACCTCCTCACGACGTGAATTCGCTCATCTTCTTCGTAGATCACCTAGAGCGTATCTTTCATGTTCACGTTACATGCCTTGCATGTTGATTGGCAGATTGCTACGCCGAGCGGCGTTCGCTCGGAAGTCAGACAGACTACGACTCGCACCATCGTATTCAAAAGCGAAGCCGAGAACCATCGCCTGCATCATGATCTGCGGGACCCAAGTGACCCGTATTCTCCGCTGTCGCGACACTAGTGGCAGCACTACTTAATGCGAGGAGCCGCAACCAATATCGGCGTGGCACGTCCTTGCCCTAGGCTCCAAGCCATGTCGTCTAACTCAAGCCTTTCCGCCGCGGACGGCGCGACTCTGAAGACTATCGGCGAAGATACGATCCGATATGTCGTCTTTCTTGTCGTCGAGGCCATATTCTATAGTAAGTGCCGCGCTACGATCATATTACTACCTACCGACTGACCCTTATCTTAGCTATCTACTTCATCCTCGTAGTATTCTCGGGGCGTGTTCTTCTGTGCGTCCATTTCCCGCGGCACCGAAGCTCTGAGGCTGATGCCAAATCTATAGATCGAAGAAGCGTCGCAGCAAGATAACCGTGGCGATCTTCGCGATCATCCTGAGCATGCTTGTGCTTGATACGGCTCTGTGCATTCTCGACGTGAATAGTGTGATTCAAGAGCTCCGCGATACGTTGACCACAGACTCTACGGATCCGCTTCCAGTTCGATACGCCAATCGGTACTCATCTTGGGCTGTCGGGAATGCACCCTTTGCGTTCATGGTACGTCGAATCAAGTTCTGCGATCATGACACTGACCATCAGTACAGTACAACCTTGGCGATGTCATCATCGTTTGGCGGACATATGCCTTCTACTACCATTCACCCGAGCGGTGGCTCCTTGTTCTACCGACGGCCCTCCTCGCCGGTTCATTCAGTGAGTACCTGTGCAATCTAGCCTGAATCTAGGTGGACATGTATTGAGCTCTCAACACTCCGACAGTCGTGACTGGCATCATTTGCTATTGTATCGCCCACGGGGCTGTCTCTACGGTCAACAACTTCATCGACCCTCCACTCTGCGTCCACATCCAAATCACGTCATACGCGATCGCTTTCGCGACTACCGCTGTTGCTACCTTCATGATTTGCTGGAAGACATGGTGCATTATCTGTTCAATCGTAATTGATCCCGGAGAACATAGCGTGCTGATACTCTGAGTCTCTGCAGGACTTATCGCCGCCTGGTTCGTCACGACTCTCAAGCAGCTACGCAAAAAACCCGAGCGGAGAAGATTCTAATTATTCTGATTGAGTCTGGGCTGGTGTATCTCATCTTCTTCGTGAGCTCATCATTTCCTATGAGTGTACACCAATGGACTGAAGCGATCCCCGTAGTTCTTTGTTCTACTAGACGACGTGGGTGATGTGCCGTCCCTCGAGACGTCAACGCCAGCACTCGTGTTCTCGACCGAGATATGGACGTATACGACTAGCGAGATCATTGTACGTTGAGATTGCATCTTACACATGAATCGAACCTCACCTCTTCCGTTCAGGGAATCTACCCTGTCATCATCGTGCTTCTGGTTCACTCACAGAGATCCTACATCGACGACGTGGTGATGTCTACAATTGGTATCATTCCCACCCACTCGATCATCAAGTTCGCAGCACCTCCATCCAACAAGGATGGTGCCGCTGTAACGAGCGTGAGGCACGAAGGGCGCGACTCCCATGTTCTTCATATCGACGTCCACGAGTTGCAAGAGAGACACGAAGGAGCGTCCTTCAACGACGGAAGTGAGGGTATGACCAACGGCGAGTTGGAGTTCCATAAATCGCGAGAGAAGCTCAGGCTTCCCTCGGAGAGCGGCGAAGCTGTCATAGCAATAGAATGAGAAGGGATTTACTGAACGTTCAACGTGACTGCACGCATGTACTTACCAGCCATTTGATTCAAGAGATCAATCAAACTGCCGGAGAGTATCGTTGTGAGTTGAGGTTGAGACAAATACGGAGGCGAAAATAAGTAGAATTCGCCGGTAAGGCTGACGCGTGCGAACAGAAATCATACGTCCGAGCGCATGCCGAGACTGCAGTGGACAACGTTCCTCGCATACTGTACCTATTCTCGGTCCATACATGGTTTATGGCGCCTACGCCAAGCTATGTGGACTCACCGTAGCTTCAAGCGTCAGCCGAATAAAGCAAACATAGCATACATTCAAAGTCTCAAGAGAGTAGTACAGGGTAAGGGTCAACATAGCGGTGTAGTAAGGTAAAGTGTAAGGACGACGGGAAACGTGTGGGAACTAGGTATCTATACATAATCTGATAACATACGGCCTAACCAAGAGTCGGAAGAGACAACGCGGCGTCTTCAAGCAGCGCTAGGTCCCGCACCGCCGCGCTTGTTGACGAACGTGCGAAGCATAGACTTGAGATCGCCGAGCTCGCGCTGCTCAGGCAACCACTCCCCGTTGTTAACGCACAACACCTTCATGCGCTTGTGGTACATGAGGTCGGGGAGTAGCTTCGGCGTGATCAAGAAGTACTGCCCGGCGTCGTCGGCGTCGCAGGTCGTGGCGACGAGCTCGTTGTGCACGCAGCGCTCGGCGCGCTGGTCCATGCCCTGGTTGATCTCGTCGACGAGGGCGAATGGCGCGCGAGCGTGCTCGGTCAAACTCATCAAGTACAGGATAGTCGTCAAAGAGCGTTCCTATAAGAGATATCAATATATAGACGGGAGGATGAGAGCAAGGCACGCACGCCTCCAGACTGGCGGTGCACTGTCAGCTGCTGCAGCTTCTCGTGGTCACGGAACTTGACCTGAGATATACGATTAGTTATCGTACGCCATATGAAAGCGCAAACAAGTCACCATGATCGTGATCGCCCATTTATCGTAGTCGTCGTGCGGGGTGAGGGAGACCTCGCCAGCGCACCCGATACGGTCGAACGCCGCAGAGAACTTCTTGCCAATGGAGCGAACCAGGCTCTCGAGCGCGGGCTGCCAGTTATCCTGCGAAGAAAGGTAAGTGATTGCAACAGCCTATAGAACGAGGAACACGTACGCGAGCAACCTTGATCTGCCGGTCGATCTTGTCCGCCTTGCGCTGACGATCTGCGAGCTTCTGCGAGAGCGTCTCGATCTCCGCCTTTCGGCGCTCGTACTGCTCGATGACGCCCGGGTTCGTCTGGAAGCAGAGTTCGAGCTTCTGCCTCTGCTCCTCAAGCTCGTTGCTCAAGTCAGCGACGTCGCGGTTGGTGGAAGTACCGTCCTAGGTGACAATGAGCACGACTCGCCATACCATAACGAAGATAGACGTACCTCCTCCATCTTCTGGAACGCCTCGCGTACGCTGTCCGGGGAGTCGTTCAGTTTCTCCTTGCTGATGTGCAACTTATCCTTCGAGTCCTCCTTCGCAAGTTGATACTCTTGGTTCGCGCGGTTGTACTCTTGGATGGTATCGTTCAAGGTGCCGTCGCGTTCCTGAATAAGCGTCTCGAGCGCAGCCTTGTTGCTGCTAATCTGAATGTACTCGAGGCCGTACTTCGTGGCCTCCTTCTGGTACGTGATAGTCTCCTTGATGAGTTCCTGGAGAGCGCTCGTCAGCGGCGTGGAGATCAACGAAGCTCAGACACGTACAGTCATCGACCTCGCAAGAGCGATACGGCGCTTAGTTATCTCGGCGAGTTGATTCTTGAGCTTGTTGCGCTCGACGTCCGGCGGCGGAGCGTTTTGAAGCCTCTTAAGCCTCTCCTCGTTCGACGCTGGATAAAGCATCAGTACGTCATCGAAGGACTAAAGCAGAGCACGTACTCAGCCTTGCCTTCATGCCCGAGATCTTCTTCGTATGGTCGACGATCTTCTGACGGCGCGCTAGAAGAGCGGCCTATAGAAGGGATGAGTTGCAGGGTTGGTTACTTTAGGAAAAGGACACTTACATGCTTCTCTGCATGCGCGGCCTTCAGCCTCCTGATCTCGCGATCCTCATCCGCTAGCGCTGCGGCCTCCTGCTCGCACTGTTCAAGCCGTGTAGCGGCCTCGGCGATGGCCTCCTGAAGCTCGACGCGGCGTGCAGGGTCAACTACGAACGCGACGTAAGCATTGTATCTGATATCGGGGCATTGAAGTATGCTTACCAGTGAGCCCGACGAAGTTCTTCGCCCTACCAATCTCGCGCGTCATGTTCTGCGCAAGACGGCGACCATAAGCGGAGCGGGTGACTTGATTCATCACCCTGCCGACGATGAAGTTCGCGTTTCCCTCCCGGCTGATCAATTCCATGGCGCGGTTCCCGTCGACGCGGCGCTCGTTCAGAGCGATGGCCTATATAGCGTTTATCAGTAAAGATAGAAAGATATGCTAACTGAGGCGTACCGTGCGGTGAAGGCGAACCTCCAGCATGAGGAATGGCCTGAGCCCCTCAGGGCAGTCGACAAAGTCGATGGCGTATCCATCAAAGCCCGTGGTCCTCATCTTAAGCAGGCGTTAGCACGATACGGATTATACCTTTCAGTAATGAGCTGACCTCCTCCTCACTAAGCGGCGACGGGCCAGCCGCGCCTTCGCGCCAAGGACGATACCAGGTCGGAATTCGGACCTTCTTTCCGAGCGCCTCGGTGGTGTCGTTCACGAGCCTATTGAGCAGCTGATAATCGTCCTCGTTCTGCGCGACGAAGGTCTACAAGTATCGGATTAGTACGATTGCACTGAATCCAAAGACGACCGTATACCTTCAGCTGTGAAAAACTGAAACACGCCTCGACAGCGTCCACTGCCGCGCGGTTTGGGATCGTAGCACTGAGCATCGGCGGCTCGATGATGGGCTGACGGAACCGGTGCTGATTATTCCGGAGCCACACAACAACCTCTGCGCCAACGCTGTCGGCCTGCCTGAACTGGTTGAGCTTCTGGTTGGCGACGTTGTCGAGGCTTCGCAGGCTGTAAACGGCCGTCAGATCGCGTAAAAATAAATGTCCGGGGAGAAGAATACGTACGCCAGCTCGGCCTGGTTCATCTCGTTCTTTGCGAAGGAGGTGTTGGTGACGTTCGCGTGCTGACGTTCTTCGAGGCTGTCGAACTTGTGACGGTTCTTGTTGTTTTCGGCGTTCAGCGCTCTCTAAACGGCCATCAGAGGGAGAGTCGATGTCAGTTCGCGAGAAATACGTACAATTTCCTCCTGAATGTCGTCGGCCTTCTCGAGCTTGACCTGCGAAGCGCTTTCCAAGTTCTCGCCGAGCTTCTTGATCTCCTTCTCGAGGGTGGCGATATCTTGGAGACGTTTCTTCTCCTGCCTCTTGAGGTTGGATAGAGCATTCTGGATATCTTCCGCGCGGTTCTCCTACAAGAACGTTGAGCGTCCGATGAAGGTAAGCGGATAACGGGCGTGCTATACGTACCAGATCTTCGTTGTCCTTCTTCTTGCTGTTGATCGTCTTGAACTTGGCCTGGGCCGCCTTCTTCTTGTCGTCGCGTTTCTGACTGATACGCTTCATGTCGTTCTCGAGTTTCCTATCGTGGACGTAAGTATGAAAGAATGAATGACCCATACGAATGAATAAGGTGCTTACTTCTTGAGGTCGAGCATCGGCTTGTTGCGTTCTTTAATTTGCACAACCTCCAAGTGGAGGCGCCGCTGCTCCGCCTTCGCGTTCGTGTAGCGCTGGCGAGCTTCCATGTACTCCATAAACGGTATGATGAGCTCTAGAAGTGCGATCTAGAAGAACGTCAACGAAGTCCGGTCTTCGCAGAGGAAGTAACTCACGGCCTCCTCAATCTCCTTGCGCTCCTTGAAGCGCTGAACGTCGCGCTCAAGCGTGGCGTTACGCTCCTGAAGCGTGTCGAGCTGCTTCTGGTCGCCGGCAAGCAGCTAGAGTAGGGTGAGATCGAGTGTCGAATGCATAGAATGATTAGCGTACCTCGGTGAGCTCTTTGCGCTCCTTACCGGCGTTGATAAGGGTATCGTGCCACGAAGTCAGGCGGTCATCCCCAGCGGCGCGTTCGGTTTCGCGAAGCAGAGCTTGCGGCGTCATGTGCGCAAACTCTGACACGCGGTCCTGCGGCAAGAAGGAGCTAAAATGAGGTTAATCTTCGTTATCACGATACGGCGCGCCACAACCCGCTCACCAGAGACTGTCGACCTGGATACTAAGCTCAGCCATCTTGGCGTTAATCTCGCGACCTGTCGCGGATTCGCTGTCAAGGGTAAACGTAGAGGACTTGGATTTGGCGGAGAGCTTGCGGCAGATGGTCACATTCGGTTTGCCGGGTTTGCCCTTCAGCTCAATCTCGATGAAACCGTCTGTGGTTCCCATCTTGACGAACGAGTTGAGCTCGGTAGAGCGACCAAGAATCTATTCGCTGATGAGATGCGTGTATAGGATGCTAGAGTAGTACATACGCTCGGAGGATAGTTAAGACCAAGAGCTATAGCGCAGGCGATACTACTTTTGCCAGTTCCATTCGGACCGATAATCATGTTGAGGTGCGGGCCAGGACGGAACTCGGCGTCGTCGTAGGTTACAAAGTTGTGCAGCTTTACGCGTACAATCGATCCCATAACATATCTAGACGAGATTAAACAACATGTTATCAACCTCATAAGCCGTAACGTACTGGTCCTTGTCGCGGAGGAGCACTTTGGGCTTCGCCTTGAACGCGGTCTTCTCCGCCTTGACCGGCATCGCGTCGCCCTCCTCGTTCACCCTCGCGCGTTTCCTTCCCTTGGGAGATCCTGCATCCTCCTCTTCGCCACTGCCGTCCCTATCGCTCTGCTCCTCGTGACGACGGATCGGCTCTTTTCCTTTATTCGACCGTGATACCGGCGGCGACGATCCTGGCGCGTTCTCTTTCTGCGAGTCGTCGTCGTCCGGGATATCCCGAGTGCTGGCAGCGCGGCGGGCCATAGTGGTCGACGGAGAGCGAGGTGGTGGTTGAGGACAAAGACGCGTCGGGCGCGCGACGCGCCGCGCCCACCAAACGCGTTAGTTTGCATTTGTTTACGCGTTCAACGCGCTTTTGATAAGGCATCACGCGCCACTGCTCCCTACTTGTTCGGACGGTCTGGTACGAGGATGGATCTATAGATGGTCCGATGCCTAGTATTACAGTATATAGTACATATGGTGTGTATGCTACAGCAGGGCGAAAACAAGAAAGCGCAATAACAATATGACTAAAGCCCCTCGGCGTCATCAAGAAGATCCCACTCGTCCTCCTCCGGGATCTTTTCCTGCGGCTTGGGACGCCTTCCGCCGCCCGCGGAGGTCTTTGGCCGCGACGGTCTGGCACGAGAGGCAGGAGTAGCGGCAGTGGCCTGTAGAAGTTGAGCGAAGTCCAGAGGGAATGACGCCGGGGTCGGTGGCGGAAGAAGCGGGTGCGTTTGATGGGAATACCTGTGGCGAAGCCGGGCGTCAATCTGATAGAAGTGACAAACGGATCCTAGGAGAGCTCACCTGCCGAGTTCGGCACTACAGCAAACTAACCAGAGATTGCTCAGCACATCTCCCGCTTGCGATAGAGGGACCTCGACCGCCTGCGTGTGGGCAAGATAACAGACATCGTATAGCAGCATGGCGTAGGCTGTCGTAAAGGACGATGACGGCGCCTTTGCCTCCACGTACGAGCCGGACATAGACTGGTCGAGACTAGGAGACGCAGTTTGCTCCTGCGATGTACTGGGCGCTGATGCAGATACGTGTAAACATTGTTTGGATGTCCATCTAGAGAATAGTCAGTCGAGTATTCTATCGTCATCGCATCCTGCACGCTCACTTTGCCCAGCTACCGGACTCGGTCCCCTTGATAGATCGTATCCAGGGTTGGCCAACGCCCAACTTGCCGCCGCTCCAAGTGATTTCAAATGGGAGCTTGATGCCCAAGTAGAACGTTAGCAGGCCCAAGAAGTGGATGGTGTGCGTGATAACGGCATTCATATGGTCCGGTGGGTAACCTATGACAGTCAAAGTTAGCTGAGACGCAAATCTCTCCGGATGCGTAGACGTACGTCGAATATCTCCGGGTACGGGCAGAACGAGATCGCCGATGGTCCATTCACCCTTCGTCCCGGCCTTACCGCCGATAGGCGGTCGACCACCAACCTCCACGATATTGAATACCTCGACCAGTTCAGCCACAAGGCCGTTGCGTGCCCGAGCTATCGTATCAGAGAGCATGGCGAGTTGCTGAGTTTCGCGCGCTATGAGCGGTTCGGCGCTAGCGGGAGGATACAGCCTAGCTTGAGATAAGGTGCGCCGTCTAGACGCAACGTTCTCTCGCAACGCCTTGATTCTTAGCTTCACTATGTAAAATTGCATCAGATTCATCCATGATTTCGGGATATAGAGATGAGATACGTACGCGCATCATTGTCAGCCTTCATCTTGGTCACGCCGGCCTGCAACTCCTCCACTCGACTCTGCCGATCCTGAAGCTCAGCCCTCCGTACCCTCCCAGCTCCTACGACCTCAAGAGCAACATTCGCCTTGCGAACCTGCTCATCGCGTTCAGTAGACGCCTTGTGCGCCTGTAACCTCAAGTCGCGCAAACTAAGCCGCGTCAGCCCACGAGGCGCGAGATCACAAGCGGAGAGCACGCGCACTGGGTGTTCACGCAGTTGGCACAGAAGAACTGCCGCTGTCTAGATTCGCAGTTGTAACATTCCATCCAGGTGAGCGTAAGAGACAAGTCGAATTCGCCACTCGCCGACACCGTCACATGCCCAAACGCGTCATGGTTCGGACTTTGGCTTGTGAAGGGCGCGCGACCGCATCTTGATCTCTCCCTTCACGAGCCTCAGTGCACAAGTCTCTCCAACGAATCTATACTTGCAAAGATGGTACTTGCTTCAGTCTCATGAGAGATGCAGAACGATGATCAACGTGATGTAATAGACTGCCGTCCAGCCCGCCTTCTCATTATCGCCTCAACCAGGTGGTGCACCCAGCGGCACGCCCACAATACCTACGCCGCCGGAGCTCGAGCAAACACTAGCCATGCTCTCCGGTCACAGATCAGTCCTCGGTTATCTGCTGCTATCCCGAGGACAACCGTGTAGCATCATACGGTCTTCCGGCGTGGTATTCGAGGGCGAGTCGGGGAAGAAGTACGCGACGGCGATCGCGAGGATGGTAGAAGAGGTGCAGGGTGCGCTGGTAGAAGTCAGCGGGGAAGAGAACGAAGGCGTGCGTTGACATCTTCCATTCATTGTGCCGAGATGCTGAGCTCTGACCATTTATAGGATGACATCCGCTTTATGCGGATACGCACCAAGCGTCACGAACTTATGATCTCCCCAGGTTCGTCAGATCGGACGAGTGCATGTTGCCACACAGAGAGCGTATCACTGACCAGCTTGACAGACCGAAGATACCTACTCGCCGTGTTACATGACCCTGCTAGCGTTCTATGAGATATCCGAGTGCGCCCTCGGCCATCTCGGCCATGCTTTGTATCTGCTTTGTTTGTTTTGTTGATCCGCGCTTGTTATCCGGATGAAATGTACAGGTCGCCACGTGCGCTCCTCATACGCGCTATCGTCGCTTACGGAATACCCAAGGCGTATCGCGTTCCCTTTCTCCGCATTGTCCTCGCTCTCCGGCGACCTATCGACTGCACCTGGCTCGCCTTACGAGACAGCCATGATAAATTGCACTAGCGGTGTGCGCCATCGCAGGTCATCGCGAGCAACTCCGGATTGTCCGTGCACCACTCACCGTACCTCTTCGCCTACTCAACGCGTCCCCATGGTGCCCTCGCAACGATCTCCTTGCAGCTAGGCCACACACAAACCCATTCTCGACGCTTCTCGCCTTGTGCTTCCCGGTGGCATCCAAGCGTGAGCTGCGCATTCGGCGGACGCGCGAGAGGCACCCGCATCCCCACCAGGGCCGCTGGCGTTCGTACTCCGTGATGTTGTCTCGCAGAGCAGGTATCCCGACGGATGAGGTGGAAAGTTTAAACAGGATGATTCTACTCGCCGACTATTGAGGAGGCACTATTCACCTCATACTCATACTCGCGAGTACATACCCGCGTACGCTGACCACAAATATATGCCTCCGAATATCCTCAGCAGTCCTCAGCCTATGCGCACTGTATACGATAAACCAGGAACGCCAGCGCCCACACGGATGACTTCGAGATCGACGTGGGGCAGATCCGACGGAGTGCCTTGCTGTTTACCTCCGCCTAAATGAACTTGGCCCGGCTGATACGAGCACCAACAGCCGCAACCTGCCGTCATCTCTATGCGGGATCCGCGGATTATCGCGCGCTCGACCAACGCCGTCCGTGAAGGGCTCTATTCAAGCATCCCTTTGAAGCTCTGAACTTGGCCCGCAACAAGAACAAGCGCGTACGCTAACTCGGTGCGCCCTTTGTGTCGAACGTTCCAATCGAGTTCTAGGGCGCCACACCACGTTCACTCACTCCGATCGCCTCTTCAGAACGTCCAACGAACCTGTCGAAATATCCCACCGATCAAGCTTTACCTCGCAATTCAAGGGCATCAAGACAGGTACGGCACTGCACGCGCGCGAGAAAGGCGTCGACGTCGCCCGGAAAGATGAATGCGAGCGAGCGGGGCTAAATTGCCATGCGATGCCAGTCCAGTTGACTTTCTGGCGCGAATTGAGACAAGCGCGCCAGCCGCGGCCCCGAACCCGACGGCGCGCTCCAAGCGCCGACCTGCATATGCATTCTTACCTATATAGTCGGCCGTGCTGGCAGGTCGATCTCGCCTTTCGTCCTCCTCTCCGTCGCTCGCTGCTTGTACCTGACGCTCTCCGCGTTGATCTCGTCCACTCTGGCTCTGCCATAGCCTCCACCACCAATAATGCCTCGCGCTTCGAAGTCCGACCGCTCGCAGCATCGGCCGCTTGATATCACAGTGCGTATTGCGTCTATATTCTCAAACCCGTTGAATATACTGACCTCTCATGAAGGACATCATGCGTCCCACTGCCGGGGTCATCGACTTTGACCAGACTTCTGAGCAGTCGTACACATACTCGTCGCCTGATTGGGCGTCCACTCCTTCACCTGCCAGCCCATCATTCCCGAGTACGCCGACGGGTGACTGCGCGTGGAACCTGATACCCTATCACATCCCTTGGGGCAACGAGTACCACGATTATCGTCGGGGAAAGCTTCCCGGTCCCGAGGGCGATTGTATCTTTCTACGCTCGCCCACACCTATCAAGAACCAGCGCACGTCCGAGGCGTGTAAAAAGTGTCGCGAGCGCAAAGCTAAGGTACCTGTTCTGATCTATGGGTGTACATCCTGAACTTACATTTGGGCTGCAGTGCTCTGGCGAGCATCCTAGTTGTGCGCGTTGCGCCACTCGCGGTTTCACTTGCGAGTATGCTTCCGCGGAGTTCGACGAGCCTACTGTTCCCAAAGAGCGCAAGCGTAAACGCGAGCCATCCGTCGCGTCTTCTGCGTCCTCGTCTTCCTCGCCGCATACACCGGCATATCCTGTGATCGTACCGTCCAACGCGCCGGTCGTACAGCCTTCCCATCCACAAGAGCGCGCGATCAAGCGCGAGGAAGTCACCCCTGCGTACTGTCAAAGTCCCATCCCGGGGCCTTACTGGGATTCGCCCAACGTGCCGGATACGGGCGAAGAGTGGTCTGTGGTGTACCCGTCGGCTCACTTTGCTGGCGAGGTCTATCCCGCCGGCGCTACGTATGGCTTGCCGCTATACTACGGGCACCGTCTGCCTTCCCCAGGCCCGTCCCTCTTTGCGCCGCAGCCTATCCGCCGCTCCTCAGTCAGCGACTTGGAGTTCCCCATGGACACCAGCTCAGAGGGATCGTTCTCTTCTGGCGCCACGGACGCGTCGGGCGCATTCATGTCTGGAACACTCACGCCTCTTTCCTCGGAGCCATCTGCCGCTCCATCTCCTGGCGCTGAGTACGGCCTGTATCCGCATCTTCGGTACGCTTTCACCTGTTCTTTCAGAGTACTCACCGCTGAACGGACCGTAGCTCTCATGCAGTTCAATACGCGTGCGCGGGCTTTGGAGCGCAACCTACCATGCCGCTGGGCAGTTACTGGGCGCCACGCGACCCTGCTGAACCTTACTTCGAGGATATGGCGTCCTCCGCTCCGTACGACGTTGCGGCCTATGTCACATTCACATAACACACGTAGGCAGAAGCTGGCTGCCAGTCTTATTCCTCTCCTCGGCCCGATTTGCCTACTAGCGGCTCTCGCGCCACGATACCCGCCGCGCTTTCCTGATAGGGTTTCCCTTCGAACAGTCATACACGCCCTTTGTTCATGTACCTGAAACCAAACCTACTGTACCATCTCCCCGCACGCCAAAAGCACTACAATACATCACACTAGCTATGCTATCCGAACCTTAATGCTAAGGTACATGCCCGATTAAGCACTCTCTTGGTCCCACGTTCCTTCATCCACATTCATTTGGGTTTTAGTCTGTACTATATATACTACGCATACGCTAACTGGGCCATCTTCGTTGGAGATGACGACGTCGCGTTGTAACAAGCCAGACCTAGGATATGTAGATCGGCTACTTGAGCTCGGACCAAGCTATGCATCATTCAGACGTCCCGTCGAGAGATCTCGATCTGGGAGGATAGCGCCTCGAAGCAGGGAGTAAGATGGATGTGGCACTGATGCCAGCCCTCTATGTGACTCAAATGGAGGCTACAGACGCTTGCGGCTACAATATATGTGGAGGTACAATAATGGACGAAGAGACAACGATTATCTTCACTGCGCTTTGCCTGGCCAACCTCGAGCCTGAACTGTCTTGTTGTCCGCAATCTGTGTACTACTTTCTGTTCCATCCGTTGACTGGGTGATCGATCCGGACGTTTCGATCAAGAAGTTCTGGGCAAACGCCATCTCGCGGCTGCTTGTGATGCGCCCATCAGTCCCGTATTGCGTAGGCGAGGCGAAGGAGAGTCCTGTCTCTGAATCATCGGGCAAGTCGGGGTAAGTGAACTGGTTCTCCAGATGCGATCTTTGCAAGGTCACCAAAACGATGATGACGGTGGGGTACATGCCCTTGATGTGATATGCTATGAGCACGACGCTCAGCGCAAGCGATATCAACAGGCGATACGTACCGTCATCTGATACATCACCATCGCCGAATAGTTGGTATACGGAGACCCCTCAACGACTGGCAGAACAATGATGTTCCTCAGTATCTGCAGGAACGAGTTGCCTCAGTCTAGCTACTGCAGGTGTCCAAGGACTGGATCACAGACACGCACCCATAAGACGGTGTAGATGGTCCCTGACTCTAGGAATAGCACGAGTATACTCTCCATAAAAGTCTTGCGACCCGTGTCCTTGAAGTGCCGTCTTATTTCACGGCGACACGCCCTGCGAGTTTCATGAGTCTATCAGCTAAGCGCGTACGATAGAATATCAAGAGGAAGGCAGACCACGCGCGATAAGCTATCATGCCGGTTGCCCATATATTGACGAGTGCGGATAGGGCCAGCGTCACGATGTCAATAGGGAGCTCGAGAGGAGCGAGAACGGCAAGAGCGGGAGAGGCCTCGGGAAATCCAATGCCGACTTGCGTAAGACCGCACAGGAGAAGGCCAGCTAAGATCGAGAATGAGAAGAGCACTCGAAGAACCCACAATGAACAGCGATGCGTACATACTCTCTAATGCGACGAGGAACGCCACGGCCACGCCTACAACGCGCCCGTCGTTTCCAAACACAACACACACCCTCCAGCACACGACTACGTCACTTATAAGAACCTGGAGGTTACGATCAGCATCAGTGTAACCCAATCATGCTGGGAATATAGTGCGGAATCGTACACAGATCTGGTTTGCGATGGATTCAACAATCTTCAGTGCGACATTCAGCTGATCGAGCCCGTGTTCATTCTGCGGTGGCGAGGAAAGCTCGGCTGGGAGCGAGATCTTCAAGTCCGTCCACACTCGCCGAACGTCTATCGCCCAGTCTAGAGTGGACAGAGTATACATGATGAGCGTAAGTGCAAACATGATCCGGTTTGCGCGCGAGCGAAGGCCGCGAGATCTTGGTTAGGTTCATGAGATACAGGCTCAAAATACCATTAGATAAGGTGATAACGCGTACAGGAGAATATGAGCCGACGTCACAATAAGGACAGAAAAGATCACTACGGATAAGTTCGTCAGTTCACCGTGATGATGTACGAGTTAGATGACACTCACCCCAAAGAACCGTTTCAGCGAGGAGAGGAAAGATACGGAAGTCAGTCGTCTGGGCCAAGTCCTGGCGGACGACCTCCACCTCTGCCATTCCAAGCACGCCGGACATGCCGCACACCGAAGCTCAGCACGAAGAGGGACAGGCGCTTGTTTATGAAGGGGTTTTCCGTCGGACGCGGCTTATATAGCTCGCAGGGCGTGAAACAGTGAGTGCTTCCTAAATTGTTAGATTGGATGCAGGTACGGTGACGATGCATGATGGCCTTGATCAGTGAGCGTGCGGCATCAAATCCTGTAGTTGTGGTTGGACAGCGCGATCCTCAATTGGCCCAGCTGGGATCCGGCTGGACTCCGAGAGCTCTCTATGGCGACAGCTCGCGGCTCATGCTGAGCCCGGCTCCTGATGGGTATCGTTTATAGGCCACGACCTCGGTACGTTGAGACAGGGAACCTCCAGAAACAACCCATACATTCGCATCAGCTGCGGGCTGTCACGCGTCTTACTGATTTGCAAGGCGGTGCGTACTGGGCGTCAATCTCAGCGGCACGGATTGTGGATCCCTGCTGAAGTTTGACCTGTGTAGAAAGCTCGCACGAGATCTTGACGGCGCGGACTACATGATGCACTTCCTTTATGCGTATGATGTCGCATGAAGGCAGTCCCAAGTCTGAAGCAAAGGCCCAGTACCGCCGCGCCAAAACACAGCTCTGCAACGACTAGCAGCTACACCTTTGGACTAGCATGCCACTAGCATGACATACGGGCATGAGGGTGACGGGCCAATAGACAGGTGAGAAGTATCACATGTATTTAAAAGTGGAACCTGCAAGGGCGCACGTTAGATACAGGAAAGTAAGCCAACCGAGTGCGGCGTCATTGCCACGATAGTTCAACAATATGCGCAGAATGGTCCGTTTGCAAGGGTACTTGTGCGCACGAGGTGCAACGGGACAACTGTGTTCTTGAGTATGATCTTCGATATCGTCTACCATATATGTGAGGGTCACGAAAAGTTGCGAGGGCGGGATACGTACCCGTAGATATTCACATCTACCTGGCTGTACCGTGCCTACTCGTGAGCTTTCCTCCGCCTCCGCGTAGATTTCCAGACCGACACTTCTACAAATCGACCTCCAGGATACGACGTGCACGTCTTGCTCGTCGAATCAGGCGCCAGCGGCGGGGCTCGGAAATCTCTTATGACATCCCATCAAATAAAACAGCTTATATAACCACAAGAAGCAAGAGACAGTTAGATACATGCACATTGGCCATAGTAAGCAGGAGGATGGTGGTGGTGAACGAACGAGATCTGGTCGCGCCATGTCGCGGCGACAGGAACGACGCGCATGTGTCTTCTCACCTACTTCTCACCCCCACCATGGGCCACACTCACCTTGCTGTGCCACTCGCCCTTGCGTCCAATCCGTATGAGTTTGTAACCTCGAAGAAGCGAGAGGTGCTTGAGTACTGTAGGACCTAAGCGCATGTATGCTATTCACTGAAACGTCTGCGACCGTGAGATGCGGCCGGTTCAAGAGATACAGTGCCTCCGTCGCACTGCGTCGTGCACGCCCGAATCGGCCATGGCGAGGTGTCCTTCGTACCCATGCCTTTGACTTGTGCTTCCTTCTGTGATGGTCAAGTCAGTGTCGTCCCAAGCTATAACGTTTCACCCGCGCAACCGGCGTCGGTACAAAGACTTTCCCGGATCTGAAGTTCGGCGTAGACGGCATCAAGGGTACTGACAGATCTCACGGGCGCTCGCGGCGATGTCGGAAACGGGCTCAGTACGATGGAGGGCACTGGTAGCGCAACTCGGGGACAGAGAAAAAAAACTGAAGAGATCAGGAATCAAGGATTCATAAATAAATATGCGTGGCTATTTGAAGGGATTGCACTAGGAAGCGCAACGATCATACATGGATCACATATGTGTGCAATAGTGGTCAGAGAAAGTTGATCACAGACGCAGTGCATACTTAACAGCGTTACACCTACCCCTCCAGAACCGTCTCTTTCCCCAAGGTACGCGAACCTTCCGTCTTTGCCGTAGACTCTGTGAGTGAACCCGAAGAGCCGCCGGACAGATTCTGAGCGAAAGCCATCTCGCGGATCGTAGTGACGCGCCCGGATGTGCCGTGTAATGCACGCGAGGCGAAAGAAAGCCTCGCCTCTGGATCGTCGAGCGGCGCGGGATATGTGAACTGGTTCTCCAGGTGCGAGCGCTGCAACGTGACGAGGACGATGATTACGGTGGGATACATACCCTGTGATCACCCGTCAGTCATGGATCAACTTGAAAAGCATGACAAGGGATGCAGGAACTACGTACCGTCATCTGGTACATAACCATCGCCGAGTAGTTGGTGTACGGTGAACCCTCCACCACCGGAAGGACAATTATGTTTCTCAGGATCTATGTCGGCGTGAGCCATCGCATGTATCCCCTATAAGAGGGTACGTGACGCACCCATAGGACAGTGTATACGATTCCAGACTCGAGGAACAGTGCTAGGACACTCTCTGTGAAAGATCTGCGACTTCTGTCCTTGAGATGTTGCCTGATCTCCCGACGGCACGTCCTGGTGAGAAGTTTACAACAAGATCAGTTTAGCATCAGCTTCGATAGTCAGACATACAGACCATGCGCGATAAGCTATCATAGCCGTAGCCCATACGTTGACGAGTGCAGACATGACGAGCGTCGCGATGTCGATCGGAAGCTCATGAGGAGCGAGTACGGCCAAGGTGGAAGAGACCTCGGGAAATCCGACGCCGACCTGCGTGAGAGCACACAGGAGAAGTCCGGCTGCCAAGAGCAATGAATATCGTACAGAAGGAAACAATTGCATATGCGTACTTTCCAGAGCGATGAGAAACGCTATGGCAACGCCTATGACGCGCCTGTCATTCCCAAAGACGACGCACACCCTCCAGCAGACGACAATGTCACTGATGAGCACCTAATTAGTGGTAGTCAGTATGAATCCAATGTCATGGCAAGAAGACAGACGCACGCATATCTGGTTGGCAATCGATTCGACGATCTTAAGAGCGACATTGAGCTGATCGAGCTCGTGCTCGTTGCGGGGCGGCGAAGAGAGCTCGGCCGGCAACGAGATCTTCAGGTCGGTCCATACGCGCCGGACGTCAATCGCCCAGTCCAGGGTCGACAGAACATACATAATAAGTGTGAACGCAAGCATGATCCGGTTCGAGCGCGACCGAAGACCTCGAGATCTATACGGTTTGCAGCATATGAGCTCATGCAATGTGAATCATCAGTGCGAGCAATACACACAGAAGGATGTGCGTCGAAGTAACAATGAGAACGGTGAAGATCGCTGTAAAAAGGTCGAATAAGCCATTCGTTCAAGATGGCAGCATCGATGGACTCACCCCAGAGCACTGTCTCCGCGAGAAGAGGAAAGATACGGAAGTCCGTTGTCTGAGCCAGGTCCTGCCGGACCACTTCCACCTCTGCGGCCGCAAGCGCACCAGACATGATGCGGTATTGAAGCTGAGGCCGGACGCTAAATGCAAAGGGACGAGATCCTGTAAGACCACCGCATTGAGGCGGCTTTTTGAAGTTCCTCCCGAGGGCGCGAAACGCGAGATACAGCCCAGGCAGAAGGCGAGTACGGGTTTGACGGCTTCAGTATGAGAGCGTATGGCCTGAGTTGGCGATGCTGTAGTTGGGTTCAGCGAAGTCGGTCGAAATCGAGTAGAGACTCGCACAAAGCTTTGATGGGTATGCGATGCATTCCCATTACAGTGCTGTAAGAATCCAATCTCAGATATCGATCAGAGATCGAGTACCGCAGGTCTGGGAACCAACAATACCACCCCCGCGATATTGCAGTGGCAAGTGCCTAGTGCGCAGTCACTCGCGAGTGTAGAGGTACATTTCGAGGAATCATCGTGTGACTATCTTGCGCGCATGAGAGCTCGTCATTTTCTGTTATAGTCGAGAGATGTTCAGTATCGCAGAGCATGCTCTGGCCCATAGCGGGAAGAAGGCTAGCGGCTGCCGCCGGCCAACCATTGGTCGACTCGGGGAGGATCATGACAAGGACCACTAGCGCGGCGGTACTAGAGACGGACAGCAACGCGGCGCAACAAGCAGATTGAGACATAGCATTGAGTACCGGTGTCTCAACCTAACCAACTTTCAGTGCCTTATGCAGGTGTGGGCCCCCACGGGAAGGTCGGAAGGGAAGAAATCGATAATGCGCGGGAAGACGTCCGGAGCTGGAGCCGATGCGAACATCTCAGAGACCTTACAAATGATGTATACTGAAGCTTAACGAGCAGTTCAGAATCAAGTCGGCAAGGCAGGTGGCCAGAATACCATCTCAGCTTGTCAGATTTTGCCCATGCCCGTGTTGTGGCGAGTTGAGGAGAGGAACCTGACGAGATTGAAGTGGCTTCGGAATGGACTCCACATTCTCTAGAGCTCTAGTACTAGCGCGACAGCGCGGTTTCGAGCAAGGGCCGCTCGAGTTCGAGGAAGGCATGGTGATGGTGGTGGGAGCGAGAGAAAGCACTTGGATCAACTTCCGAGCCTTGGATCAGACTCGCGCGGGAAATAAACCCAGCGCGCGCCCGCGCTTTTCTTCTGACCACCATGCTCCTCCCTGTGTCGTTTCCCTGCGGCATACACTGACCAGGGGTGGACAATCAAAGATATATGCTAAATCACTACTTGATGGGACGCCGCACAAGCAGTTCTGTCTTGAAAGGTCTTCTACGCCCGCGACGTCAGGCTGCCGTGCAAATGGACAAGAGGTGGTATAGTAATGAATATAGTGCAGACGAGTACGAGCGCAGGCACATGCGGTCGCATTCCCCAGGTAGCCCTCTCCGGATGATTTGCGCGCTTTCGCCAACTACAGGGCTATTGATGATTCATGCTGCGTCCTCCAAGATGTGTTTCTCCGTGGTCGTCACTGCGTCGCGCCTTCCAATTTCAGGGCTAGATCAATATGTCAGATCATCCAATGAAGCGCCAGAGGAGTCCATACTAACGCTATCTGTGGTACAGTAATGCGCCCGACGGTCTCGCGGCGCGCGGTAGGCGAACGCTCGCATCGTACCCGAATGCTCGTGTGTGCCATTAGCAGGCTGTAATGGTTAAGTCGAGATATTTATTTCTTGGCCCCGAGGTCGGCCTGTAGTACGTACTGATGGACACACGCACGACTACATGGTGCGTACACCTTCCCCTGGTGTAACGTCACATAAAATCAATCTCGAAGGGTCGTTAGAGATGTACTAGCACCGCAACGGCTTTGGCTCCCAGCGATTGAATCAAAGTCGCATCAGCTTGCGACTCATGGCGCACAGACACGCTCTGGGATCTTGTCGTGTGGTCGCTTCGAGCACACTAATGCCCGCCGTTCAAATGATTGGCCGAGGGAGAAGGAGGCGGGCGAGGCTGATGTAGAGTGGCGATGTGTAGCATTGTCGAAAGTAGAGTGATATGAGTATGCAAGTTGTATATGAAAATATAGGAGATGGATGTGGCACGATGCTATGACGAAGAGCTCGACCCGACAGAAGCAGCATCCTTCAACGGATTCTCCTTCCTCGCCTGATCCAGCAACTCCGTCAACCCCTTCTCCTTGATAGCTTTCTACATACCCACTCAGTCCCCTTTCACCCATATCCATACCATAAACACGCACCTGTATACACTCCCGATAGCTCAACCAGACCTTCCCGCACTTCTGCTGATACTCCTTGGCCTTAGCCTTCGAGTACGCCGCGCGCGATTGCGCGTTGGACGAGGAGGCTGCTACGGCGGGCTCGAGGTAGCCCTCGAACCAGGAGTTGAAGCAGGCGTCGTATTCGAGCTTTAGAGGTGTGCAGTCGGAGGAGAGGCTGTCGGCCATGGTGGTGGTAAGCGAGAGACGTTGAGTCTGACGCGCGCCACTCGACTTGTAGACGCGCGCACAGGCGGCGCGGGAGCCGAGCGGACGCGCACCTTCTCTCCTCCTCCCATCACCTCAGCTTCTCAGACTGGCCTGTACTAATGCTCGTTCTGGTCATAGGAGATCTGCATGTACCGCATAGGATACATGACTTGCCTGCAAAGTTCAAGAAGCTGCTTGTACCGGGCAAGATACAACAGATATTGTGTACGGGCAACGTCTGCGACCGCGAGACGTATGAGTACTTGCGGACTGTGGCTGCGGATGTGCACGTAGTACGAGGAGACTATGACGAGGTATGAAACATATCTGTATATTGGCATGCGTGCTCTAAATGGCTCCACCGTGTACTTTGTTCGACCTCGGCTTTCTCTCGGGCTCGTAGTCTGCCGTGTTCCCGCTATCTATGACGGTCAATCATTCGCCAATACGGATAGGCGTCATCCATGGACACCAATGTGTACCGACTGGCGATCTTGACTCTCTGGGCGCTATCGCACGGCAAATGGACGTCGACGTACTGATCTCGGGCCACACGCATGTGTACGTCTACTGGTTCTATTGAATTGCTATACATCGCGTACTAACGTTCATGCGCTGTAGGTTTCAAGCCATTGAACGCGATGGGAGGTTCTTCCTGAATCCCGGATCAGCGACGGGCGCGTGGTCAGGCGCGTTCAACGGGTACGTGCATCACTTCTATCTACGCGTCAAATACAAGGATCTCATACCGTACATAGCGACCCGACACCATCGTTCGCCCTTATGGACATCCAGGGTCCAGTTGTGGTCACATACGTGTACCAACTGATCGAGGGCGAAGTCCGCGTCGAGAAGGTCGAATACCGGAAGGACGCCGAGGCATTCCTGCCCAAGGATACGGCGCCGAAGAGCACGGCGATGCCGCAGGCGATTCCGAGTGCAGCGGTAGGGCAGAGCGTGTGGTAGAAGGTGGCGCAGATGAAAGAAGTTGTACGCGAACGGACATGTGTATACCCCCTTGTAGTCGCTTCGGCGAATATACGCTTTGGATGCTTCATCAGACCATTGCGAGCGCGTGCCAGGGGCTCAGGGTTCCTCGACGCGTTCTGCACTTCATATATGAGATGCTCTTGGTCGTGTACCACCACCAGTACGATGCGCGCGAGCGGTGGATGTTGCTTCCGTGAGGCTGTATCGCTGACGTCCGAGCGGAACGGTAAATCAGCACGTGGCGGGCCGAGATGAAGGAGGAGGCGCTGAAGGTCTTGGTACTTTGCGCACCTCTGCGGCTTGTTCCCCGCCTCCACTCCAAATGCAGCGCCCGCTCTCGCTTCACGTGTCTGCGCTCAGCGAGGAGGAGTACAAGTCGTTCACGAGCGCGTTCTATGATCTCCTCGGCGATGACGCGCATCTGGACGACGACGCGCTCGGCCGGGAGACGGTCAGCCTCCGCGAAGCTCGTGCCTGGCTCAGAGGCCGCTACCAGGACATGCAGGTCGCGCACGTAGACGAGGTGCACTATCTTATTTGTTGCATATCGAGAGTTTGACTTATAATGTGTTTGATACACAGGCACTGCGACTATTCGCGCCTGAAGGCGGGAAAGATGCCGTGCTGAGCGGCGGCCAGTTCTTCGCCCTCCTGCGCGTCATCATGCACATGCGCGAAGGCCAAAAGCTGGACAGGAAACTGGCGTTTGACCAGGGTGAGTCTCTCGCTCGCCACCGCGCCCGTTCCGAAGAGCACGGCGAACATACACCGCCTCGCGCATCCTCCCCACGCAATCGCTCAATCAGGCGCCGACCATCCACACGTTCCCGGAATGCTAATACACTCTCTTTGATTATAGTTCACCTGCCAAAATCCGCGCCGCTCACTCGCAAGAGCTTCGATGCGCCTCCCAGGCACCCCGCGCCTCCATTTGCACCTCGCTCACGCCAACCCTCTGCGAATTCGCTATTCGACGCGCCCACGTCCGACAACAACCCTTTCCACCATATACCACAAGACCCGCCTCCGCCTGTACCACCATTACATCCCGATGTGCGGCTTGGTACGGTATCAGCGCCCTCCGCTATATCAGACACGCCCCCACAACCAACGAAACATCACTCCAACAACCCATTCGTATCACGATCCAAGACCATACATTCTATAACACGTCCATCCGTCATCAACGTGGACAAAGCGCCGCCCAGCTTACCGCCTCGAAAAGCGCCACCCGTTATCCCGCCACGGACGAACGCGCCACTCGTACCGGCCTCAGCAACCGCGTCTTCGAGCAAACCCGCGCCTCCACCCGTAGCGCCCAAACTCCCGCATCTGACGAGTACGCTGATGAAGCAGTCGCTTCTCGCCAGCCGCGCTGCACAGGACGCGAAACGAGCAGAGGACGAGAGAAACTCTACGCGCGTGTTTCAGGTGCTTAAGAGTAGCGCGGGGAGTACGGGCAGCGTCAGTCCGCCCAAACTCGGCTCGCGGAGCTCGAGCTCGTCTGGCGAGCGCCAAGCGCGGCCGAAGTTACCGCCCAGACGACAGCCGAGTCCACCACCCTCTGCTGCGTCGGTGTATTCGTTTGAGCAGGTCGCCAGTGCATCATTACCCGATGGCCGAAGTCCGTTTCGGCGACCGCCAACACCACCTGGGCGGCTCGTCCGCTCTCCTTCAACCTCACCTGCGCGACCTACGACCGACGGTACACCTCGCCCACCTCCGCGGCAACCGCCGAGGCATCCAGATAGCAACAAGGAGAAGTTGGAAGGGACAGAAACGCCGAGTTCGACGCCGTCGCGGCTGGGTCGCTCAAAGTCGATGCACCAGACGACGCCACCGCCTGTGCCGCCTCCTGCACGACGCAAACGGCCAGAAAGCGTACAAGTGCTTTCCAGCTCGCCACATCAAGACGTATTCTCCGACGTGCACGCGGCACAATTCCCACCACCGCCACCTTTACTATCAGCACGACATCCATCATTCAAAGCCGCTGCCGAGCACTCCGCGCGACACTCGTCTTTCTCAGGCGCGAGTCCGGGTGGGCGTACGAACCGACACGCGCGACAGCAGAGCGTCGAGGAGGGCGCTACGGCCGCACTGCACCAGTTCCGCGGCGCGTTGGCGGGGCTTGCGCCGAAGATCGACGCGGCGCGGTATAAAGCCGAGGCGGGGCTTTCGCGGCGCGGGTACGTGCCAGGTATGACGAAGAGGAGGAATGAGGGCGCGCAGAGGCTTGTGGATAGCGACGAGGAGGATGAGGAGGGGGCGGGGGCTGGGCCGAGTGTTATTGAGGAAGAGGACAACGGGTTGGGTCCAGGGAGCACGAGAGATGATATGAAGTGGCCTGCGGGAGATGGGTGGAGGTCGTTGCGGTGAGGTGGGGCTGGGGTCAGCGGAAGGAATACCATATTGTATCATAGCCAGTCCTATTTTTTTTTTGCTTACACGATAGCGTGCACTTGCTCTAATCTCGTACTGTCTTTGCTTCGTTTGTTGCTACTGCTGCAGGCAACGCGTACGCACAATGGATCGAAAACAGCTGTGAGCATAATCGTGTAGAACATACGCCGGAAAGCCCCAGGCGGCTCGTGTGACATGGCGAGTCTGATCGCGCGGCACCTTGACTGCTTACCACGATGGCGCCTCACCGCACTTGCTTCATACCGCTCAGGATTCTGGAGACGCCAGCAACTTTTCCTTGAAGATGTCTACGCTTTTATGTGCTCCATGGCGGACTCATCTGTAGCACTGTGATCGTGCTAATATACGTTCGGCTTGGGGACATTTCGTTTCGGTCGCGCTCTGCCTGCGTACTTCTTTGTCGAGCTGAACAGTCGACATCGTGAATCAGAACCGTACGCGTACTTTGCCAGAGGACTTCGCGGGTGGTCGGATATGGGACTCGGTGTTGGGAAGCTGGATATGAGGTCCGTCTTCCCGCCCATCGTGCATTATTTACTTGGACGCTCACGTCCAGTATTTCAGCCCATATTGCATAATGTCAGTACAGATACTTCGACCGGTCCGGACTGCGCTCCTGCGTAGGTTGCTTCAGCGACATCGGCGCCAAGTATCTACTCGAAGTGCCGACCGGCAACTCCTCCATCTCGCAGCTCAATTGGCACCCCAAGAGCGCTATCGTCCGTCATCCGCACGGGAACGACGCGCCTCTGTGCATGTTCGTCGCTCCGACACATACCAGTCTCGACCGGGCCAACCTCACAACACTCCCGTCCTTCGCCCTCTTACACTCACAACGAGCGACCGCCACACGCGTAGCCGCGCAATCCATGACCTCAAAGACGAGGTTGGCTCGATTCTCATACCCCGCCGTTTTCCAACTCTGCGTACGGCATCGTATGCAGCGCGAGCCGTCTCACGTTCGGCGTATCCGCGCGGCCCAGCGTCGACATTCGCTCGGGGAACATCAATGAGAGGGCTTGCTAGGCGCCCGGAAGCGGATGGGAAGGAGCACATATATTCACGCTACCTTGCATCCCGAATGGACAGCAAATCTCAACCCCTTGCGCCAAACACTTTGCGGGCTTCTGAGGTCTCAACGAGCCTGGCTGTGTCGGCACTCGATCGCGCGGGCGTCCCCCGCCCCACCCCCACTCCATTCGGCGTGAATACTCATCGAAGCGCGGCCGCGACCCTACGCTCTATTGGGAGAACTCGTCCGCCTCACCTCGAACATCCTGGAGGACACCACACTCGTTCCGCCGTGCAGAAACCGGCATTTTGTACATTGTTACGCTCGGTGGGCCTAACACGAACGCTGACGGAGGCGGGTGGTGATGTAGCAAGAGGAGAGATCTCATTCTGGATCTGGTGAAGCACCCGTTGCGTACGGTGGATGTGCTGGGTGCCTGCGGTGGCACTTCATGCCCACGATGTTGCTATACAGCTCGGGCGCGCGACACGGTCTGTGAGCTTGCGAGGAGAGGGAGACTCGACGTACATCGTAGCTGGGTACACGGACGGAATACGTAGAGTGAACAATGCTGTATACGTATGCGATAGTGCCGTACTTGTTAGTGCCTCTGGTATTTTTGCGGATTGACGTTTGCACGTATGACTGGGCGTGGGAGTGGAGAAGAGCACTGGAGGCTATGTGTAGAGAAAGAATCAGAGCAACACGGTACACGCGAAGAGTGATATATAAATGTGCAGTCGATATTTGGGGCTCAGGTAGTTGCAGACAGGCCGTGGGAGTAAGGAGGTAAGCGCGGGCCTGCTTGGCACCGCGACTAGCTTCCCACCACCATTCCTCGTGTCAGTCCCATCACCTTCCGTACACCCAGTTTCTTAGTGCTTACAAAAGCGATAGCTGTCTACAAGATGCGACGGCCGCGGACACAGGTCTGGGTCAAGAGACTCGTGCCCACCGTTCGCGGACGGTCTAGTACGGGCCTATGAACGACATCGGCGTTGCCGTACTCCAGCTCCGCTGGCTAGTCGCCCGATACGCTACGACAACGCACCGTGATATGATTTGCACGCAGTTGAATAACACTCATCTGTGGTACTATCGACCTACAGCCACGCCAACTATCAGCGCGCTCCGTATTGGGTTCGTGCAGGCACCCCAACCCCATACACAAGCTGCATCTGCCGACTACGGGCTTGCTATTTGACTTCTCGGCGGCGTGTCCGCTTCCGACGAGGCGACGACTGCGAGACGATGTATCCGATCGTGGACATTGTCCCGAGCCCGGACAAGATGCGTTCGCGCATACGTGAACGAGGTCCGTTCGCGTGATTTGCGTAGTCCAAAAATGTTACTCACCAGACCTGTCACGCCTAGGTTGAACGCGGTGCGATACTCAACGGCGAGCGACATGCAGTACTGTACGACGGTCGCACGACGGTCTCTCGTACATCTACGCCACGGCCAGACTCCGCGACGACAAGCTTGTCGTTCATGGTGCGGTCCAGCTCGCCCCTACGCGCTCAAAACGTCCGCGCCACCGCTCACCGCACATCAGCCCACGCTTCTCGTGCCCACGATCGACCACCGTCCGTCGCTGGCATCCATGACGTGTGACCTGCTTTCCCCAGTATTCGCGCCGTATGTCGCAAGAGTGCAACAGCAGGCACCAAATACGCGCCCGCCTCGACGGCCTCCGCCGACGTCTTCCGTGCACACTGGGGTCCAACTGCTACACCGTCGCAATGCTTGCATGACATTATGTCGCGGGGCACAGTGTTCACTACCGCATTCGCTGGGTAAGCGTCATCCTCTTCCGGCAAGGGAATACCGGCCCTTTCGTCTCGACATGCACCACCGCCGTCAGCATCGGGCCCAAGAACGCATCCCTCGAACGTACAACGTGTTGCAAGTCTAGCGAATGGATATGCACCTCCGGGTGCCTAGACGACGGACACTACGACACGAACAACGCAATGGAAGCCGCCTCCGCCCGATCGATTTCCCTGGACAGCGACAACAGCGCGGACGGAGCTCCGCCAGCAGCCGCCCTACAACAGGGCGCGAGGCGCGATTCGCGTGGGGTCAATAGCACGACGATGCAGTTTCTCCCTCTCCTTGCGTGTCGTCTGGGGAGAGCAAGTGTAGTTACTAATTGTACATATGTAAAGCAACAAGAATAATGAAAGGATATATTTGCCACGTGGAAAGGTCGTTCCCAGGGTGCTGCGCTCGAGATAGTGCAATT